CGAGGACAGTGGCCAGAATCGGAGGGAGGCCACCTGGAGGAGGCAGCCACAGGCTCTGTAGTAAAGCCAGGTGGGCAGTGGCCCGCGTGGGGAGTGTCCTGCCAAGTCCCCTCCCCGTGCGGGTTGTCTGCCGCGGTGGCGGGAACTCCCTCGACTGCCGGAAAGGAGAAGTGTGTGTCTTCTGACCTTTTCTGGGGAAAAACAAACCGAAGACCTGTTCCAGCCAACCAAGAAAACAATCCAAGCCAACATGTATTTTTTTTAAAAGCAGGACAGTGGAAGAGAAAGGCCGAGGTTCCAAACCAAAATGTATTTTTTTTATAAAAGTAGGACCATGGAAGAGAAAGGCCGAGGTGAGGCTGGAAGCGAGGGCATCTGCGGAGCTGAGTACAACGGCTGCGAAGTCGCCGTTACCGGACGGAACAGGCTCCGCCCCCGAGTAAGCCCACAAAGTGGGGCGAGCACGCGCGGAGGCGAGAGGCGCTCCGCCGTGGAATCACTGCGAGCCCAGAATCCGTGGTGGAGACCGAGGGGGAGCCCACGCGCCCGGTCCCAGTCAGAGGTCGAGAAAGGGACGTCTGACCCCCGCGTGTTCCACGGAGAGACGGGGCTCGCAGGAGAGGTGGGCCGGGAGGAGCCCGGCTGGGGGGAGGCAGCTGGGGCTAGGAGGAGGCAGCTGGGGACGGACGGGGAGGAGGGAGGGAGGGAGGGAGGGAGGGAGGGAGGGAGGGAGGGAGGGGGAGGGGGAGGAGGAGGGAGGGAGGAGGGAGGGAGGAGGGGGGAGGAGGACCGCCCGCTGAGCGTTTGGAAAACCCGGGCTGGGGCTTCATGTCCCACCGGAGGGCAGGCCAGGCCTCCTGGAGCAACTCTGCGGCCGAAAACAGCGGACAGCGCTGGAGACACACGCACGCCCCCGAGAAGACTTGAATACCCCTGGGGGAGCTGAAAAGACACTCGGGGACCTCGGGCCAACAGCGGAGAGAGGCCAGAGGGGCGGACCCAGGAAGCGCGTGTCTCCCGCCCAGCGAGGCCCAGGGCCGCCCTGGGGGCGCGTGGGGCCCCTCCCCCGGGGCCGCGTGGGAGGCAGCGCTGGGCGGAGGGCCTCCTGGAGAGCGGGGCCCTCTGGGTGCAGCGCCCGTGGCCGGCCGGCCTGGCTGCACCCCCACGAAGACCCGAGAGACGTCCGTCTGGGGCGGAATGAGAAACGGGCCTGACCCCCGCACGCGACTCCTGGGAACCACTCAGGAGCAAAGGTGCACCTTGTCTGGGGGCGGGGGGCTCCTGCCCCCCAGCCTCGGGGACGCCGAGAAAGGGTCCTCAAGGGCGTTGAGTGGACAGACGACCAGAGGGGACCCCAGCAGAGATGATCAGGCCCCACGCAGCCCCCCGGAGCCCTCCAGCACCACGGAGACAGGCAGGAGCTACAGCCAATCGCGAGGCTGGAGGAACCTCCGCCCCGTCTCCTCTCCCAGCGAGTCACCGTCCGCATCCCCGGCCCTGTGCCTTTTTTCCAAGCGTGAAATGCTGCTGTTGAGAAGTCCGATACAGTATAATTTTCTTCCCACTTTCAACCGTGTGCTTTTCTGCCTAGATGCCCCGAAGACCCTTTCCCCTGTAAAACCCAGCGATTTCACTAGACCACGTTTTGGTGCTGGGTGTTCAGGATGGATTTTCCAGGACGCCCGGTTCGCCCTCTCAACCACCGGGTCAAAGAGGAAACTTTTTCGCGCCGCGGACAGCGCCCCCTGGTGTTGGTCCTGCGCCTTCGGTCTCCTCCTCGGACGTCACCTGTGCTCTCCCGTCCTCCCGGGTCTGCAAACCTTGCCCTTTTCCACGTGTCCTTTTAATCGTTTTTCTTTTTCTTTTGGATTTTTCAGTAACGCCCACTGTGTCACCTCCCTTTTTTTCTGAAGGCATTCGATAGTGGGTCTGTCTGCCCCTCTGTTCTGACGGCGTCTCCGTTTTCTAAAATGGCGTTTTCTCTTCGTTTCTGATTCTGCATGTCGTCACCTCGTTTTCGAGTGTTTCTGATCTTTGTTCACGTATTCTTCAGCGTCTGGCATCGTTTCCTTGAGGAGGCCAACCCAATGGGAGGTAACATGTTACAGTTTGGGGGCTTTTTGTTTGTTTGTTTTTTGCACGCCTTGCTGGTTTTTTTGCACGCCTTGCACGTTTTTTTTTTTCAGCGCCTGGCGGTGCGTCTGCTCCTTGTCACCCTGCTCTGTGGCCCCCCACGTCGCTGCCGCGGCTCATGGGGGACTGGTCCCTGCCTCTGTTCCGTGGCGTGTATTGGGTTGGCCAAAAAGTATGGGTTTTTTTCTCTGTAAAATAAAAGGCGTGTTTTCATTTTTCACCAATAGTTTCACTGATCTGGACATTTTGAGTGTGTCAGCTCTCTCCCGTGTGGTAGAGCGTTGATTGTTCTCAAGTACTGTCTCGATCTGATCGCTGTCGACTTCCACAGCGAGGAGTCTCCAGCACGAAACGTCACAGACCACTTTTGACACATTTAATCAGTCACGGCACCTTCTCCACAAAAATCCTCTTGTGAGTTTCAGTTGCTTTTTTGCCTTTCTTAAAACAATGAAGTGTAACATGCCAGAACGGAATATTGCATGTTTTCTTGCATCTTCAATATTAAAGTGGCTACACAAAAATCCACCGATGTTGATTTTTTTTAAATGCACGCTGATAGGGCAGCTGTCACAATGCAATCTAACAAAATTGTTTTGGATGAAGCTAAAGACAACTAAGCGCTCCTGCAGCCAGTGCCCGGAGAAAACCGGATGAGCTGTGTGGCCAGCTGCACGTGTGTGTGTGTGTGTGTGCGCGCATGTGTGAAAGTGAACACCGTTTCCCTGAGCCCTGGCGGAGGCTGAGTTCCCGCTGCTCTGCTGCCTTCACAGAGCGCCCCCTTCTGTTCAGTGTTTGCAAACAGGGTGGACTCCGTTCTGGGTTTCCAGCTCCTTCCCAGGTCTGTGTCTGTCTGACCCTCCGTTTCTGCCGCCTCTGCTGTCCTGCCGCTCAGCCTTGCCGCCGCTCCAGGCTCCTCTGCTGGAGTCTCAGGAGGGGCTCCTGGCCTGGGAAGGGGGCGCTCCCTCCGGCCACAGGGTGGGGTCTCCCCCAGCTCGTCGGTCCGGGCCCCCCCCCGCACTCGGCTCCCAGCAGCACATGCCCCACGCCGGGACTCTGGGAGTGAGCCCCTTGCCTCACAGTCCCGTGCGCTGTTGGCATCTGAGGACTCGGGGACGCCAGGCCACACTGCCGCCGGCCTGTCCTGGACAAGGTGGCCAGGAGCAGAGAGGCAGGACGCGGCCCCGCCCGACGGAGGCCGTGTGGCCTGGCTGGGCCCGCCGCTTGGTCCCACGTCCGGCGAGTCTGATGGGCTGAGGCGCGTGAGTGCTCGGGGTCTGTGTGTGCTTCCGAGTGTGACCGGGGCAGGCAGTGTGCCACAGACACAGGCGGAACCACTAACATGAGAACGAAGGGAAGGAGGGGGAGGGAGAAAAGAACGCTGAATCGGAAGGATGGACAAGGAACAGGAGAGAGGAAAACTGGACCGAAAGATGTTGCCGGGCAGCCCCAAGGCCAGGGCACGGGAAGAGGACCAGACTCGGTAAAACGAGGGGCCAAGGGCAGACGACCCAACAGAAGGGGACACGCCGACCGAGCGGGGACGCGCTGGGGGCCCCGTCAGCGTTCATTGCATAGACTGTTTTTGCCTCCTTTGTCAAATATTAATTGTCTATAAAGGCGTGGATTTTTTTCTGGGCTCTCCCTTCTGTTCCACTGATCTCTGTGTCTGTTACTGCGGCCTGGTAGTATGGTTTGATATGAGGGAGTGTGACTCCTCCAACCTTGTTCTTCCCGGGACTGCCGTGGCCTTCTGGGCTTCCATGTACATTTTTGAACTATGTGTTCTAGTTCTGTGAAATACGACATTGGAATCTAATTGGAATTGCGTTGAATCTATAGATTGCTTAGGGCGGTATGGACATTTTAATGATGTTAATTCCTCCTATCCGTGAACATGGTATGTGCTTCCACTCATTTGGGTCTTCTTCAGTTTCTTTCTTCAGTGTCTTACAGTTTTGTGAGAACAAGCCTCTTACATCTTCGGTTAAACTTAGTCCTAGATAGTTCACCTTCTCGATGCAGTTGTGAATGGGACTGTTTTCTTAGTTTCCCTTTCGGATGGTTCATTACTGGCATATAAACATGCGACCGATCTCTGAGTATTTGTTTTGCACCCCGCCACATTACGGAACCCATTCACCCGTTCTAGTGGTTTTCCGGTGGAATCACTCTCACTCGACCCAGCCCTGGGAGTCGTGGTCGCGGCGCTCAGACGAGAAGAAACAGAAGTCACGGGGACGGAAAGGAGGAAGTAAAACCGTCGTCATCGGCAGATGACGTGGCCCTGTGCACAGAGAACCCCGAAGATCGCACTGCCCATTTCTTTAGTGCATTGTTCCCTACTAAACTCCAGGAAAATTAAAGAAAATGCTTATTTTAAATGGCATCAGGTAGTTTTATGTTTATGAAATATTCTTAATCTGCTTTTCCTGTGATATTTGCCCACAAAAAATGTCTAAACACTGTTTCCCTAACGTGAATCGTATTATGCTTCCACGCAGGGGCTTTGGAGTGGGGTTTACTTTAACTTTCCCCTCGTATGGTCCATGTCACGCACGACCCTTTGAGCAAATCTGTGCTGAGTTCGCCAAGACCGTAACGCTGTCTCCGGCGGGCCGTCGCCTCCCCACGGAGGAGGAGGTCGGGAGGACTGAGAAGAGGAAGTGTCAGTTCCGCAGGGCGACGCCAGCAGACGCTGGCGGGGCGTAAAGCGGCGTGGATGGCGTGACCGCCCGCCCAGCGCGCCCTGGGGATGCAGGCTGGGGACAGGGCGGAGGCCCCGGCTGTGGGCGGACCTGCCCCTCCCCGGGAGGACGCGGGGCCAGGGGAGGACAGCTTGTCCCCTCCACCCAAAATGTACTCACGGCTCCTACGGCTCTTGCAGATGAAGCCCTGGAGACAGAACAGAGAGAGGGCCAGAGGGTCAGTCCTGCCTCCGGAGCCGGCCTGGCTGTGTCCCTCGGCCCGAGCTCCGCTGGGGGCGTGGGGTGTCACAGCCCTCGGTCCCTTCTCCTCTATATCTGGGGACACTGGCCCTGAGAAAGCCCAGCCCAGGGGCCTGCCCACAGCCGGGGCCGCTCAGTGAACGGTGTGATGGGACCTGTGACCTCCCAGCCCCACCGTCCCAGGCCACGCTCCCCAGCACCAGGGCAGGTGCTGCCCTGGGCGTCGGAAGGTGCGGTGACAGCAGTGGCAGCAAGAAGCCACAGCAGTGGGGGCCTCTGTCCCTTCCTTGGGGAGCTGACACTCGGGGGACCCCAGGAATCTGAGGCAGTGGACGGGGGGGGGGGGCAGCTCAAGGGGGAGTCCCCGGGCTCGCCGCTGGTGGCCCAGGAGGGACGAGCGTGAGGTCTGCTCCGGCCCCTTGGGCCTGGGGGGCAGGCGCCCCGCGGGTCCCGTCTTCCCCCTCGCCCGCCCCCTCTCTAAACGGCTCCCCCTTGGGAGGAGTGCTGGGTCTCCGGGGCGCTGGCCCCACGTCCCTGATCGCCCCCGACGGACGAGGTGCCTCGCTGGTGGCCACACTCCGGGCCGACGTGGCGCTCCCCCCCCCCCACCCCGGACATCTGTTCTCTCCTCCGCATCTCAGAGTCTCCCTGGCTTCTGACTCCCGCCCCACGGCTATGGTCCTGTTCTCTGACCCACAAGACATCTCCCCGGGGACAGGCCGCGGGCCCCTCCCGCGTCTCCTGCTGAGGTCGGAGGACCACAGGCTGGACCTGCCACCTCGGTCCTGCGGCCACGCCCACGGGCCACGGGCAGAGCCGGTCCCGGGGCGGGAGCCCCCTTCCCCCGGCTGCCCACCCACCTGCCGCCTCCTCCAGAATGTGACTGAGCGGGGGGCGGGGGGGGGGCAGGTGGACGTGGTCTGAGGGGCACAGGAGGAGGGACCAGCAGGGGCAGAACCGAGGCCAGAGGGCACCTGGGGGCTGTGCTGCCCAGAAGCCCTGGCGCCTGGGGACAGGGGAGAGGGCGGGCCCCGCGCCCCGGGCCCTGTGAGGCGAGGGTAGGGCGGAAATGCAGAAGTCGCTGGGGGTTTCCGTCGGGCTTTCCGGGGCTTCCCGGCCCGTGCAGGGGAGGGGGCCGAGTCTGTTGCGGGGACTCCTGAGGCACAGTCTCCGAGGTGGGGCCCGGGGTCCATCCAGCTGGAGCGGGGAGGGACCCGGCACCCTGGTCTTGGCTGCAGGGTGGCACCAGTGGAGCTGGGGGGCGGCAGGTCCCTGGCGGCCCCTGGCAGCCCACGGCCCTGGCCCTGCCGTCTGTCCCTGCCCTGGCCCTGACTGCCTGGGCTCCAGGAGGACCCGTGTTCACTGACGGGGAGGGGCGGGCTGTGACTGGGCTGGACCGAGGCCTCCGCCATCCCCCCTCCAGCTTCTGCCCCCTCCCTCAGTGGCAAGCCGCCTGCCCGGCGTCCGGCAACCTGCTCCCCCTCATCCCACCGGCTCGGCCCAGTGGCCAGGCCACCGCCACCTGTGGGCGGGGAGCCCCTCGCTTCCCCCTGATGGCCCCCCGCCCCCTCCAACCCCCCTTCCTTCCAGGGTTCCTCGTCCTCCCCCTAGCCCTGGGCGGGGCGGCTCCGACCCCAGCCCGACCGACCGGCAGCCCCTTCCCTGCGCGGGATGGCCTCGCCCTGAGCTCCACCCCGAGGCCCGAGTCCTTGGCGGGTGGGTTCTCGGACCCCACGTTTCCAAACCCAGGTTCCCCCCTTCCTGAGCACTTGCCCCGCCCCGCCTCCAGATGGCCCCCCATCAGCCCTGAGGCTCAAGGCCACCTGGCGTTTCCCCCGCCCTCGGGCACCTGGGCCCTCCTGCTGTCTCCCCGCCACCGCCCCCCAAGGGGCCCCTGCTGCGCTGCTTCTCGGAGGGAACCGCCCCGGCCCCAGGGTCCCTGCACCGCAGCTCTGTGCCCGGCCCCCAGCCTCTGCCGCCCTGCCTGGCCCTTGCCCTGTGCCCCTGAGCTTCAGCTGCCGTGAGCCCCCGTCCCCCCCGAGCCCCTGTCCCGGGCCCTCTGCTGGACACACTCCCAGGCTCCTCGGACCTGCCTTCCTCCTGAAGGGAGACCCCGTTTCCCGGGGGCCCGGCCGCCGCTGGGAGGCCCGTGGGAGCCCTCCCCCAGCCCGCCTGCCCTGGCTCCCTGCCTCCTCAGCCATCGCCACCCCCGGGTCTAGGTTTGCTGTGCGTTTTCCCAACAAGAACACCCGTCCCTGAGGGCAGGGCAGCGTCTGCTCCCCGAGGTCCACACCTGAGCGGCGGGCACACACAGCAGGTGCTCAGCCAGGGCCCCCGCCCCGTGACCCCTCCCGGCCGCGGCCGCCGCGCCACAGCCAGCCCCGGCGCTGCGGGCACTCGCTGGGATGCGGGCACGCTCCTCACGCCAGGTGCCGCCGAGACCCTCCCTTGGGTGAGGCCGAGGCACCCCGCTCTGCCCTGAAGAGCCCCGCACGCCACCCCTCCTGAGCCGTGCCCCGGCCCGGCGGCCCTTCCCGCACCACGATGAACCCGTTACCAGGAGCCTTTCCTCCTCGGTGTCCATGCGGGCCCGACCCCGCTGGAGCCAGGGCCCTGCTGGGCGGGGCAGCGTGGCTCCGGGCCCAGCCCGGTGCCTGCTCGGGGAGGTGGGTCCCAGGTGCGGCAGCAACCGTCCCCCAGAGCAGAGCCGCGGGGTCAGGCCGGGCACCTCGCAGGGATCCCCCCCCGCCCCCCCCCACCGGGGCTCCTGCACCCCCACCTGTCACCGTTGTGTGTGTGCTCACGGGTGCCGGCCCGCGCCCACCTGGGGAGGCGCCGGGGCCCCATCTAGGTGAGAGCTAGGGAGGGGCGGGGGCTCACCTGGGAGCAGGAGAGGCCGCATTCCGAGACCCGGGGCACGGCCAGGCTCTGGTAGGCGCTCCAGGTCAGGGACAGGAGAGCCACAGCCCCCCCGGCCAGCATGGCCCCGGCGGCGGCGGGGACCCCGTGCACCAGGGTCGGGGGAGCCTGCAGGGCGCTCCTGGGCAGCTGCCGTCGCCTCCCCGGCCGCAGCCGCAGCCCCAGCAGCAGCAGCAGGCAGGAGCCGACACTCACTCCTGCTCGGTGGCTCCCGGTGGAATGGAGCCCAAGTGGGCCGGCCGAGCCACAGCCCCACAACTCCCCGCCTGTCCCAGCTCGCGCTGATGGCCTGCGGACTCTGGCCAGACGCCCGTGGGCTTTCTCGGCTGCCAGACACTCCTGAACCCTGAGTCACCGGGGCCCCAGGTGACTGGGGTCTCCACAGGGCTGGAGGCGGGAGCAAGGCTGCCTGTGGGGCTGAGGGGCCAGGGAGCCGGCCCCACACCGCTCCCTCTCTCAGGCACCCCTCCCGGTGGCAGGGGCTGGGGGTGGCCCCGACCCTGGTGGGCAGCTCTGGGCGTGAGCCGTGCTGGGCGCCTGCTCCCCAGCGTGCCCCCTCTGGCGCCCCGTCCCGTGGGGTGGTGCTCCCCTGGAGTAGAACCTGAGACTGCACCCCGAACCCCGGGTGCCCCCATCCATCCCCTCTCTGCCAAGCCCTCTGGCTGCTGTCCCTTGCCCCAGAGAACTGCGCCCCACGGCCTGGGACGCCCAGGCCTGGCCTCTGCTCGGGAACCCTGCTGGGCCCCAGAGAAGTGTCCAGACGGAGGCTCGCAGCGGCTCTGGGACGCAGAGACCCCGGGCGCGCTCTGGAGCCCTCGGTCTCCTCCCTCCCCAGGCAGGCAGTGTCCCGAGAGCGGGGGGACACGTGAAGGGGGGTGGGGCTGGGGAGCCCCCGGGGAGCTGGGGACCGGCCTGGAGCCCCGGTGGGGCCGTCCACGGGGGGCGGGAGCAGACCCAGAGTGGCACCATCCCCGGGCCAGGCACCCAGCAGGCGGGTCCCCGGAGCGGCCCTCAGTGCACGTGGAGCCTCCCCCCGTCATGGAGTGTCCCCCACAGGAGACGGGGCCTGCGGACACCCAGGGCCACGGTCCGCACCCTGCCTCCCTCCCCCCAGACTGGTGCCCTCGACCCCCCGCCGCTGCCTGGCCTGTGGGCCCGTGTGGTGTTCACCCGTGGCCACAGTGCAGGGGTGGGGGTGATGGCGGGCTCCATGCGGGCAGTGCGGTCACTGCCACACCAGGTGACTCCCTGGGCACCACCTCCTGGGAGCGAGGAGGCCCCTGGGGCCTGAGAGGGACCCTGGCGGGCCCGCTCCACGGCCACCCTGCCAGGCGACCCGCCTGCTCCTGGAATGTGGCATTGCAGAACCGGGGGTGATCGGCAGGGGGCAGGGGGCCAACCGTGTGACTTTCAGGGGGCAAAGCATGGCGGGCATGGGCCCCTCCCCTCCCGGGACCCTGACTTGTGTCTGATCCCTGGGGGCCCCAGGCCTTCCCAGTGTCCACAGAGAACTGTCCCCACCCACTCCTCGGAGACCCCCGTCCTGTGTAGGTTTGAGGATTGAACACCCCAGCCGGAGCCCAAGGAGTCCGCAGGGGCTCCCTCATCCCAGGCCTCCCTAGTCTGCACGGCCCGCCGATGGCTGAGGCCGCAGACACCCCGCTGCAGTGGCATCTGAGGGTCGGTCCCTTGCTCAGCACCAGGTTGGAAGGAGACGCAGGGGCAGCAAGAGCCTGGGCCAGCAGAGCAGGACTTTTGTTGGATAAAAGAGTGAGCAGACCTGGATGGCTGGTGTGGCTCAGTGGACCGAGTGCCGGCCTGAGAACCGAAGGGTCACCAGTTCGATTCTCAGTCAGGGCACATGCCTGGGTTGTGGGCCAGGTCCCCAGGGTGGGGTTTCTCTCCGTCCCTCCCCCGTGTCTCTAAGGTAAACAAAGTGTGGGGCGTGGGTTGGGGGGGTGCAGGCACTGGGCCGGGGCAGGGGCTCCGTAAGAAGCAGCACAGTCAGAGTTGCATGGTTTCGCTAAAATAGCTCTGTATACAGGGTTCCTCATCTACGTGCAGGTGTCCAAGGAGACGCGCCAGGGCTGGGGCTGCGGGTCCAGGTCCCGAGGTCCGCGGGTGGCGAGGAGGCCGTGCCTGGCGGTGGTGCAGGAGCAGCCGTGCTGGCAGGGCTGGACGGACGGCAGCAGCCGGGGGCACTAGACGCGGCGCGGGCGGGCCCCTTCGCAGCCCTGGGGGGGAGAGAGAGGCCCTGAGCCCTTGCCCACCTGCCCAGGCCCCAGGCCCCAGGCCCCAGGCCCCAGGCCCCAGGCCCGGAGGCCGAGCACCAGCCCCCAGACTCTGCTTCTCATCCTTGAAGTCACGCCCGCAACCCCAGGCCAGGCCCAGGGGCCCACTGGGACACCTGCCTCCCGCCCCCCATCCCCAGGGCCACTCTCGTCCCCTGCAAGGACCTGGGTGCAAGTCCACTCCCAGCTGGCTCCCAGGCCCACCTGGCCCCGCACAGACTCCAGCCCTCGGGAAACCTGGCCTCCGCTCAAGTCAGGTGTAGTTCCCAGGAGCCTCGTGTCTCCGGGGTGAAGGCGGTGGGTTTGGGGACGTCCTCCTTGCCCTGCTCCTCTGTCCTCCTGCCCCTGCCCGCCCCCATCAGAGGCAGTGGGTGGTCCCAACCAGGTGGGGCCGGGGCAGCAGCGAGGCAGACGGGGGCTGGCCCCCCACAGGAAGCCCACAGCCCGTCGCCACCGTGAGCCGCCCGCCACAGCCAGCCTGGGTGCCACCCCCCGCCCCCCACCCAGGAGCAGGTCCCGCAGCGTCCACCCACCCAGGCCCCTGGGCTGTCCCCCGGCCTGTGTTCAGGAGGCCAGGGCAGAGGACTCTCCCACTGGTGCCCCCAAAGGGGCCCCCTTCTCTAGCTCTTCCTCTGGGCCTGGACCCACCCTGGCCCTCCTCCAGACTGGACATGCCCAGAAAGACCCTGGTCTTTCCACCTGGCCTGGCCGAGCCCGGAGCATCAGGGCCAGGGGCTCAGCACGGGCCGACGGAGCTTCTCCCGCCGGCAGCTGGGGTGCGCCGGCAGCGGGGGCCACCGTCCACCCTGCGGCGGGCTGAGCTCCGTGCCAGCCCGTCCAGGACCTTGCTGGGCAAGGGGGCTGTGGACGGCGGCAGTGTGGACGGGCAGCCCGGCAGAGGCTGTGACAGGCCCGGGTGGGCAGGCCGGCCCCTGTGCGGCCCCCGCCCCCACCCCTCGAGGGCGGACAGAAGCTGCTGCCTCTCACAGCCCCAGACGCCCAGGGCGGGGAGGCCAGCAGACAGCTGGGACCTGCGCCTCTCTGAGGGGCCGGGGCCTTGGCCCCACCCCCACAGGCCTCCGTGCCCCTCCCTGGAGCCTGGCCCCTGCCCTTGCTGTGGGCTGTCCCCCGGGGTCTCTGGCCCCCCTGAGCGCTGGCCCTGACGCCCCTCCCTTCAGGCCGCTCAAGGCCCCCGTGGGGGGCGGGAGGAACGGGACCCCAGGTGGCCGTGCCTCAGGAGCGCAGCAGGTGGGCCGGGACACCACGCCCCTCGGGCCACTCTTTCCCCACGCAGGGCTGAGTCACCCCTCCCTGTGGTGCCTCCGGGAGCCTATGCAAAGCAGCCCGCAGCTTCCTGGAGCCCGGAGCAGACGCTGCGCCCCAACCGGGAAACGGCCCTCCCCTCCCCGCCGGGCCCCCAGGGCACCCTGGGCCTTCAGGCGCACCGCGGAGGGGGCTGGGGCTGGGGCCCCGCACAGGGTGGGAGGCCGAGTTTGGGGGCAGCAGGCCCAGCAGCCGGGGGGGCAGCTCGGCCGGGCAGTTCTTTGCCCACCAATGCACCCCAGGGTGACACAGGATCCCCCACGGGGTTGGAAGGGTCAAGGCCAGGTCAGCTCCGTGTAAAGAACGGGACTGGGCTGGACATGCTTCCGCGTGTGAGGGGAGCAGTGCCTGCCAGCGGCGAGCGCCCAGCACCCGCGGGTGCCCGAGGGGCATGGGCAGAGCCCAGAGCCCCGGGGGGGGGGTAGGGGCCCCCAGGGGGCAGCACCAGGGGGCACAGTGTGCCCAGGAGCTGGTGCCCTTCCGTGCAGACCGATCCCTCCCCTTCTGGGGGAACCGCCAAACACGGGCATAAATATGAAAAGAGTCTTCTTCGAAGCAACACAGCGCCCGCAAAGGAGCAAGGAGTGACCTGCCTCCACAGTGGGGACGCCCCAGGTGCTTCCTTCTGAGTCCGCCAGCCAGGGGGTCCGGGGCTCGGGCACTCCCGGGCCCCGGCGGCCTGTGGGGGCAGACCACCACCACCGCAGGGAGGGCAGAGACGCCCACCGCTCTGCGAAGCAGTAACCCTGAAGGGCCACACCTGCCCCTGCGTGGGGGGCCGCGGGAGGGACCCCGGTGGGGAGCGGTGCCGGGGAAACCCCAGAGGACACAGCCCCAGCCGGCACCCAGGTTCCCCCAACAGAGTCTTATCCCGGGGCTGCGGGGTGGGGGGCCATGTGTCTGCTCTGGACGTAAATGACACCGGGCACCTTCCTCCAGGCCGGGGGGGCCGGGACCTGCCTTCCGGGGGGCACGCAAAGCATCCCCACGACCCGCCACTGACGGGGAGACGAGCGGCTCCTGAGAACGCGAGAGGACGCGCCGGCAGACCCGGCGCCCGGTCAGGGCTGAGGCCGGTCCCCGCCATCGACCGCCAGGCGCGGCTGGGCCTGCACGCGGCGCGGCTTCCGTCTGTCAGAGATCACGGGCCAGGGGGGCGAAGGAGAGGGTGGGGGGGCCCAAACGGCTCTGCCGAGGAGAGCTTCCAACACAGCGGAACGACCGTAACTGAGATTGACGTTTCGGCACACGGATCGGTGTCCCGGCGTCTGGCGCAGCGAGGACGGCCCGGAGGCGGCCCGGGACCAGCGGCCGGAGACCCGGGGACAGGCGCTCGCCCCGCTGAGCCCCGAAGCCGGCGGGGTGGTGGTGAGGGGGAAGCTGCCGGCAGAGCAGGAAGGACTGGGAGTTTCTCATCGCCGGCTAACGGCTCCGTGTGCAGAGGGCAGGGCTCTGCAGACCGCCGCCGGGAGAAGCGGCACGCCACACCCCAGGCCCGCAGGCCGGAAAGCCGGCGGCTCCCAGGCGGACGGACGGACGGCCAGGAGCAGCAGCCGAGAGGCCAGACAGGGGCCGGTGAGCCCGGGGTCCAAGACGAGGGGCCTCGGCCCCACTCCTCCCCGGAGAATCTGTCCCTTCCAGAAGCAAGCGTGAAAAGGACCTTTGTCCATCCAAAGCTCCTCCGGGTGTGGCACCCCCGGGCCCTCCCCAGGGGGCGTCCTCCGGAGCACATCTTCGGCAGGAGGCCCGTGGTCCCACTGGGGGGGGGGGTGCACAGGGCGGGGGAGGGCAGAGCTGCCCAACACGACGCAGCCAGACAGCCAGGCAGACAGACAGACAGCCAGACAGGCAAGCACAGCCCAGAAACCGGACAGCACAGCGCTGTGGTGACGGTGCCGCCGAGGGAGGGGGACTCGGCACCCCCTGAGCGTCACGCGGGGTCCGTGGAGCGCCCACCGACGAGCCCGACTCCCACCCCACGCGCCGTGGTGATTCCCGGCCGGGTTCGGGCGTGCACGTGAACTGTCGCCCGGCACCCAGAGCGTGCAGGCGCGCTGAGGAGAAACAACTGAAGGGACCGTTTCTTAGGGCCGAGGCGACGACTCCTCAGACAGGACACAAAGTGCGAATCCTAAAAGGGGAAACCGGTGCAGAGGCGCGTGGAATGAGGCGTCCGCGGGCAGCGAAAGGCGCTGGTCGGAGAGTGAAAGGGAAATCACCGCAGGGTGAGACACGCCCCACGGGTGCATCCCACCCCAGGGTGGGGCCCAGAGATGCCGCGAGTCCACGGGACGGGCCAGCGGAAACGCTTGCCCAAATACAAAAACGGTGCTTTGCAGGGGCACGGGCCACAGAGTGTCCCGCTGTGCGCTGTGAGAGAGAGAGACGTTTGCCGAGGATACGAGACACAGGACACATCGCACGCAGGATGGTGACGCCTCAGTCCCCCGCGAGGCAGGCGTCTCGGGACCTCACACGGTTCTCCCAGCCACCCTCCGCTGCCCCGTCGTGTTTTCCTGAATCTCACCGATGGTCTGAATCTCTTCCCCTGCAAAGGTGACTCAAGTTTGGGGAGAAGCCAGAAGTCGCATGGTGCCAAACCTGGGCTGTAGCGGGGCTGAGTCACCTGGGAGGTTTGATGTTTCCCCAAAAGCTCTGCACGAGACGTGGTGCATGAGCGGACGCGTTGTTGAGACAAGGCTGCCAGCCACCGGCTGCCCACAGCCGCGGCCTTCTGGATCATCCAAATAATTTCTGTGGAGGAATGTTCAAGCTTAACACAAAATCTGACGCAGGTCCGTTGCTCTGCTCGCTCAGTCCTTTTGAGTGTGACGGCCCCACAGTGCACACGTGCTCACTGAGCAGCCTCCGCTGCCCTGCTGACCAGCCCAGTGAGGTCATCACTGGTCACACGGGCGCATTCCAGCCCTCGCTCCTCGGCTGCCCGGCGGCACCGATGTCGTGCAAACTGTTCTCCTTGCATTAACAGTGGCTGCACTTCTCCTGGACAGACCTCGCGTGCGCGAGCGGACCGGGAACACGGAGACTCACCGAAGTCCGTGAGTCATCAGGGAAACGCACCAGGAAGCCGCCATGCAAATGCCCCGCTCCCCTGCGGGAAGGGGTGGACGGCCTGGGGTTGGCAGCGGGCGCGCCCGGGCCCTGCGGCGGGAAGTCGCTGAGGGAAAGGGTGGGGAGTGTCTCCCAGGGCCGAGTGAGTGGCCCGGCGGGCAGCCCTGCGGTTGGAGAACGGAGTGACGTGTTCGCCACATTCCGGAACACTCACCACAGCACTGACTGTGCCCGTCTGACCGAGAAACAGTCTGACTCTATCCACGGCAGGACGAAACATAGATGTGGTGGAGGATGAGTGATAACCACACGCGAGGCAGCGAACGGGGCCCCGAGCCAGACCAGCGGTCAAGCCGAGTCGGGGTCCTTCCGGGGCGCAAGGGTGGGCTCACCCCGAAACCGTGGTCGACATTATCCACACTGTAATGGGACGCGGGGCGGACGATTTAACAGGATAAAGCTGACGATAACCTCAGAGGTGAATGACGTTCTTGAGAAAGTTCACCCCGCGAGCACCACGTGAGCTCGCGGCGAGGACGAAAGACCAGGCTCCCGCGCGCTGGGGTGTCCGCCTGCACACCTGTGGCGACGGCCCGCAGCCCTGTCCCCGCGAGGAGGGAGCGTTTGCTCCAGAGCCCGGAAGCCCCCACGGGCCCAGCCTCGCCCAGGCGCTCTGGCCAGAACTGCAGGGCGCAACAGAGGCACTGGCGGCAGCCTGTCCCTGCACACGGGGACAGCAGGACGGCCCTGGGGGTGGGGGTGGCCTGACCCCGACATGGGGGCCTTGTGAGGGGGCGACCTGGACTCGGGGGGAGCCATGCATGAACCCGGAGAGCGGAGCGACCCGTCCGCGAGCCCAGGGACGCCGGCCATCGCCAGCGGCCACCGGAAGCTGGAGGGGACCAGCAGGACTGCTCCCCAGGGCGCGCAGCCCGGCCTGCGGCCCCGTAGAGAGTCCGCCTCTGTCCTTGAAGCCGCCTTGTCTGCGGTGCTCCACACGGCGGCTAAGGCGTCCAGTTACGTCGACGCTGTGGGCGGCCAACCACTCTGCAATTTGCTCCTGGGCAGACGTCTGTACAAAGCTGCACAGTGTACACGGACGAGGAGGCACTTTTTCAAAACAGCGAAAAATACCCAGATTTCCAGAGGTGAGCTGATGCGCAGCGGGCTGCCAGGCCTTGGTGACAGAGAGCAGACCAGACCAGAGCTGTCCCCGCAGCCCTGGGGCTCAGGGGGAAGCTCTGGGGGGTGGGGGGGATGGGGGGAGGCACGGCACACACTCGCTGCTGGAGCCAGCACAGCCCGGGGGCTCGTGACCACCTGGCGGCAGACAGGCCGCCACAGACACCCAGGCGGTTAGAGAGCTGCTGGGGTCGGGGCCAGAGGGAGGGGAGAGGCCGGCCCCCCAGCAGGGGAGCTGCCGTGCATCTGGGGCGGTGAGTGCCGTGGGCGGGGCGGGCGGGGCGTGGGCACTGCCTGGGTATTTCCGTGGCACACGCCCCCTGGGCCACCGCTGTGGGCCGGGCCCCATGGGACTCGGCAGGGCGCCCACCCAGCCCAGCCACCCCGCCGGCACGCACTCCGAGCCCAGGCCCAGTGCGGGTCCCAGGCCCCACGTGGTCGGCTCCTCCAGGGAACCGAACGCAGGAGCCCAGAGATGTTCAAACCTCGACCTCAGTCCCCTCCATCTGCACCGCACCCCACGAGACAGCGAGACAAAGGCTGTCACCCACGGGTCCTGTGGAGGGGAGCCGGGTGCCCGGCCAGCTCCTGAAACCGACGTGACAGAACCCCACTCTCCCACCAGCCTGGCCGGGCCCGGGGAGACGCAGGCCCTGCTCGGAGCTCAGGCCGGCGCCCCATCGAGACCGGCCCCGGAGCCCGGGCACGCGGAGCAGGCAGCGTGGGGCAGGAGGCCCGAGCAGGCAGGCGCAGGCACCCGCGGCACGGACACAGAGCCCCCGACGGCGGCCACGCTTGGAAGCACAGCGGGCAGTGGGTGCACGGGCGCCACGTTCGCGCCTGAGGGTTGCTCGGACCGGAAGACCGGCTCTGGGGCCACGCTGTCTGAGTGCCAACATGACACCCGGGAGCTGTGTCCTCCCACCCGGCCGGCTTGGGGAGCGGGCCGACTGGCAGCCAGGGGCAGGGGCCCGGGCGGGGAGCCGGCAGGTACCTTTCTGTCTCTGAGGCTGCAGGGCTGCGGGAGGGCCGTGCGCGGGGGTCCGGGCACCCGCTCCGACAGGGCCGAAGGGCACCTCACTTTCACCGGCTGAATGTCCAAGAGCGGCGACAAGAAGTGAGGGTTGGGAATGGGCGGCATCGGCTTCTTGGCTTTCCGAACGCCGATGCCCTCCACGCAGAGGTCGGACCCGTGGACCTGCGGCAGGTCCACCGCAGGCTGCCGGGGGGGAGGGCGGGGGGCGAGGTCAGGGGTGCTGAGCTGCCCCTCACCAGGGCCCAGGGCCCCCCTTCCTGGATCTGCCGGTTGGTCAGGTATAAGGCCTCAGAGAAGCATCGACCACATTCTCCATGGCTGGGCTGCCCAGCCACAGAGCCGGAGGCCAGAGACCAGGGCATGCAGGGGGACCTTTGAAGGGGGACATGTCTTTCCCCAAGGACACAGAGGAGGTCACGGTAGTTCCCGACAGGAACGGCCTGGAAGGACCGGAGCCCACGGGCATCTCTCCAGCCCGACGCCCTCCCCCCGCCCACCGCTGGGCTTGTGTGTGAGACGGCCCCAGGAGCAGCCCCCAGCCCATGGAGCGCCCCCTGGAGGCAGGAGTCTCGGCTGCCCCGCTGCCCGCCCGGGCTGGCCGCACCTGTCTCCACAGCAGCTCGAAGTTGCCGATGTCGCAGTTGCGGTCGCCCTTCCGGTCCACGACCACCTTGATGGTGTCCTCCTGCACCTGCGCGCACAGCCGGGCGGTGACCGGCGTGGAGGCGTGCATCGTGGGGCTGGAGTTGATCTCGATCAGCCAGGGCCGGAAGTCGCGCCCCAGGACGAAGTCGGCGCCGTAGAGCTCGAAGCTGCCCTTGCGCGGCTCCACGTGGTCCTGCGCCACCTTCATGGTGTGGGTGACGGCCCGCTTCATGGACGGGTAGATGACGCTGCCCCACACGGACCCGCGGCCCTTCTTCTGCAGGTACTCGCGGAACGTGGTGCTGGTCCACATGTTGTGGTGCGGCAGCAGGGGGCTGCGGCCCTTGTCGTTCGGCAGGTGCCTCTGGACGGAGTTGTTGCAGAGGTGCACGGCGCTGCGGGGCGAGGCCGCGGTCATGAGCGCGCCTCGGGCCCCGCCCCCCGCCGGGCCCCACCTTAGGCCCCGCCCCCAGCCCAGCCCACAGCCCAGCTTTGCCTCGGGCCCCGCCCCTGGCCCCGCCCCCGGCCCCGCCCCCGGCCCCCCGGGCAGGAGACCTCCGTCAGCTCCCCGTCCTGCCCCGGGGGTGCCCGAGAGACCGCGCCAGGGCCAGGTCCGAAGCCCACCAGCACAGGGCCACCACCTAGGGGTCCCCAGCGAGTGACAAGGTCCGCAGCCTCAGTCTCCCCGCTGTGCGGAGCGGCAGAGCCGGGCCCTTGAAGAGCTGGCCGAGAGGAAAAGAGTCGCTGAGGCTCCCAGGGACCTCGTCCGGGCTCTGGCCCGGTCCCGAGCGACACACACAGAACCACCGCCCCGGGGACACGCCGAAGCACCCCAGGTGCTCCGGGGCGGCCCCAGCCGCGCGTCTGGGGGTGTCCATCGAGTCTGGGTGTGGATACCGCCCCGAGATTAAGTTTCACTTCCCTCGGACACAACAGGGAAAGGAAACCACCGAACGTCGGAGAGTTACATCGCACCCGAGCACATTGTGCTGCGGCCGCGGGCGGGCGGGGCTCTTGCTGCCCCGCGGGGTCGCGCTTGTTCACGAGTCCAGGGACTCCCCCCGCTCCAGCCAGCCTGGGGTGGGGGCCGGGCTCCCAGGTGGAGCAGTGGGGCTTAGGGATGGGAGGGGGCGCTCCCGGAACGCTCTGAAGACAGACGGTTCGTGGGAGTGCAGAGCGCGGGCGTCGAGGGGCAGCAGGCCTGCGCCCCTCCCCTGGGAGGGAGGTCCCACGGGCGCCGGACCTCGGCGCCCCGTGCACCCCCTGGTGGCGGCAGTGGCAGACACGGCCGGGGCGCCCCGCCCCCGCCCGCAGCCCCCGCCTGCAGCCCCCGCCCGCAGCCCCCGCCGGAGGCGCACCGACCCGTCCAGGTTGTCCAGGGAGAAGCGCCGCGTGGAGAACCGCAGGTAGCTCTCCTTGTAGAACCAGATGGTCAGGGGGTTCCAGTCGGTGACCAGGAACCACTGCCGGATGTCGAACTTGGTGTCGTAGATGAGCAGCGGGGTCTCGATGTACTTCTGCACCACCCACCTGTTGTCCTTGGCGGGCAGGTGGTCCGCCGCCACCAGCTCCAGGACGTCCTCCACGCGGTCCATGCACACGATGTCTGCGGGAGGCCGGCGCTCAGCCCCGGGGCCCCGCGGGCACCCTGGGGGGGAGGGGTGCGCGAGGGCGGGGAAGGCTGGGACCCGGGGCCAGGCCGCAGTCAGCGCAGCCCCAGCGCTCCGGGCAGGGTTAACCAGCAACGCCCAGAACAAGGGCCGGAAGGTCAGCCCAGCTGAGACGCCCAGACCCAGGGCTGTGGGGCGCCGGCACGTCCTGAGCCGCCACGGACCCCGGCGTCCAGCCCCCTCCGCGCCCACGGCAGGCCGTCCCGGTGGGCTGTCCCCGCAGGCCCCAGCCCGGGACGCGGCGGGCACCTCGGGACCCACCTCGGCCCCGGGACTTGGCCGCGGGCTTGACGATCCAGATGTTGCGGAGCCCGTCGATCTCGGTCTGCGGGCTCACGGCCGAGATCCTGTTCAGCAGGGCCTGGCACCGCGACAGGTGGCTTCTGGGGTCCGAGATGACAGCGTCGCCGCTGGAACCCAGAGTGCAGGACGCGCGTGAGCTTCCGGGGCGGCTCTCGGGCTCCCCGGGCGGCAGGGCCGGCCGGCCGGTCCCCTGGAGCCTCAGGCCACCAGGGGCGCCGGGAACCTGACCTTGACCTTGACCTTGCAGGGCCCCTCCGGGCTGGGTGCTGGGGACCCCGGGCACCCACGTGCGGGCCTGGGCCGCACGTGCATCCCAGCAGCGCCGTGCTTGGCCAAGTAAAGGCCGCAGGGAGACAAAGGTGGGGTCCCTGTGTGGGGCCCCGGGTTGGCGTGGCCCTCGCAGGCCCCTGTGCCCGGTGGCGGGTGGCACCTAGGACAGCGTCTCCCCTGTGGGGCGTCCTGATGGGACAGCCGACCCGCCCATGCTGGCCGCACGGCATCCTGCACCCAGACGGACGCCCTCCCTGTGCAGCCCCACCCCCCCATGAGGGACAGACCCTCCCCCTCCCCGCCCCGCCCCCCGTGCCCTCACTGGATGAGGGAGTAGTACTGCCGGGTCAGCTCCTGCCACTCCTCCTCCGTCAGGCCCTGGGCCGCGTCCTCAGAGACGTCGATGTCTTCGTGCTCCAGCTGCCCCAGGTACGCCTGGCACACGCGGCACGCCGTGTCCACCAGCTGCCCCGACAGGCCCGTGGGCCCCGGGTCGTCCGCTGCGGCACCTGGAACCCAAGCGCAGGCGCCGGCTGTGGCCCCACTGGCCCTTGGGCCGCCTGGCCTCCCGGGCGACCTTCTGTGGGTGGCGCCCCGGATGCCACACCCATCTGGGCAGGTGCCCCCCTCCCTCAGAGCCCACGGTGGCGGCCTTGTGAGCGGGCGGTGGACAGGCTGGGGTCCGGGCGCACAGCGGGACGTCACTGGGCGGTAAAGGGAAGCGAGCTCGGGCCGTGGGGAGATGTGGGGGAAGCTAAAGCGCCCGTTTCCGAGGGAGAGCAGCCCCCACTGTGGGAGTCCAGCCCCGCGACACTCTGCAAAGGGCCGACCCGCGGGGACGGTGACAGAGCTGTGGTCGCCGGGGGCTGGGGGGGAAGGGAGAAGGACGCCCTGGCAGAGCACAGGGTTTCGGGGCGGTGAGACTCCTCCGGGGGACTCTGCATCGAGGGACTCGTGGCATTGCACAGGTGTCCCAGCCCACGGGACGCACAGCCCCGAGGGAGCCTGACGCACACTGTGGACTCCCGGTGACGGTGACGTGCCCACACAAGTGCAGCAGTCATCGCCCACGTCCCCTCTGCGGGGGACGCTGATGGGGGGGACCAGGCATGTGAGCTCACGGTGGGGGGTGAGGGTCGGCACCCTGACCTCACTGTCGCTCGCTGCGAACCTAAAACTGCTTCTGCGACACAGACAACAACCCCCAGAACCTTCTCTGGGTTTTCAGGCCCGAAACCACGGAGAACCAGCCCCTTCCGTGGGACCGCCGGGGCACAGCTGCAGCCCCTTGGCCACTGTCCCCCCAGTGTGCCAGTCCGGCCTCGGCCGCGCTCACCTTTCTGGCTGCTGGGGTCACTGTCGCCGGCTGCCGCCGCCGCCGCCGCCCCCGCCGCCCTCCTGCTCTGGGCCTTGCCCCTGAAGCAGTGCTGCTGGCTGACCACCCACTTGAGGATGCTGGAGGCCGCCGTGCGCCGGAAGTCATCTGGAAAGGCACCGAGGCCTCGCCCCCTCTGCCCATGCTGGGGACCAGGGGCCTCAGCCAGCACCCGCCCTCCCGGCCCAGATGTCCCATCGCCCACCTCACAGCCCTCGCCCCCACCGCCCACTCCCACGCCTCTGTGGGGGAGGGTTCAAACCCACCCAGCGACCAGCCCACGGACGGAACCCATGCACAGCTCCTGCCCCCTGGACCGGAGGGTTCCTCCTGGACCGCAGCCCCGCGGCACCACCGGGACCCGGCCCTCCCAGGCCCTCCCGGACCTCCCTGTGCTTGCGGCCTCCACGGGACCCAGTGCTGCCAGTGCCAGCTGCCGGGGCTCTCAGCGCCCACCCGGCACAGAAGGCAGCTCTGGGGGCCGCACACCTGTGAGCGCGCCCAGAGTGAGCCCGTGCCTCAAGCCTGTCCCCCCCTGCCCCCTCAGACTCTACCCTGTGCCCACCTCAGACTCCGGCACCTGCCCCCTCACCGGCTCCCTTCGCGCCTCAGCGCAGGCCACCCCCCGACATCCCGACATCCGCCCCCCAGCGGCTGCTGTCACTCTGGAAGCATCTAGAGCCTGAGTTCCCCTCGCTGCCCCCCGCAACCCCAGGGCCCCTCACCCCCAGCCCCCTCCCTCATTCAGAACAGATGCCCCTGAGCTCACACAACACTGCCTGCCCCTCTGTCCCGGGGCCCCAGACACACAGCCCGAACCCAGCCAGCTCCTGGCCCCCTCCCCTCCCAGCCTGTCCAGGCCCCTGGCCGCAGGCCACCACCGCCCTTGTCACCTCCAGCGACCCCCCCCCGCCCCGCTGGTCCTTTGCTCTCTGGGGCCCGGGTGGGGTGAAGGCACGGGGCAGGGGTGCCGGGCAGATGCCCCATCCCCAGAGCCTCCGGGTCGGGTGCTGAGGAACACGGGTCGCCCTTCCGCAGACCGGCCCCGCCTGCCCTGACCGCCTTCTCTCTCCTGTGGCCGGTCAGTGGGTCGACTGGCAACCCTCCCTCTGCCCCAGACCAGAGCCTGTGGTCCCCAGCCTGCCCAGGATGCCCAGACCGAGCCCCAGCCCCAGCCCTGTGCCCCGCCAGGCCCGCCTCTCCAGACCGCAGCCACCCAGCCTCCGCCGGTCTCCCCCTTCCCCTGCCCTCGCTGCCCGCAGAAGTTTCTGGACAGCCCTCACCACACGTATGGACCTGAGCCCCCAGGTCTTGGGAGGGGACCGGCCCGTTTACCTTCACCCCGGCCCCAGCCCCAGCCCCAGCCCCCAGCCAAGGCCTGCCCCACCTCCCTCCCAAGGCCCGTGCCGCGTGTCGGCGGGCAGGCGGCCCGGCGGCCCCGTGGGTCTCCTGGGCACAGGCCAGCTACGCACCCAGGAACTCTTGCTTCTCGCTGTCCGAGCAGAGGCCGTAGCAGCGCGGGAAGAAGGTTTCGGGGTTGTCCTGGACGTACCACGGCAGGTTCCTCATGTTCAGACACAGCCCGATCTCCAGACACAGCGGAGAGCAGAGTCAGGCCTGCCTGCTGCCCGGGGCCCCGGGGACTGGCCTCTCCTCCCCCGCCAGCCCCACCCGGCCCCTGGCCAGCTGCCCCAGTGGCCCAGCGACGCCCCCATGTGCTGGCCGGGGGGCCTTGGGCTCTTCCTCGGGTCCACGGCAGGCGTGGCAGGGGCTGGTGGCTATCCGAGGGCACCCAGGGTGGTGGGTGCTGCGCCCCTTCCCAGGGGCCTGAACCGTGCCCCGGCTTGGACCCAGGAGGGGTGGGGAGCAAGCTGGAGGGGCTGCCACGCAGCTGCCCACCCACCACTCTGGCCCTGTGGGCGTGACCTATGGTTACAGAGGCTTGGGGGGCAGCCCCGCATCCAGGGTCCGTCTCCCCGCCCCCGTTTGAGCTCACTGCTGACCCCTCCAGGCACAGGGGTCCTTGCAGAGAGCCCGGCCCGACTGCGGCACCCGCAGGCATCGTCCCCACTGCAGAGCGCACCGTGGCCCAAGGCCTTGTGAGGACACAAGGGGGGGGGTGCCTAGACCCCCCGCTGGGAGCCGTGGGGGGGGGGGCAGTGTTGGGCCTCGTCCCTGACCCCCTCCTGTCTGCTGAAGGGACAGTCCCCTGGTTGCCAGGAAACCCTCTGTTAAACCTCCCCAGTGGGTCCGCGCAGGCCCCGAACCTGAGCCCTCGGATAAATGAGGGGCAGCCCCCTCCAGGAGGTGCTGTGGGGCTGGGAGGTGGGGGAGTCGGGAAGCCCCCGTCACTGTCCCTGTGGCTGGAAGTCACCGTGGGGGCAGGTGAGGGTGGCCCACCCCTCCTCGGGACCAGAGCCCCCAGGACCCAGAGCCAGGGTCCAGCCCTGTGTCACACTTGGCCTGGACACTTCGCAGGCACGCATCACTGTGGCCGAGGGGTCTCCCAGGCACGTAGTGAGGGACACTCGGGGCCCTGGGTGCGGCCTCTGAGGGGCAGCGGGAGGAGCCCCGGGATGGGGTCCCCCCCCCGCACGGCAGCCCCCACGGCGCCGCCCCTGCCCCCACCTTGGTGGTGAAGGACGCCGTCTTCCCGTAGTGGTTCAGCGCCTGGTCGCCGCTCAGGCTGTGGTAGTCGACGGCATCCTTCTTGATCGTCCAGAGGAAGTAGGGCGTCTCGTTTCTCACCAACCTGGACTGGCAGGAGAACCCTCATCAGGACCAGCACCCCGGGCCGCGGCCTCGCCTACCCACCACCACGGTGGACGTCAGGGACGGCCCCGGGAGCAGAGGCGACGAGAGTGTGAGCGACAGCACCTGGCTGCCCACCGTGTGTCTCCCGTCGCCCTGCCGCCCGACCGCCGGAGGCCCACGCCCGTGCGTGGCCGGGGGCAGCATGACCACGGGCTCCCGCTCTCAAAGACTGAGCTCTGCGGGGGCGGGGGTCCGGCCCCGGCTGCCGGGGCCCCAAGGGGGGTGGGGACACAGTGTGCTGTCCAAGTGGCCGGCCTGCGGGAGCCTGTGGGGGCTCAGAGGGGGTGCGTGCATGCAGGCGGGAAACTCGGACGCCTCCTGACCTGGGTGCCCCTCCTCCCTGGACCCGCGAGGCTGAGGGGCTGCGGAGGGGCCCAGCCGGGGTTCCCGCGCTTGGAGTCTACAAACGATGGCACGTGTTCGGTCAAACAGTCTCACCGAGAAGCACGAGGAAAACGAAAACCTTCTCCAAAACCCCACCGTCAGAGATGCCCCCCGACCTTGGCAAAGACCCCTGGGGTCCTTCTCTGCAGGCCCCGCGCCCACACTGGGGCCCCGGGGAGCCAGCGCAGCATCCTGGACTCATCCCGAGGCCTCCCCGAGGGCAGGCTCAGTGCAGGGGTGTGACGCTTTGTGGGGGGGGGGACCCGCGGGCCGAGGTGCTGGGCGCCGGGGCGGGAAGCCGCGTCCAGGACAGAGCTGCCTGGACCCGGGGCCCCGAGCCCCAGCCTGAACTGCACGCGGATGCCACTCGGCGTCACCCAGGGTCACCGTCACAGGCACAAATCAACAGTGTGCGTCGGCCCGCTCCGGCCCTCGCCCGTTCCCCGGCTTCTCGTCTTGGGGGACCTGCGGGCTCCTCGCCCCTTCTGGGCACCCCAGCTTTTGTTTTCATTTATGTATTTATTTTTATTTTACCCACTTTATTTTTAAAATATATTTTATTGATTATGCTATTACACTTGTCCCATTTCCCCCCCTTTATTCCCCTCCGCCCTGCACTCCCTCCCACCTGCACCCCCCCCTTTAGTTCACGTCCGTGGGTCGTATGTGTAAGTTCTTCGGCTTCTCCGTTTCCTACACCGTCCCCCTCCCCTAACCTCCCCCTATTTATCTTCTACCTAGCATCTATGCTACTTATTCTCTGTGCCTTTCCCCCTCCCACTCCCCACTGATAACCCTCCAGGTGATCTCCATTTCTGTGGTTCTGTTCCTGTTCTAGTTATTGGCTTAATTCTTTTTTTTTTAGGTTTGGTTGTTGATAGTTGTGAGTTGGCTGTCTTTTTACTGTTCATATTTTTATCTTATTTTTCTTAGATAAGTCCCTTTAACATTTCAGAAAATAAGGGCTTGGTGATGATGAACTCCTTGAACTTGACCTTATCTGAGAAGCACTTTATCTGCCCTTCCATGCTAAATGAAAGCTTTGCTGGATAGAGCAATCTTGGATGTAGGTCCTTGCCTTTCATGACTTGGAGTACTTCTTTCCAGCCCCTTCTTGCCTGCAAGGTCTCTTTTGAGAACTCAGCTGACAGTCTGATGGGAACTCCATTGCAGGTGACTGTCTCCTTATCTCTTGCTGCTTTTAAGATCCTCTCCTTATCTTTAATCTTGGGTAATGTAATGATGAGGTATGTGCCTTGGTGTGTTCCTCCTGGGGTCCAGCTTCTTTGGGGCTCTCTGAGCTTCCTGGACTTCCTGGGAGTCTGTTTCCTTTGCCAGATTGGGGAAGTTCTCCTTTATTATTTGTTCAAACAAGTTTTCAATTTCTTGCTCTTCCTTTTCTCCTTCTGGCCCCACTATGATTCAGATGTTGGAACATTTAAAGTTGTCCTGGAGGTTCCTAAGTCTCTCCTCATTTTTTTGAATTCTTGTTTCTTCATTCTGTTCTGATTGAATGTTTCTTTCTTCCTTCTGGTCCACACCATCGATTTGAGTCCCGGTGTCCTTCCCGTCACTGTTGGTTCCCTGTGCATTTTCCTTTGTTTCACTTTTCATGGCCTTCAGTTTTCCATCTAATTTGTGACCAAATTCAACCAATTCTGTGACCATCCTGATCACCAGTGTTTTGAACTCTGCATCTGATGGGTTGGCTATCTCTTCATCACTTAGTTGTATTTCTTTCTGGAGCTTTGATCTTTCTTTCATTTGGGCCATATATATTTTTTTTGTCTCCTGCGCCTGTTATGTGGTGAGGGGCGGAGCCTTAGGTGCTCACCAGGGCGGGGCAACCCAGTCCCTGGGTGGTGACACCGGGCGTCACAGCTTTTAAACCACACGAGAAAGTGCCCCAGCCCCTGGCTCGTCTTTTTCACCCTTTCTCGGTGTCTTTGAGGGACAGGCCCTCCTCAAAGTAATGGAGCCGAGTGTGCTGCGTTTCCTCCCCGGGGACCGTGCCCCCCGGAGTCACGGAGGGACGCTGCACCCTTCGCGGTGGTCTGCGCGGTTCCTGTGGGAGGGCGCCGCGGGTCTGCACGTCCGCTCTCGGCCGTCACTGCAGGCTGCACCCCCCGACCCTCCGGTCACGAGGCTGGGCCCCTTTGGGCTCGGCTCTGTCTGGGGGTCAGGGCGCAGCCCACAGCGCACCGTCTTCGCCGCCGCGGCCCCACGAGAGGGAGGCACGCTCTCCTGCCTGCTCCTCACACTGGCACACATATGTGCACACATGCACACGCACTCGCACACACGCGTGTGTGTCCCGCAGCCTGCCGCCCAGGCTGTCTGATCCCCGGCCCGGCTCTGCGGTGGCCACTCCAGAGGCCTGGCGCGACCCTGGCCCTGGCCTCCGCCCTGCCGGGCACAGTGGGCAGCGCGAGCTCACAGCTCGGCCCCGGCCCCCGGGACGTGCAGGGACCTACCATCATGTCGTGGATGTCGTCTGTCTCCCCCACGGCCACGTCCTGGTTCTCTTTGCCTTCAGTGCGTTTGCCTTCTGCAGACACACGCGGGAGACGTGCTCGAGTCACAGCCTGGACGTCTGCCCACGAGCACCCACTTCCGCGCCGCCGCCGCCCCCACCGTGGCCACACAGCACCAGGCTTCCCGGCAGCCCCGTCTGCAGGGGCCCTGGCGGGTCCCGAGGTGGAGCAGGGTCAGTCGGGCTCCGGCCCGTGGGTCCCAGTGGGGGATGGGGGGAGTGGTGTGGGCCTCGAGGACCGGCCAGAGCAGAGGGAGATGGTCAGGCAGGCACAGTGGGGACACTGAGCAGTGGCCAGCGCCAGGGCTGGAGGGCACTCGCCCAGCACCCAGATGCCTGGAGGAGAGCGTGGGGGGTGAGCTCAGGTGTGGGCAGTGGGGGCCTCGGCCCCCCGAGGGAGGCCCGAGTCACAGGGACTGCGGGGTCGGCACACAGCCGGGCCCTCAGAATGGACACATGGACACGGGACACGGAGGGACAGAGCCTTCGACACCTACCAGCGGCCGCCTCCGCTTCGCCACTGGCCGTGAGCCGGGGCAGCAGGTGCAACTTCTTCTCCACCCAGCCCTTCCTGCGCAGGGCGGCGCGGATCACGGGGTAGTGCCCGTAGATGCAGAAGATCTTCTTCTCCTCGAGTGAGACAGCGCATTTGCAGTGAGAGGACCGGAGAGCGTGTGAGCCCTTGCTGCGAGGGCGGCTCTCAGAGCCCCGGGGGGGTGGGGGGAGGTGTGCGGCACGGGGCACGCCCAGGGACCTCCCAGGACGCGGGGACCCAGCTGAGGGGGGGCATCTGCATCCTCAGGGGGCCCTGCACGCTCTCACCACCCCCTCCCACACACATGGGGGGCACCAACACCCAGAACCACAGTGCTCCTGAAACCCAGGCCGGACTGGTTCTGGTTCCGGGGTCTGAGGACAGGAGAGTGACGGTCGTGTGCAGCCCTGGGGCCCATGTGGCTGAGGACGCAGGCTAGACACACCTGGGCCGGGCCCCCAGGGGTGACAACTGTGGGGCACAGTCAGGACTCACTGCGAGCTCAGCAGTGAGCTTGGGACCTCACGGATTTGTGGGAGCAGGCAAGGGGGTTGGGAAGGAGGGGGATGTAGCTCAGACTCACAGGGGACCCTGAGTATTTGGCCTTGAATTAGTCAAACAGACAGACCATCCTGGGGGCGGCGCTGCACTTAATCAGGTGAACCCCTCAGACGAGGGTCGGGGGGCCCTGCAGCTGGAGACTCACAGCAGCGGGGCCCCTCTCCCCGTGGCTGGCTTCAAAGAGGGCGCCACGAATTCTGAGGCCGCGAGGAATGTGTTCTGCCCACTAGCAAGGGGCTGAGGCGGGGGTCCTCCCCCAGTCAAGCCTTCAGATGAGCCCCCCACCTGGCTGATGCTGGACTTCAGTCCTAAAAGGCCCTGCGCTGAGGGCCCGGCCTGGATCACTGACCACAGAAACTCTCAGGGAACAAATGGGGTTTAAGCAGCAGAGCTCATGGGGGGCTCATTACTCAGCACGGCCGCTGTGGGGGATCTGCACACCCACCCCCCACACGCCTGCCCCCTCAGACCCCGGGGGCCTGTGGCCAGAAGCTGTGGGTTCACATTCTGGCACCCGGGAAAAAGCTGGCTGGTCAGCGGAAGCCCCTTCTGCTCTGAAAATCTACCCAAAGCCCGTCGGAGCTGACTCTCAGCAGGGCCGCTGCCCGTGGGGGGGGGGGGGTGGAGGCTGGGCGCCCTGCAACCCCAGCCCTGCCTGGACGCAGCCAGAGCAGTCGCTTCAGAAAGATTGGCTGGTTCTACCAAGTCAGCCGCAGACCTCAGGGAGCAGACCTCAGGGAGTCACAGAAAGAAGGACGACAGGGGACACAGCTCTCGCGTTCCGGGGAGGGGAAGGAAGTGCAATCGTTGAAAGTGATCGGTCCGGAGGGAAATGAGGCCGATGGACAGGACAGACCCAGTGAGCCAAGGCAGACTCCCCCACCCCCGCCCCGCCAACGGCAGTGTAACTAGATAAACCCACTTCGAGCTGCAGCTACACAGTGAAGAGCGCCAGACTAGACTTTGTAAAAGCCACCTCCTTGTTATTACAAGAAGCAGCAAAAACACAGGCCCACAGATAGGTAGAAAAGGAAAGAGGCCAAATCTGAGACAAGACAGACTTTGGGACAAATTAACATCACTAAAGACAATTATTTCATAGTTTAAAGAGTCAATTCAGCAGAAAGATACATGGGTATGCACCCATTATTAACAGGGCAGTCAGCGAAAGGCAGTCAGAGTCGTCTACAGCGAAAATGAACAGAACTAAAGAACAGACAACTCTGCCCTGGCTGGTGTGGCCCAGCGGATTGAGCCCAGGCCTGCTTACCAAAGGACTACCGGTTCGATTCCCAGTCCCGGCACATGCTGGGTTGCACCCGGGTCCCCAGTAGGGGGCAGGGGGCGCGCGAGAGGGCACCACGCATCGAAGTTTGTCTCCCTCCCTTCCTCTCTCTCTAAATAAATACATAAAATCTCAAATCCACATTAAAACAGGGTATTGAACGTGTCTCTCTAAACAGAGCATGCAGACACAAAATTCCACGTGAGCACAGGAGCACAGACTGGAACATCGCAAACAGCGGACTCAGCCACGGCCGAGGAGACCGCGATCCGCACCGCCTCTCGCGAGAACTGGCGAAGCGCGGGCGCGTCCGAACCCTGCGGGAGAACGTTGGACAGACCGCGCCCTCGGCCGCCTGCAACCAGCCCAGAGATCAGTAACAAATAACCAGAAGTGTGCACGTTCCCAGCCGTACTTAGCAGCCCATGACCATCGGCAATCGCGCGGATATGAAACACTGTCAGCTGACGCCCCGCAGAGACCCTGCCCGCGCAGGCGCTTGCAGCGCCGCCGACGGCGGAGGGACCTCTGCATCGGAAACTTCGGGTGCTCGGGTTTGTCGCTGAGCTGCTGGGGGCGGGGCGGCACAGCTGGCACCGGGATTGGGGGGCCGCCCAGGGGCAGCCCTCCAGCGTGACGGACGCTCCTCCACCAGGACTGCGGTGGCTGCGGCCTGATGACACGTGCCACCCGAGGACAGGTGCAGGGCGAGCTGTGTGGCTCGGGTGGCTGGCGGGCTGCGCTTCAAGGGAAAGGACCGAGCACAGGTCTGCGCACTAGTGCGCTTTGCACTTGGCGGGTTCCTGTGGCCCCGGCCTCCGGAGCAAGGCCATGGACGTTCGGCCTGGGGTGTGGGGGCCACACAGGGGGGCCCATGAGTCACCAAGCCTGTCTCTGACGCAGAGCCTGTGGCTGAAAGTGAGCAAACGGCGGGACACGGGACAGATTTCCACGCCTTAGGGGCCGGCACGTTCCCAACATTGAGAGTGCCCCCATTTCCAACGTCTGGCTGAAATAAAAAGTAACTCTGGTGCCAGCCTGCACGTGGGGGCCCGCGGGGTGGGGCGGGGGGTGGGGGTGTCAGAGCCGGAGACTCACTCTCCTAATTCCAAAGTCAGTTTCCATTTGCGGAAAGTGCTCCTCCCCACCAAGCCCCAACGAGCATTTACCTTGATTGCCTTTTCTGTCAGTTGCTTCGCTATTTTGTATTTGTCTAATTTGAGGGAAGGAGACCAGTCTTGGAAAATTCCTCGTTTTAATTCTGCTAAAGAGAAAAGGGACATCAGAGAACAGACATGGAGGCAAACAGGTCATCCAGACACCAGGTGGAATCACAGAGGTCCGGCCCCTCCCACCTCCCGTGCCCAGCCCACCCACACCTGTGTCCGGGCTGTCCTCCATTCAGGGACTGATCCAGGGACCCCAGCCCAGAGCAGTAAGTGCAGCCCCACCTCTGCCCCCTACACCCCCTCCCACCCCTCCAGCCTCCAGCTCCCACTCCCGCGATCCCCTCCCCCCGCTCCCCCACAGCCCAGCCTCGGGGCACACTCTCTCCTCACAGGGTCCCCCACTGCTGTGCGGCCTCACCGTGAGCTCCCCTCAGCCCCAGCCTGGGCCAGCCCTCAAGACCAGCCCCCTCAATTCCTTCCTGGGACCCCAGCCACGAGACTCCCATCAACCCAGACTGAGTTTCACGGTAACCAACTTGAAAATTAAAATGGAGACCCTCCTCCCTGCACACTGCACACTCCTGCCACCGACCTCTCCACACCATCCTCGGGGCCCTGCCAGGCACACTCATGTGAATGCCACGCACACACAGGCTGGTCCCACGCCACTCCCGGGGCCTGGCCCCCGGCAGCACTGGACACCCAGGGTCAGCCCCTCCTCACGGCAGCCCCTCTTCCCTCCCTCCCTCCCCACCCTAACCATTGGGGTGCCCAGGCCAGACCCCCGATCTCCTGCTTGCTTGGTCCAACGGCCTGGAGCATCTCTTCCCACTCGGTGGCTTTAAATCCCCCCTCGGATGCCGCGGGAGGGTGCATCCCACCCAGAGCCCCGACCTCCTGCCGCCTCCTAGACCCACAGTCCCTGGCTGTCCATGGTCAATCTCAGGTGGGGCAGGCCAGCAGACCCGCCACCTACCTGCTCCTCCTGGGGCCCCCGAGCCCCGCATCCACACGGCCAACAGGCTCAGGCTCAACCCCCAAAGCACTGCCCTGTGAGGCAAGTGACCCATGACCCTGCCCGGCACCACGCACGGCCGTGAACCTGCAGTGGGGCTCGGGCCTGCGTGGGAGAGCCGGGCACACGGCTCGGGAAAACGCACTGCCCCCAGCTGGGGCCGGTGCCCAGAAAGCCCCGACCGTGGAGTGAAAACTGGCACACCGGGTTTGACTAAAGGGGTAATGTTCTGCTCTGTGAAGGAAACAAAAAGGTCACAGACTGGGGAAAACACTGACCACCCCACATCTGACAGCCTGACCCAGAGGGGCATGTGGCCATTCCGCTTGCACGACGTCTGAGTTGTAAACACTGACCTACTGTGCTCACAGACCTGGGGGGGGGGGGGCCGCAGGGCAGTGCAGGCTGTGTTTCTGGGAGAGAGAGACGAGCCAACAAAGTCGGGGCGGGTGGGGACGGAGATCTGAACGCGATGGACCCCAGACGTCACCAGCGCCACGGCCCCAGGCACGCTGACTCCAGGACCTGGGGCGCACTCACCAAAACTGAGCCCGGAGAAGATTCTGCCCCCCGATCCCATGCCACTGGGTTAGCGATCAGTAACAGGACCGAGCACCAGACGGAAAACCACCCCTCCCCAGCCGTGGCCGAGGAAGTGGCCGAGACGCAGAGCCACGAAAAAGGCTGCGAAAATGGCCGGGAAGCTGCGATTACAGAGCGGTTTTGAGTCGAGTTCGAGTTCATGACAAGACCATAAAGGCTAAAAACACAGCAGGGAGCAGCCCCCTCAAGACTTGAGAAAGGACACAGTAAATTCAAACCTCCAAAGTACAAGAAAATTAATAAAGAGGAGACATTAATGAAATATTTTCTAAAAATTCAATAAAGAGAATCAACCAAGCCAAACAGTTTAGCCTCGTGAAATCAATGGGCAGTTGGCGAAGCGGTGAGTGAGAAAGAGAAAAAGCAGGAGAAAGGAATAATCGGACAGGAAACCCTTCCTTAGATGTTTACAAACTAAGGGGATATTACGGACTTCATGGCAATAAACTAGAAATTTAGAAAAAAGGGACGGTTGCTGAGAACCAAGGACAACCAGAGACCAGCCCTGAGCGGACAAAACCGGTTCAATCAGCCATTCTAACAAAACTCCACTCGGCTTCTTTTTTCAGACTAACAACGGGGTTTGGGGCAGGCCGCCCAAAATGTGCCACTTTGACGTGTTGATTATTTGTGAGTTAAAGTTACTTAAGAAGAAGCCGGCCCTGGCTGGCATAGCTCAGTGGATTGAGCATGGGCTGCGAACCAAAGAATCGCAGGTTCGATTCCCAATCAGGGCACATGCCTGGGTTGCAGGGCACGGTCCCCAGCAACTGCACATTGATGTTTCTCTCTCTCTCTCTCTTTCTCCCTCCCTTCCCTCTCTAAAAAATAAATTTAAAAAATCTTAAAAAAAAAAAAAGCCGGTAGCAGGACACTCTGACCCCTCCCGGGACCCCCCCCCCTTGCTCTGCCCCAAGAGGACGCGGCGGGGATTCGGGGCTAAGAAGGTAAACAGAAATTTCCCTGAATGTTCAAACATTAAGCAGCTCACTTTTAAAATAAAAAAAAATGAACCAAAGCAATTTTTAAATGGTTTGAGCTAAATGATAATGAAAATACGACATGTCAAAGCATTATGGTACAGCTGAAACTGTGATTAGAGGGAAGTTTATAGACTTTAAATGAGTATATCAGAAAAGAAAGACTGAAAATTAGCTGCCATATCCAGGGTCTAGAAAGAGAACAAGCAAACAAAAAGGCAGAAAATACTGAAGAAAGAATTCAATGAGGTGAAAAACAAAGGTGCTCCAGAGAAAACAAACGGAACCGGGAGGAAGCTGGATCTCTGAAACACTTTTAAGTGGGTAAACCGCCCCACAGGCCGGTCAGGAGGAAGGAGGAAGCAGGAACCGCCAACACGAGGAGTGAGAGCGGGAGGCCACAGCCCTCGGCCCTCGGGATGGTAACAGGAAGGTCCACGCGCTGGGGAACCGACAGGACGCGGGAGACGGCGTCTTCCTGGAAAGACGCGGCCGATGAGCTGACCTCGGGGAGACAGGGACCCTGGACAGGCCCGTTTGTGGTCAGGAAATCCACAATCTAAAGGTTTCCCCGCCATGAGAACTCCAGGCCTAGATGGCACCGCAGGTCAATCCGTCCAAATATTTAAGGGGAAAGAACTGCCTTATAGAAACCCTTTCACTGAATAGGAAGAATGGACTCTCTTCAAATCTTTTCACGAAGCCGTGAATTTAATACCCACATCTGACAAGGATATTAACAAGAAAGGAATGGCACAGGCCAATCCCATCCGTAAAAACAGACTCAAACATCTCAAAAAACCTGTCAGTCAAATCCAGTGACATATGAAACAATACAGCATGACCCGTGGGGTTTGGCCCCGACTACAAAGTTGGTTTGATACTGGCCAATCCATCACCATAACCCACCACACTCACGGACTAGAGGGAAGAATGTGTTATCACGACAGACGCAGAAGAAAGTGTGTGATGAACCGCGACGGCTATTCATTAAAAACTGCCAATAAACCAGGAATAAAAGGGAACCTCCTTGAACGCTCCCAGCAACGTCACACCTCGCGGCGAAATGCCCAGCACTCAGCCCCCGAGCGTGGGAACGACAACGAAAGGGGTCCACCATCCCACCTGCATCTAGCACTGCGCCGGAAGAGCTAGCCAGTGCAACAACGCGGGAAAAAGAAATATAATGTATACAGACGGAAGAGATGCGCAGATGGTTGAGCAAGTAACACGTCTAAATGAATCTACACGCTATTATAATTAGTGAGTTCGTGGAAGTCACCAAATACCAAGTCAGAAAACAGAAATCAGTTGGATTCCCGTATACCAGGAACAATTAGAAAAGGAAACTCTAGAATGCCATCAAAAACGTCAAATACCTAGGAGTAAATCTAACGAAAGATGCTTCGTTACTGCACGCTGAACCGCAGGCCCCTGCGGACAAGAATTAACTGAATGTCCAGGGCCGGAGGACTCCACATTGTCACGATGTTCCTTCTTGCCCAGACCGAACTCTTCACGGTCAGTCCCGGCGGGATCTGTGTCTGTGCGTGTGTGTACATTCACAGTGTGACACTAACATTTACATGGCGATAGAAGTCCGAGAAGACCTAGACAGGTCTTGAAGAGCCAAGATCTTGAAGAGCGCAGGAGACGTTAGGACTTCTCGCCAGGCCCGGGCCTTACAACAGGCCGGCAGGTCCCTGAACACAACCAGAACGCAAACGCGCCTGCGCCGGACTTTCACCCAAACCACCCCGGCGGGCGCGGGGGAGCTCCCCGGGCGGCTAAGGGCGGGCGCGGGCGGTACTGACTGTTGTCCTCTCTCCAGTCTCCCTCCGGGGAGGCGGACAGCAGCCTCTTCCTTTCCCCCGGCTCCGTTCCAGCCTCTGGCAGCTCGCCCTTCTTCCCCCGGGCTCCGGGCCCTGCACGGAGAGCGTATCGGCGGTGGATCCAAGCCTGGGGCAGGGGCCTGCGCGGGGTTGGGGGGCTAGCGTGGGCCCGGAAGGCAGGTCTGGGGTTGGGGGGCAGGTCGGGGGTCCGAGGGCAGGTGCGGGGCTGGGGCGGGTCTAGGGCCGGGGCAGGTCTAGGCGGGTCCGCAGGTCCCAGGGTGTGGTCTGGAATCCCTGGGGCCGGAGGGGGCTGGAACTCTCCGGGCACCGCCGGCCAGAGGCTGCGAGGGCGGTGGGGCTGGGCGTGAAGTCCTGTCCGGGGTCCGCGGGCACCGGCCGTGTGGGGGAGGGGAGCCGCGCTCACCCAGGAGTGGCCCCAAGGATCGAACTGGGCTCCCGCCCCCAGCCGCGCCGCCGAGCGTCGTGAGGTTGCCCCGGGAGACAGGGGGCTGCTGCTCCGGGCTTTGTGCGGGTGGGGGTCGCCGGCGGTGGAGCTTGGAGCGCGCGGAGCGGCGGCCGGCGCGGGGCGTGGGGCTGCGCGGGCGCGCCGGGGGTGTCGGACGCGGGGCGCGGCTCCGGCTGCGGCGGGGGCGCTGGGCGCGCGCGGGGCCGAAGGACAGGGAGCCCCGGCGGGGCGCGAGGCTTCGGTCCGGGCTTCGGTCCGCAGTGCGGCGGGGGCTGGCGTGGGGGCGGGGGCTAGGGCGCCGGGACGCGCGCGCCATGGTATCCTCCCGGAAGAGGGTCCGCGAGTGGTCGCGCCGCCCCCGCCCCGGGTCACGCGGTCCCGCCCTAGTCCGCTGTTGGGGTCACACAGGCCCGCCCCGGCAGTCAGAGCTGCACCAAGTCATAAAGCCCCCGGGGTCATAACCGGCCCCCGCCCCCCAGGGGGCCAGCCCGGTTGCCTGGGCGGACTCCCCCCTGCGACCCTCACTCCCGGCGTCCCCCAGCTGGAGGTCCCTGGGCCCCCAGAGCCGGGCTTGGGGGTTGCACAGCCCCACCCCGGCCGTAGCCCTGAGGGCCGGGGAGAACACACTGCTGTTGCCTGGCTGGCTTGGGGCTTGGGGTGGCCAGGGCAGCTCCCTAGTCCCGCAGAGGAGCCCGGAGCAGCCTCAGCGTCCCCAGGTCACCCGAGGGCCGACGGGTTCCGTGTCACCAGGGTCCCTGCCACCAAGGCATCCCGCAGTCCTTCCCGAAGTTCGAATCCTTCTTGGTCCTTATCTCTCCTCTCCTGCATCTTTGCAAGAGGGGCGAGTTGGAAACACAACGCCCACCCCATTGGGTGGAGCTCGGGTCCATTTCTGAAACCTAGATGTCATCTTCTTTCGGTTTTGAATCATCTTTATTCTGTACCTAACTTCACAAGATAACCCCAAAGTGAGGTTCTTCTCCCACTTTGAAGAGATTGCTGAGGACTCCGGTTGGGGTGGGTGGTTCCCCTGGGTGGGGGGCCCCCTTCCTGCCCTTTCCCGCCCCTTTGGGCTCTCACCAGGCTCCCCCACCACCCCCAAACTGGCCTCAGGGGTGGTTGTATAAATCGGGAATAAAGCCAAGGAGGCTCCCCTCCGCCCACCTTCCTAGGGTTCACCTCTCAACGCTCTCAGAAGCTGAGTGAGGGGACCCCTGGGCCACATCCACATGCCAACTTGCTGCTCAGGCAGCATCAACTTTGTCCAAGACACTGTAACTTGACAAAGAATCATAAATCTTTAAAACCCCGCATGCCTGGAGTTTTTAAGCTCTCTCTGAAATAAAGCACAAGCCAGTATTGAGCCCACAGGCGCCCAACCAGGGCGCTAAGACTTTCCAGAACCCCAAAAGACATCAGCAGTGTCTGGGCTGTCCCGGTGGCTTCCATCCCCGCTCAGGAGCACCCCCACCTGGCCTCCTCCCTGGGAGCTGCGGCGGGGGGCGGGGGGGCCTACGGGTCCGCAGGTGAGAGCCACAGGCTGCAGCCTTTGTCCCCCGGGGCCCCTGCCTGCCCTGGCCTTGGGGAGCCAGGGCAGAGAAGTGGGTGGTCAGTGCGGCAGCTTGGGTGCTTCCTTGGCTGGCACCCCCCACCTTGCGGGTGTCTTGTCTGCACTCCTCTTGTTGGGCCGATGGCAATGTGGCAGCTAGTCGCTCGTGCGCAGAAGGGAGGAAGCAGGGGGGACCCCTGAGTCCCCCACACCTGGCCCGCCCCAGCCAGCCCTCATCTCCTGGGGCTCCTGTTCTGTGACCCTGACGGCCCAGGCTCTCCGCCAGCCACGGGACCCAGGGAATGCCCCTGAACTAAGAGAGCGGGTCCCCCAGCCTCGCCCTGTGCTGAGGAGCGAGGCCACGCAGACGTGCGGCCTAGGGGGGCAGGTGCCCGGCGGAAGTCACCTCCTCAAACCAGCAGCGACAGGCTCCCAGCCCGGGGGCTGTCTCGGTGCCCCGTGTCAACTGGGAGAAGCTGACGGTTCCGGCGATGGCTCTGGGAGTGCTCGCACAGAGGACAGAGGGCCCGCAAACCACGACTCGGTCACACGTTTAATCAGAGCAAGTGTTATTCTCACACCCACACTGTCCTGAAGTCTGGCAGGCGGGTGGGGGCGGATGGAGGAGACCCCCAGCCCGGCCCAGCCCCCAGGTGAGTGAGGATCGAGACGGACTACTGGTTAGCAGGTGGTGAGGACTCCGGGGCGCAGCGTCTGGCAGGTGGCGGCCGTGGTCTGGCCAGGGGAGCAGAGGCGACGGGGCAGGAGGGAGGGGGAGGGGCTCCGCCTGGCCCGGGTCACTGCGGCCATCGAGACACAGAGATGCGACCCGGGCAGTTTTCAAAGCGGTTGATGCGGCCCCGCTCCAGAGGTCACTGAGCTGGCGCAGTGGATGGCTGAGCTCCGTGTGGTTGCTGACCAAGGGCTCAGGGGCTGCGACTGGCTGGTGACAAGTGCAGACCAGCTGCCCGTGCGTGGAGCGGCACCCCGGATCGGGGGGGCCGCGTCCGCAATGACTGGGTCGGCAGAGAGAGGGCAGCAGTGCGGCAGGGGGTCGTGGTGGGGAAGGGGCGTAGGTGCGGCTGTCCTGCGTCCACACCCCGGGGAGCAGCAGTGTCTCGGGGCCTGGACACAGGACAGAGCACGCAGGTCTGCCCTCGTCCGGAAGACGGTGCTGGGCGGGGCCTCGGTCAGGGAACTCAGAGCGGAAACGCCGAATGGGCTGGGCCGGCGTGCAGCCGTCTGCGCACAGCAGGTGCTCAACGCAACCCGGGCGGGCACTGGGTGAGGGGCAGGTGGGGCAGACAGCGGCGGCAGGCCACAGTGGACAGGAAAGCTGCCGCGGCCGGCGCGGAGAGTCCAGCCCCAGCTCGGGCCCCTCCTCACCCGGCACCGAGCTGACCGACCCGCAAGCACAGCACGGTCAGCATTTGCCTGTTTAGAAATGAAAGTCCACCTGGCAGCCAGCGGCCTCACCGCAGGAAGGGGTTAGAAGGTAGCAGCTCGGGGGGACTAGCATCTGGGCGCGGCCGTGTGCGGGGCCACGCCGTCACTGGGCCATCTGCACCACCACGGCTCTCCAGGCTTTCTCCTTGTCGAACTCCTTCAGGGGGCTCCGGGCCACCTGGACCAAGACAGGCAGAGGCTGTCCCGCCGGCCCACCAAGTGCGCACAGGCGGCTGCGCTGGCGGGGCAGCCCCCCAGCCTGGGGGGGCCGGAAGGAGACCCCAGGGCCTGCAGGAACGGAGCCCGGGCTGGGGGAGCTCTCTGTGGGGCTGCGCACCAGCTCTGGGTGGGGGCCGGCACTGGCCTGGTGGCCGCGGCAGCCGGGGCTCCGGAGGACTCACACTTGCTGCTGAGCCGGTTCTCCGAGAGGCTGGCACCCGGCAGAGCCAGCATCTGTATACAGTAGGTGCTGGATAAATACTCCCTGACAGGGTAGTGACACACCACAGTGCAGGCACCCCCAGCCCCTTCCTGGGGGCAGTTCCCAGGCCCAGCTCCCAAGTCCTCCCCTCGGTCTGGACCAGAGCCCAGTTCGTCTCACGGACAGCCCAGTGGGGGTTGGGGACAGAGCTGTCCCCACAGGAGCCTGACCCCAGCCAAGTAACCACAAGGAGACGGTGGGCATGAGGACTGTGGAGGGGACAGTGCCAGGACTGGTGGAGGAGGTCAGGGCCACTGAGGACGGGGCCCCTGGGAGGACCAGGAGCAGCTGGGGGGGACACAGCACCGGGGTGTGCAGAGCGCGGGATGGGAGACCATGAGGGCCCGAGGGCGGCCAGGCAGGGGGAGTGTCCGGCGCACCCAGGCAGCCCTGCGGGACCTCGCCTGGGGCATCGTGCACCCGAGGGCGAACCCCCGGCCTCTCAGGTGTGGTGTGCGGGCGAGAGGTGGGACCTGGGCAGGGGTCCGGGCAGCCTGAGCCTGGCGGAGGGGTGGCCGTGGCCTCCCAGAGCCCGTGCAGCACCCCTGCCAGGAGTGGTGTGGTGCACAGGCCCGGGAGGGGCTTCTCCGGCCGCCAGAACCCAGGCACGTGGGCAGGAGCAAAACTGAAAGCGTTCGGCCCTGGATACTTTTTCAGGATGATTTGCGTTTGCCTGGCTGGTATTAAAAAAATTCGGTAGTTCACTTCTCCAAGATGTGTCCGGGGATCTTGAAAGAGCTCAGCGGGGGAGGGTGTCGCCTGGCCCAGGCCCCGGGAGGGCCCCCCCCATGAGGACAGGGAGGCCACCGGCTCCGAGGCCACTCACCTGGGCGGCGGGGCGCTCCCGGGGGCCGGCCACCTTGAAGCTGGCGCACTGGATGACGGTGCCCGTGTGCAGGCCCGCCTGCAGCAGCAGCTCCAGCATCAGCAGCAGCAGCAGCACGTCGTGGGACTGCCGGGCGCGGGGGGGACGGGCCGTGAGCGGCCGGGCTGCCGGGGGCTGCCTCTCGGGCCCCCGCACCCCGTGCGTGACCCCCACCCGGTGACCCAGCGGCCGGCAGGTTTGCAGGGAGCAGCGCCAGGCCCGGACACTCAGGCGACAGACCCCTGCCTTGTGACCTCAGCAGCCCGAGGGGGCCCTTCTGCCCGAGTGCCGTCGAGAGAGTCGGTTCTGCCCTGAGCTCTGCCGTCTGGGTGTGACAGGCCCCCACCCCATCCCAATGGCCCGAGGACGGCCGGCCCTGTGGACGGTATGGGCTGCTCACATCCGAGGCTCCCGTGCCCCCAGCAACCACACGGGTCAGTGGGGAGCCAAGAACGCCGCCGTGGCCACCCGGGGCACCCTGTAGAGGGGTGTGCACGGCGTCACGGCCTGGATGGCCTGTCCACTCACTGGGGACTGGCTGGTGACCTGGGTCACATGGACTGTTGTGTGCACGGAAAATAATGCGATAATTAATAAACAGTAACAAAAGCCCCAATGGGTGTGGCTCGGTGGATTGAGTGCCAGCCAGCAAACCAAAGGGTCACCGGTTCGATTCCCAGTCAGGGCACATGCCTGGGTTGTGGGCCAGGTCCCCAGTAGGGGGCGCATGAGAAGCAACCACACATGGATGTCTCTCTCCCTCTCTTTCTCCCTCCCTTCCACTCTCTCTGGAAGTAAATAAATAAAATCTGTAAAAAACAATAGTAATGCAGGGATGAACTACTTCATGCTCTGCGTACTCACAGCTGGATGCCCCTCTTGCCCCACCCTGTGCTGCTCTAGGAGGAAGGAGCCCGCCAGCCCCCAGATCCCAGCCTCTCTGCACAGTACCCCCCGCAGGGCAGGGCTGGGGAGCCTGGGCTACAAGGAGAGGCTGGCGGGGCTGCTCCCGCCCCCGGCAGGGCCCCGGCATCAGGATGGCGGCTGCAACACCGCAGCCAAGTGGACACCTCCTCACCCGCTGCCGCTCACACGGGAGCTGGGGTGCAGGGGGTGCCCCACCTGCTTCCCTCCCAGTGTGCGAACGACCCGGGCCAGGGTGCGCCATCGGCGCCAGCCCGCAGGCAAAGGTGCTAGACCGGCGTCCCTGTGGTGCCCAGAGGACGTCCCATCACCCCCTTCCTGCGAGGGATCCTCCTGAGAGAGGGGACCAGGGGACCGTGCCTCCCCGGAGTCAGTGCGGGACAGCCGCCCCCGCTGACTCCACAGGAAACAGATTCACGGGTGGGGCCGTCTCCCAGACACCCGACCCAGCCTCTAAAGCATCAGTGCACGGCGGGGAGGGCGGGGGGACTGTGGGGTGACCTACAGCCAGACGCACACTCCGCCCGGGGCAGGGCTCAGCCCCAAGGCGCGTTCTTGGGACGGTTCTCGGGAAGTGAGGGAACTGGGCAGCAGGGGGCCACGGGACAGCTGGGGCACCTCAGTGTGACCACCGGCCATGGGGGCGGGGCCTGGGCGGAGCTGCCCCGCCCCAGGTCTGAGGGGCACAGTGAGCCCCCACGGGGAGCCAGCCGGAGCCAGCCCAGGCCCTGCACAGTCAGACGGTGGGGAGACAGTCCCCAGGCACGCGGCACGGGTGTCGGCGGCTTTGGGTGACGGACGCACACCTTGAGGGCGGGCGGGTGATCTTCAAACACCTCCATGACCCTCCTCGCGCTGAAGGTCAGGTACCCGGCGGCCGTGAACAGCAGCGGCGCCGAGAGGCTGCAGATGGCCATCAGCACCTCCACCTGCGGAGCGGAGGGCTGCAGTGTCCCGGTCCCCGCCTGAGCCTGCCGCGCCCCTGCCCGCCTGCTGCTCAGGGGCCGCCCCAGTCGGCCCACTGGCCCCCGTGCACTGGGAACCCCAAGTTCCCTCCACATCAGCACAACGGTCTGTGGTGCCGGGAAACCACCGCCCGCGGCCTGCCTGGCACCCTGTCCCCACGGCGCACAGAGAGACCACATGTGTCCAGGCGTCGGGGCCGCGTCCCACACCGGCACCAGGCACTCGGGCTGGAGTGGGTGGCGGTCCCATCCCACGACTGGCCCTGACAGCCCAGCCCTCGGGCAGGCACCCCGCAGCCCGGCAACCTGGCTCCCACGGGGCAGACACCAGGCAGCAGGCCCCGGGACCCTGCGGCTAGGGCGGCACCTACCAGACACCTGCTGGGACACTCTGCTGTCACGTGACTGGCAATGGCGCTGGGGAAGCACTGGGAGGAAAGACAAAAGAAGACTTCAGAGGGGGCAGGCCGGGAAGTCAGACTCCCGGGGGCACCCTGTGGAGTGACAGGCGCTGCCCCGTGGCCCGGGGTGGCGGGGGGACAACTGAGCCCCACTTCCGGGTGAACCTCCTGGCACGCCCCACTGCCGGCAGCTCCCGCATCCGCTCTCGGTGGGGACATGGTCCCAGGCGGGAGGCATGGCGGGCGGTGCGGGTCTGCGGAACCGGCCGGCGCAGGCCGCACGGAGGTCAGCAGGGTCCGCGGGGGTCCCAGGACACGCACGGGCGGCGCTCGGCCTCCAGCCACCCTGACGGGTCCCAGCCACGTGGCTCCAGGTTCGGGATCCGGGCAGCGGCCGCGCTCGGTCAGCTCTGTGGGGAGACCTCGGCCTCGCTCTCCGCCCTGGACAAATGTCACTGGGCGCGCGCCACCTGAGTGCGGCCTCGGCTCCTCGGTGGCCAGGCCCAGGAGCCCAGGAGGCACCGTGCCCCAGTGGCCCAGCGGCCTGACCACGCTGGCCACGTGCTGAGCTCTCACTGGGTGCCGGCTGCTGCGCGGAGCATGTACTGGGGTGGTAGTTAACGGAAAACAATGGCGTGTGGTAAATGTATTTGCTGAAATATGTATCAGGCTATGAAACTGTGTGAGAGACTATGAAATTACATAAAATAATGAGTATTTTTAGGCAAAAATAACACAAAAACTAAGATAACAAAAGCTGTTACACTAAAGAGCAGCTGCCACGCTGACCCTGGGGGCTGTGGATGCCCCGGTGCCTCCGACGGGGGCCAGGGCCCCCATGGCCTTCCTGCCGGCACCACCCAGCGGAGCCCAGCACCCAGCCAGGCCAGCCCAGGTGAGCGCGGCCGTCCACCCCGCAGACGGATGAGGGCCCTGCTGGCCATACTCACGGCCACTAAGATCCAAAAGAATGTCACCGAGAGGTGCGGGCTGGAGACGGCGTCGTCCACATTCAGGGCGATGACCCCACCCAGGACTGCAGAGACGCCGGCAATCACCTCGATGACCTGTGGGTCAGAGCGTGGAGGCGGCGTCACCGGGGGACAGGGGACCAGCTGCTGGAGGGTCGCTGACCGGCAGGCAGGGTGGGGCAGCGCGAAGAGCTCGGGCCGGGGGTCAGCACGCCGCGTGGAAAGCTGGAGGATGACCTCCAGAAGCCCCGAGGACGCGTCCCTTCCAGCCCGGAATCAGCGGGAAGAGGAGGCGCTCCCACCAGTTCAAGGCAAACGGGAAGCGGCCCTGACAGACAGCGGCGGTGAACGCACGCCGGTGGCTCAAACAGTTCCCCAGCCCGGCGGGGACGGGCTCGAAGGCCACCGAGAGGACAGCCGAGGACACGAGAGGGAAGGACATCGGCCGCTGTCCGTAGGGGCAACGCCGCGCAGAGTGAGCGGCAGAGAGGCGCACGGGCCGGCAGTGACCAGAGACACAACCTCCGTGCTTCAGGGCAGCCAGGACAGGCTCCGTGCCAACGCCCTTCTAACGACAGAGCCGCTGTGTGATGTTGCGAGAGAGAGAGAGAGAGAGAGAGAGAGAGAGAGGGATTCCCCGGGACGCAGCACTGCACGGGTGTGTGTGTAAATGGAAACACCACCCCTCAGCGAGAACCTGCAGACCTACGAGGGGAAACCGGTGCCGCCAGCTCGGGATGGGGGGCGAGTCGCTTTCAGTCCCAGGACCGGCGGACTTAAAACAGAAAAGGACAAAGTAAAACGAGAGGGTGGCCAGGTAGCTCACCCCTGACACCAGGGCACTTCTGAGCGGGACGGAGACATGCTGCTTCAGGGCCCCTCGGGGACAGCGGGCGTCCACCGGGACCGGCCGCGCAGCCTCAGTCAGACCCGCCCCTGCGCCCAGCCGGCGTCCCGGTCGGCACCCGTCTCTGCCTGGGGAACACGCTGCCCTACAAGGCTGCCGGCAGCCCCTGGGACGAGGGGTCTCGTCCCAGCAACGTGACAGGGGCCGCGTCCCTCACAGACAGAAGCACATGCCCCGTCCAGGCAGCCACAGCCCAGCCGTCTCCAAAAACGAGCGGGTGGTTGAGTCCGGCCGGGGCCGTCCCGGCCCCGAGCGGAATAAAATAACCAGGGGAAAGAAAGGGGGGTTTCCTTACTGAGTAGGATTTCAGGACCCGCACAGGAAAGGCGACTTCGTACAGCGTGTTGCTGCTGTCAGAGACGGAACCCTGGAAGGACGCGACACGGTGACCTCCCGGGCTGGGCGGGGCCTCCACCCGGCGACGTCCCCGAACACGGGCAGCCAGAGGTCGCGGGTGGCTGCCAGGCTCCAGTGCGGAAGCTCAAACACGCGCCCTCCCTCCCGCAGACTGGTGGGTCTCTCCGTGCGGCACTGCTGGGAGTGGTGGAACCCAGCCCCCCGCAGGCGGTGAGCCTTCCGGGGGGCTGCCCTGCACAGAGGGAGCCTGGCCCCGCAGCCCGGGCGCCGCCCTCAGCCGACAGCCCTACCTTGGGCCTGCCTGGCGCCTCGCCGGACCTCGCGGAGACGATCACCGTGGCCGCCATGAGCAGCTCCAGCAGCAGCAGCAGGATCAGGTTGAAGTTTATCTGCCGAAGGACAGCACGGCTCTGTGGGAGCTGCTTTCCCCGCTCTGTCACTGCGGGTGGTCCCACGGCCGGGCCTCGGCCCCCGCTCGCTGGGGCACCACTTGGGGTCCTGCGCAAGGTGCCCCCACATGCCTGTTTTTTCACCACTCCTAGCCAGAGGGCTGCGCTTGGCCCCCTGAAGGGAAGAAAACCCACGCTCACCCCCAAACCTGTGCACATTGACTGTGGCCCTGGCGCCCAAGGCCGAGGACCCCGGGGCTGTGGGGGCACCACTGCCTATCCTGACCCTGTTGGCAGTCACATGAATCTACGTCTGTGTGACCATTCACAAGTAATGCACTAAAGATGTCGATTTAACATCAACTGCTATTCATAGAGTTACATACTAACAAATGTGTGTTTCGCTGTGTACACACTGGCCAGTCCAGAGCCGGCCCTACACCCTTTCTCTGTGGGGTTCCTCCTGGGGGCCTCCCTGCACCTGCCCTCAGCACCCAGGCCAGGGACCCAGCCACCAGGGGGGCAGCCCCTGTGCCCGAGCCCCGACTCAGCCTGCTGCCCTGTCCGTTCCTCCCCGGGAAGCCCCAGCGAAGGCTCCTGTGGCCTCTGTGCCCACCCCCTCCTCACCCATACCTGCCTCCTGTGTGTGCCCCCCCTTGGCTGGTGTCCCCTGCTCTGCGGCCTCACCGCACCTGGACAGCAGTGAAACCCACGTTTCAAACCAAATGGGATTCATCAGTAAGTTTGAGCTCTGCACTGTTTGTGCAAATTCTATTGAGTCTTAAAATGTTGCAAAAAGTTTTTCATTTGATAGCACCTCTCTGTACCAGCAATAATCAATCTGAAAATATAACTAAAAAAATAACGCCCTTCATGGTAGCAATCTGGGACTACTTAACAAGGAGCACAGAAAACGTTAAAACCCTCATGAAGGACACCCAAGGTGGTCTGAGGAAGTGGAGAGGCAACCGCTGTGCTCAGACAGGATGGTAAAACAAAGATGTCAATTCCCAAAAAATTATTCTGCACACTGAAAATGATCATAATGGAGTCCTGGCTGCAACTTTTTAAGGAATTCAATAAGCTTGCTCTAAAATAATTTGGAATAAGAGAGGACAACTTTGAGGACCAGGGAAGTGGCGGGGCGCTCTCCCAAGAGACAAAAAAGGGACTAAAAAGCCATCGCAAGAGCGGGGCAGCCGGTCACAGACTGACCCACGGCAGCAGCGCCATCTGCGCTGGCGGGTTGACCCTCTTTCTAAAAGCAGGTGCAGCCACCTCGACTACACGTGAGCAAGAATGAACGTTTCAACCAACGGTCACTGGGGTCAGTTCAACCGTAAGAAGTTTCATCAACTTGGAGTGCCGTGAAGGCGTGCAAAACTGTGCAATTGTAACCAGCAGGGCTGTGAAAACGTCACTGCTGCAAACAGCTCCACAGGGTTGCAGCGCAGTAGCAGCTCCGAACTCTGGCGGACAGTGCGCCCCCAGAGTCTAAAAGGAGTGCCTTTTGGAGCTCCTTTATATACACACACAAGTCCCCGCCCCTGATTTCTGATTGGTCAGACTAGAGATGCTCTGATTGGCTGGAGCTCAACAGCTCTGATTGGGCGGGAGAAGCCTCATTCCTATTGGTTGAGAAAGGATCCGGACTCCTTTATCCTCGCTGCTCTCTGAGCACAGGTTGGTGAGAGGATCCTGGGCAGCGATGGCCGCGAGGCGGTGCTTGTTGAAGTCTGCGCCCAAGGAGTCACTGGTTCCGCCATTGTGGTCCTGAGATTCTGGCATGTGCGTGGTTCCAGGTCCCCAGCCACGTGTCCTCAGTACGAGGCTCAGGCTCCCAGGCGGCAGCAGGCGCCTGAGGAATGTTAACTGCGGATCCGTGCACAGTGGCCTGGTGGAGGCGGGAGGGGGTGGGGGGCGTCCACAGGGACGAGCTCCAGGGGAGGCCGACGTGGCCGGTCCACTGGCCACCCTAGAAGGCTGTGCAGCAGGTGTCAGGCGCCCCTCTCAAGTTATTTACCTGCCCTGCGACCCCGGGCGGGGGGCGGGGGTGGGGGGGTGATGCGCTGCTGTAGACACTGGACACTGGACATTGGACACTGCCTTGGTCTGCGGTGTTTGCCCCCAAGGACATTCTGCGAGGACCCACGCTTCCTGGTCACACGTGCAAGCCCTTCTCCGTGGTTTGCGCCGTGGGGGCGTGCACACGGTGTCACCGTGCATGCGCTTCTTCAGATCGCGCTGCAGAATCCGGACACTTCCAGGCCTCGGAGCCGCGGGACTGGAGGTTAGCGCCCTGGGGCTTCTGCCCGTCTGCTGTCGGGAATGGCCTCTCCCCGTGGTTTGAATTCACCTCCTCCGATAACTCACCAGGCCGATCATCACTCCGATGCCGGCACAGCGCCCTCCTCGGGGAGGGGCTGCAGCCCTCTCCTGGCCCCTTGACTCCCTCGTGGCTCTGAGCAGGGGTCTGGGACGGGCCTTCCCCCCGGGAGAATTCGGGTTCCTTCCTCATGGCGGGCGCGCCTGCGCCCCTCCCGGCTGGGCCCCAGCCCGCTGGGTCTGCTTTGGGGCTGGGTCTTCATGGCGGAGGGAGGGCAGGGGCAGGGCTGCTGTGCGCGCTGTCTCATTGGACCGCAGTGTGACAGCTCCGGGCCGCAGGGTCCAGTGCCCCAACCCGTCCTTCAGGGGGCACCCCCTCCCTGGCCCTGGCCCCAGCGGCCAGGGGCAGCAGATGGTTTTACTCGGGGCCCAGGTCCACATGGCAAGGATTCCCTCCATGAAGCAGCATTAGGATCCTGGGCAGTCCTGGGTGTTTTCTCTGGGACAGTCCCGCGCACTTGCGTTACATTTACCCGCAGAAACTTTCTGTGGTCATTTCCCTAACATGTATCTGCGTTTAAACTACATTTTCACACTTTCCTGTTGCTGGCACAGACAGCTCTTTTGTCCCGGCATTCACGCCCGGCAACCTGGGCGCCAGCCCTCAGCAAACACGGGGCCACGTCAGTAGCACGCCGTCTCTTCTGCGGACAATGGCGCGGGCGTCCCTCTCGGACCCGCGAGCGCCTGTCCGTTTTTTGTGCCTCACTGGCCTGGCTCAGCCTCCCTCAGGGCCACCCGCCGTCTCCCTGGTCTGACGGCTCTCTCGGCTCTGGGATGACAAAGACTGGCTCTTCCCTTTTCTCAGAGGTGCGCCTCACCACCTGCAGCATCGCAGACGTGACGAGACATGCCGCTGTGTTCCTGTCAGTTTTGTTTTTTTTTTAATACGGAACGCTCCACGAATTCATGTGCCATCCCTGCGTAAGGGCCGTGCTAACCTTCTCTGCGTCATCCCAGTTTTTAGTGTACGTGCTGCCGAAGCGAGCACTGTTGTTCCTGTTAACAGTTGTTCCTGTTAGTTTTCAACAACTGTCGCGAGAGAGGCATTACAATTTCATCGACAAATCCGTCCGCTGGAATCAATGAAGAAGTTAAGAGAATTCTGTTCTTCAGGAGCATAAATAAAATTCTCCAGCTTGTCAGGCTCAAGAGCCATGATGCACACGGACACGTGCCCAACCCACAGACGGTGCTCGGTGACGCCAACCACACGCCCCCGCGGCAGACGCTCAACGGGAAGACACGCCCCGGGGGACATGGGCACACGCGTGGGACCCAGGCGGCCCCGGGACTCACGTCTATGGCCGACGGGTTCAGGACCAGTTTGCAGCCGAACCAGATCAGGCAGGTGGTGGTGACGGCAAATGTGGACACAAACAGCATCTGGAAACTGGGGATCTGCAGAGAAGATGGTGGGGGGGGGGCGTTTTCCTCTCCTCTGCACAACTACAGCAGTGGAGGCAGCACTGACCTAAATGCAGGTCACTAATTAGAAGTCCTGGAGATGGTGACACGTTAGCATTGGCCAGGGCGGGTGCCCCGCCAGCGCCTGGGGACAGAGGGAGGGAGGGCACAGGAAACTGACAGAAGAGGGACACTGGGCGCTGCCGGAGGTGGAGGGGCACTCCACCCACGCACAAGTGTGTGCATGCACACTTACACAGGTGCACACGCACATAAGCACACACAGAGGTGTAAGCACGAGTGCACGCACATGTTTGTGCACACGGGTGCTCTCATGCACACGCGTGTGCCTGTCAACCCCACAGGGCCCGGGTCTCTTCCACAGCCCATGGGCAGTGCGGCCACCCCCAGGGTGCAGAGATGGGGCCGGGGGCTGGACTCACCACACTGACGTTCCGCCTGGAGACGGCGAAGCTCACGATGGCTGCAGGCACGCACTGGGAAGAGAGCGGAGCTCGGTGAGCGGAGGTCAGCCTCCCCACACCCCGGAAGCTCGGTCCCCCGACAGCCCAGGACGCCGGCAGGACGAGGGTCGCTGGCCCGCTAGACACGGGCTTTGCTGGACATTGAAAGGCCCTCAGGTCTGTCAGAGTGATTTGTTCCGGAGAAAGTCTCAGCGTTTCTGATGAGACGACGGAGACACTGTCCAGTGAGCGGTGTTCTAGGTGCACACACTCGGAAGCCAGGCGGAGGCGCCCTGCGGCTTGGGACCGGGCTCGGTCTCCCTTTGAGAGGTCACACCTCGGGGAGGAAGCGGGACTGGCCTGGAGTCCGGGGCCGCAGCAGGTTCTTGTCGGGGACCCGTGTCGGCCCCACAGGAGCAAAGCACACAGGGGTGCCGGGAGGTGGGGAAGTAGACAGAGGGGGGCCACACCAGGTGCTGCTCTTGTGGGTGACAGGCCCTGCAGACCCCAAAGTTTGGGCAGCACGAGCTGAGGGGGACACACAGCAGTGGTCGGATTGGGGGCGGGGCAGGGCCACCAAGGTCCCCATGGGGACCTGTCTCTCCAGCCTGTCGCCTGACGGTGCAGGGCAATGCCAAGAATTTTGCTGGGACCCTCAGCCTAGGTGGGCATTGCCCTGGCGCCACCAGGGTCAGAGCTCAGGTCACTGTGGCCCCAAGAAGGCCTGCTCCAGTGGTGAGGACCAAGGGTCACCTAGAAGCCTCAGGACTGTCCAGACCTTTGGCGTTTCTGTACCACGCTGGGAGAAGCGTTGCCTTGGGCCACACATTAAACGCACTGTGAACCATAATCACTGAACAATCTCTCATGTGTTAACTACATTTACGAGCCTGTGTTGGGCCGCCTTCACCGCCGTCCAGGGCTGCATGCGGCCCGAGGGCTGCCAGCTGGGCACCTCTGTGGAGACAACGGCGAGGGCGGGATGGGTTGTTGCGAGGAGTTTTGTTCTAAGGCAGCAGAGGCTGGCACCATGGGGTGGGGGCATGGTGCGAGGGGAGCTCGTGTCTGTGTTCTCAGACATTCGGGGATGGCGATGGGGCTAGAGCTGGGGAGCAGGCAGGCGAGAGCCCCCCCATGAGACCCGGGACCTGGCCTGGGACGACCAGTGGCCCCCCAGGCAGAGCACAGGCTATGGGAGGGCGGGGTGCAGCCCTGTGTCCTGGAGCCCGCCCAGGCCTCTGAGGGCAGAGACCAGGGCACCGTTTCCAGCCCCGCGTCCGTGGAGTGGCTCAGACTTGCTTCATCGGCGGTTTCAGAGGTCATCGACCCCACGGAAGCCGCAGCCCCGAGAGGAGGCTGCGAACGAGTGGCAAGGGACAGCAACACGCCACTCCCAGAGCACAGACCCAGATGCACATCCGCAAACTTCGTACCAGGGGTGGAGCCAAAGGCGCTGCTTACCGACCCCGCAGCGCAGCGCAGGTAATCCATCTCGGAGGGGAACACGTTCCCCAGGTACAGCGAGAAGCCCGCGGTCACGAGCAGGCAGCCCTGCAACGCAGGGGCAAGTTCAGGTGACGGCACCGCACATCGGAACCCCACGGAGCACAGTCGTCTGCGTGCACCAGCATCGCGCCTGGATCCCGCCAGACCTGACTCCCTCACAAAACACGGTCGTGGCCTACCCTCCCTTCAGTGTCAGGCTATGGGCTTCACCATTTATTTAAAGAAAAAATTTAAGGCAAGAAACAGCACCTCTCCCCAGAAAACACCCTCACCCCAATATGTGCGATTTCTGGGCCTTAGGATCCACATCCCCAGGTCCAGGCACGAAGCCCCATCCGGCTCAGGGCCGGGAGATGGAAGCTCACTGCAGAGGGCGGGGTCGCGGGGTGGTTGGGGGTCAGACCCGGGGTCTGGGCAGGGGGCCTTGCGTGTCCCACTGTGATGGTGGTGCTGGATCCCAGGAGCCTGGGGTGGGTAGCAAGGTCCCGGCCTGGGTCCTGGGTTCTTAGCCAGGGTGGCAGGGAGCCCTGGGGTCCCCAGGTGACCGTGCCCATGCAGGCCAGACTAGCTCCTTCAGTCCCCTCGTGCCCATCCAAACACGTCTGGAGGTGACTGTCCCAGGACCCCTGGCAAGTCTCCTCCAGTGTTTGGCCCCCCAAGGCCTGACCCCAGCTCCCTGCTGGTCCTGTTCCCTAGTCCCTGGGCCTGCTCTGACTCCATGGCCTGGCCCCCCAACTGGGGACACCGCCCCACTGTCACACTGCGGAAGGTTCCTCCCCGCCTGCGCAGGGTGACTCCAGAGCACCCCCCCCCAGTGGCTGAGAGCAGTGGAGGTCGCCCACACACCATGCATGACCCTGTGGACGGGCAGGTGGGCCCTGGGCTGTCCCCACACAGCACAGCCCGAGCCCGGACAGAAGCCTAGGGCTGGAGCCGCGACTGCTGGCGAATGAGGGCAGCGATTCGCTTCGTGCAGCACAGCCCCACGGGGCCCTGCAGAGCAGAGCGGGGGAGCTGCCCTGTCCCGCAGGGCCTGGGAGCAACACCAACCGACCCGGACACCTCCTGGGGGCCATGACCCCGTGGCCCTGGCCCAGCTACTCACCCCCATCAGCACGGAGAAGACCCACGTCTTGTGACTGAAGCAGGGGGGCAGCCTGGAGGCCAGCTGCAGGTCGCCGGGCTTGGCGTCCGTGTAGCTCCCCACGCCGGGCCGACCCCGCTCCAGGGTGGCCATCTGGTCGTAGCTGGGCTCCTCCCGGCACGACTCCTCCCGCGCCATGGCGCCGGGGCGGACGCTGAGCTCGGTGCCCACGGCGGCAGTGCCTGGGACCCTGCGTCACTCTGCTGCTTCAGATCACTCCAAACAACGCTTGGGCTACACTGAGTGGTTCTCAGTGAGAGAAGTCTTGTTCAAACCGCAGGGCTGCAAATCTGAGGAAGAAAACAAGCACTTCTTTTGAGAAGGGACTAAAACCACTTTCTCAGCAAAACCTACCTGCCCGTTTACACGCAGGGTGGGGTGCTGGGCCTCGGGTGCCCACTGACCGGCCCGCAGGCCTTTCGGCCCCCGCTCCCCCGGAGGCACCGGCTCCTCCGAGGCCTCCGGCTGCTCAAGGTGGTAACAGAACCAGCGTCAGGCCCCGTCCGTCCGTCCGTCCGTCCGCTGGTGCTCGCTGCCTGGCTGCTCCTGGGGCGGTGCCGGTCTCTGGGTGATGGGCTCGCGGCTGCCCGGGGCCTCCAGCAACGACCATTCACCAAGGAACAAAAGCCCAGCAAAGCTGCACTTAAGCCAGGAGCAGGAGGACCTCGTCCTGAATGTCAATGAGAGGCAGCAGCGGCGACCCTGGAAAGTTCGCGATGGTTGTGTAACCGTGTGACCGCTGGCACGGAGCCTCGCCGGCCCTGTCTCAACTCCACCAGGAAACAGCAGGGTCCCGAGGTCCCACTCGGGGCAGGCAGGCAGGTCGCGGGGCGTGGGGACAGGCTTCTCAGAAGAAGCGTGCCTGAGTGGGACCCCCCCCCCGTCCGCCCGCACAGTCCCGCAGGAGGAGGCCGTGCTGTCTGGAGGCATAACTTTGTATTCAAAGGCCTCATTATACCTCCTCCCGAGCAGCCTTTTCCCGTCGTCCGTGATCACGGGAGGAGCGCTCCCTCCCGCACAACCGCACACGCACGTCTGCGCTCAGCCCGGCCGGGCGGCCCCAGGCCTGCCCGGGACTCTGGTCCGAGGTCCCACTGGCAGCCCCAGAGCTCCCTGGCGCCCTTCACCTCTGCTCACTAGGCAGAGAAAAAGGCCGGGGGCAAACTTCACCCAGGCACGCCGGCTCGCCGACAGGCGCAGCGAGAGTCTTTGTGCACACGACCCGAGCTCGGGCGTCCGGAGCACCGGCTGCTCCAGCACGAACCCCCGTGCGGTCTGGGCAGAGCCCTCTACTTCCACGAGTGGGACGTCGGGCAGTCGTAGCGTTGCAGCCCAGCGAGGAGGGTCACTGTTCGCACACGGTCGCCTGTGAAGGAAGGAAGGGACTGCAAAGCCTCCCAGACGTCTTCACCAGCTGCCCTTCAAAGCCATAAGCAGCGCTGGCAGCCATCGGTCCGACTGGGGCGAGTCCTTCTGCGTTTCTTCCTTTAATCGAGTTGTGAGTGTGCAGTCCTGTGATTTGCAGAGTGACCCCCCGCTATTTCCAGTGCCCAGCTGGCGCCCCACAGAGTTTTTACAATATTACCGGCGATATTTTTTCCCTGTGCTGGGCCTTACGTCCCCATGACTCTTCCGTAACCACCGATCTGTGCTTCTCAGCCCCTTCCCCTGTCTCCCCCAGCCTCCAACCACCCCCCGCCGGCGCCCATCGGTCTGTTCTCTGTGTCTGTGAGTCTGTTTCTGCTTCGTTTGCTCATGGGTTTTGGTCTTTAGATCCCACGTATCAGTGAGATCATACAGTGTTTGTCCTTCTCTGACCTATTTCGCTCAGCACACACCCTCTAGACCCGTCTCTGCATTTCTCTTTGCTGGGAGGAAAAGGTTCAGCAGATTTCACCACTTCCGAGCTTTTACAAACAAGTCGCCTTGCATGAGGGATCACGGCGCGGACGCCTCAAGCCTCTAGCTAGGGTCGTGGTCACTTGAGAAGCGCTTCCTCGGTTCTGGCAGCACCAGTTTCTGGGACAAGTCCCGTTCTTTCAAATCTCCAGACCAACTCCCCCCAGCGGCCCACCTCCCGCTCCTGCCCCGAGCTCTTCCCCCGGCTTCCACGTTCAGGCCTCCATTCAGCAAATACTGAATTGGCAAAAAAAAAAGAAAAGAAAAGTCTGCTTACTTTGCTCCATAAAATAAAACACGCAGTTTTCATTTGCACCAATAAGTTTATTGATGTGTGTATGTCAACTATCTTCTCTGTATTGGCTTCTAGAGGGTAGAGGCCAGGAGTGTCCACCTGCGCGAGGCCCCGCCCACTCGCACACAGCCCCGCCCACCAGTACGAGCCTTGCCCAGGCCGTGGCATCACTCCCAGAAGTCACCGCGCTTCGCCGGCTAGCGCGCTAACGGTCGCCAACGGCCAACCACAGGCTGCTAACGGTCACAGGGGACACGCAGGCCTCATTGGCCAATATCGACAGGACTTGGCACAGGCACGGGCACTGTGATCCGCATTGGCCAAACCCCACTGGGCGCAGTTGCAGGCACAGAAGGGACAACCCCATTGGCCAAGGTCGAAGGGCTGCTGGCGCAGGCGTCAGCACGGCAACCCCATTGGCCGAGCTCCACAAAGCAAGGCGCAGGCGCGGGCACGATCACCCTATTGGCTGCGGAAGCAACGTGGCCACGTGCCGGAGCCTCTGGCTGCGAGACGCGTCGTGGAGCAGGCGGTGGCTGGGCCATGCTGCGCCTCGCGGCCAAGCTAGTGGCCTTCTTCTGGAGGAAGGCGGATGGGCCGGAGGAGGAGGTCCGGTCGCCGGGGCTCGAGCCCCGGGAAGGTGCGCGGGGGCAGTGCCGCTTGCAGTGGGGTTGGGCCAGGCCCAGGTGGGGGGCGGGCCGCGGCCCAGGAGCGCTCTCCGCTGCATCCCTGTCCCGGTGAGAGCTGCAGCCAGGCCCTGTTCTCTAACCTCCCCAAGAGGAGCACACCTGGGCCCGTCATCGGCTCTTTCTCCATCCGGCCCTCCGTGCAGTGCGGGCTTGAAGACGCAGCCCGAGCTAGGGTTCCACTCCAGGGGGGCGGCGGGGCCGCACGTCACCTGCGCGCCCCACTCAGGGGTCGCCTGTGACGGGAAGCAGCGGAGCGGGCGCAGTGAGGAGTCAGGACGCCGGCTGCAGCCGCGTGCTCGGCCCTGGGTGGAGAGGGTGACTGGGTCGCCCGGGCATGCCCTGCTCCCAGGCCGGCTTGCTCCCCGAGCCCGGAATCGCCTGCGTTGCCTCCTGAAGTGATACAGAACGTCCCGCCGCCGCCACGGCCGCCTTGATGACGGCGAGAGAAAACAGTAGTAACAGCTCCCCGGATGCGACAGCGCCATGGACAGCTGCGCTGCACCCAGACCTGCACCAGCCCGTCCGGTTTCTGCGCTGCTCCCGGTCCTGTCCCTTGGACAGCTCCTTGGGTCCCTTCCACAGGTGGAGCCGGCACAGCGTGGCCAGGGACCCGGCCCGGGTGTGCGCCTTGCGGCGGGGAGAGCTGGAGTGGGAGCGGCGGGCAGCCTGCCTCGTACGCCTGACGTTCGGAACCCTCCCCAGCAGGGTCCTCCCGCCCCCTGGGCGCCCCATACTCAGGGCGGGCTCACTCGTGTGGTCAGTGTGACCTTTCTGTTGACCCGCCTAGGTGACACCAAGGTGAAAACCGTGCGCGGCGTGGTGACGAGGTACTGCAGCGACTACGGCATGATCGACGACCTGATATACTTCTCCAACGAGGCTGTGGCCGGCAAGGCGCTGCTGAACGTGGGGCAGGAAGTCATTGCCGTTGTGGAGGAAAACCGAGTGTCCGATGGCCTGAAAGCAGTCAGGGTGAGGACGGGGCGGCTTGGGAGGTTGCTTCACCGCGGGGTCTCCGCACTGCTGCTGGGGGGGAGGGGGTGGGGCTCTGGGACCGCCTGGTGCGGGAGGGAGGGGCCTGCATTCCTTCTCACGGCGGTCTCCGTTTTAAAAAAATCGGTGGTGGTCAGTTTGAATCGTGGAAATTTATAATTCACAAGTTTGCCTCTCATTTCATACCATGGAGAACACTTACCATTTATATAGCCTTCTAGTCTTTAAAAGGTATTATTAAAAATAATAATTGTTGCATCCTTTGTTAATACAATTAGCAAAGACCATTAGTGAGCTCTATTACTCAACTCTTTTCACTTAAAAAATAGTATTTTGAGGCTGAAGCCCCGGCTGGTGTGGCTCAGTGGATTGAGCCCTGGACTGTGAACCAAAAAACGGTATTTTTGTGCTCCAAACTGTTGGCAACAGAATGATGAGTCTAAGGGCAGGCACATTTAACTTTTCGATGGTGACCACCTGCTTCCCCTCCCACGGCGGTGTGCCACACTGAACTCCCGGGGGCAGGGCGAGGGGCTGCCGTGCCTCCCGTGGGCGAGGACATGCGTGTCCACGAGCTGGGCCCGTGCCGGTCCCACCAGTGAGCGGTGACCTCGCCATTTCAGTGTGCACTTCAGTTTTACAACACATCAGTGTTTCACTTTTTTGCAGGAATTATTTTCACGTCCTTTGTCCATATTTTTTCTTGGGTCCAACTTTTTAAATTAAAATTCTGTATTAGGGAATTTATAGCTTTTTAAGGAAAAATGTTATATGAAAGTATTGCAAATATTTCCCCCAAGATAGCCTTTTGGCTTTTGTTTTATAAAGTGTGTTTTTATAGTTAAATGTATCTGTTCTCTCATTGTAGTTTCTGGGCTCTGTACGAAACCTGAGAGGGGCTTACTCTGCTTCTAACCACGAATAAACACTCAGGTTTTCCTCGGACGACTGTTTATTGGCGTCTACGTATTTAACCCGCCTGGGGCTTACTGGGCGTGCAGACGAGAGAGGGAACCAGTGCCTACCAGTCGTCCCGCAGGGCAGTGCACGTTCCTCACCGATGGGAAAGGCCCCTTTATCGTGTGTCAGAAGTCCATATATGGCCAGGGACCCCGCCTGGGCCCTGTCCGCGCTGATGCCTGCAGGCGCCCCAGCTGGGTGGTGCCTGCGGGTGGCAGGCAGGCAGGTCTCCCTCCCCGCTGAGTGCGGGGAGCTCTCCCGGTTCTTCCCTCCTTCCAACCAACGTCAGAGCCGTCTGCTGTCCGGCGCCTCCGCTCGGCTGGACAGCGCTGAGTCAGTGGCTCGTTCGGGCTCCGCAGCAGGCGGAGCCTCTGGCGTCTTTCTCAGGGAGCCGCCGCCTCCCTTTGCGCTCTTCTCACGGGTCAGCGCCTCTCCCCACCCAGGTTCCGAGAGTTCCTCGCCGAGTTTATTTCCAAGGATTTTAATGTTTGTGTTTCATTATCGGTATGATTTTACTTCATGTTTTCAAGTTAATTTCTTCTTCCTGTATAAGGGAGCTATTGTTACATGATTTGGCAGCTGGCAAACTCACTGAGCTCAGCTACAGGTTAAAAACGGTTGAGATGTACTTTGTTACTATTTTGGTTAGTAAATGCTATCTTAATGCTTAATATCATCTTTCTCAAAATTTAAAGATAATACGCACATTCTAGAATCATGTTCAGTACAATAGCTTCCAGCTGTGTGGCTGTTTAAATTTAAATTTATTAAAAGTAAGTACAGCCCAGCCTGGTGTAGCTCAGTGGAATGAGCATGGGCTGCAAACCAGAGGGTCGCCAGTTCAATTCCCAGTCAGGGCACACGCCTGGGTTGCAGGCTGGGTCCCCAGTGGGGGCCACGTGAGAGGCAACCACCCACTGATGTTTCTCTCCCTCTCTTTCTCCTTCCTTTCCCCTCTCTCTAAAAATAAGTAAATACATTCTTTATAAAAAAGTAAGTACAAATTTAAAGTTAATTCTTCAGTTGCACTAAGTACATTTCAAGAGCTGAATGCAGCCGGTGGCTGCCAAACCGGGCAGCACAAACCTGGAATGTTTCTGTCACCGCAGCTCTGCTGGGTCGCTCTGCCAGAGCACTGCGGAACAGAGGCCGGCTCCTCCTCGCCCCTGTCCCACCCGGGCTCCCACCCCTTGGTGTCGCACTGTGCGCGCTGAGCCTTAGTCCTGGGTGCTGGGTGCCAGGTCCCGGGGCCTACCTGCGCTCGTCTGCCGGCGCTGGCTGCAGTGCGCGCCCCCCGCACCGGGGCGGGTGTGCAGCGGCCCGAGTACCTGGCCCTCGGGGCCGCCTCGCCTGTGTTTTGTTGAGGGGCTTCACCGTGCTGAAGTGCACCGACGGAAGCGGCCGTTCTCAGCGTTTTCGGGCGCGCCTCAGCGGCACCGAGTGCCGTCCCCACCCCCCACCGTCCGTGCTCGGGGCTCGGTCGTCTCTCCCGGTTGCAGCTCCTCCACACAATTCACTGCTGCTCCTGCCTCGGGGTCTGGCTGCTTCAGGTCCTGCGTATCAGTGGAACCGTACGACCTGGGTCCTCTTGTGGCTGGCCTACGGGACGTGGCGTGGTGCTTTCAAGGCTCGTCATCCGTGTGACGCGTCAGAACTTCGTTCCTCCGTGCAGCCGAGGAAGGCCCCGCTGTGTGGGCGGGCCGCGGCGTTTCTCCGCCCAGCCGGGGTGGGCACTGGGCTGCTCCTGCCCCTCTGCTGTTGTGGACAAGTGTCTGTCTGCGTCCCCGTTTGCTTTTGCGGCTCTACTTGGAACGGGACACAGGGCCACGTGCCAGGCAGTCCCCTGTGTTGAACCTCGGAGGACCTGGCAGGTTCTCCCCCGGTGGCTGCCCGGTCTTGCGTGCCCGCCGGCCGCGCACGGAGGTCCCAGGGTCTGATCTCAGCCGGCCTGAGCCGTCTCCACGTGTCGGCAGGAGCCGTCCTAGTGGACATGGAGCAGTGTCTTTTTGGTTCTCACGTACGGGTTTCTGACAGTGACATTGAGCCATCTTTTCACAAGCTTGTGGGTTATTTAATATTTTTTGGAGAAACGTCTCTTCAAGTCCTTGGTCGTTGTTTAGCTGGGTTGTTTTCTTACCGAGTTACGGAGGTTCTTCGTGTATTCTGGATGTCGACCCCTTGTCAGACGTGTGGTTTGCAGACGTTTCCTGCCGTGCTGTGGACTGCCTTCCCCTTGCTCCTGACAGTGTCCTTGGACACACGGAAGTTTGCAGTTCTAACGAATTCCTCTTTGTCTTTAATTACCTGTGCTTTTGATGTTACACACAAAAAATTATCCACTAATCCAAGACCATGGCGACTTCCACCCATGCTTTTTCCCTGAGAGTCTCACAGTTTCAGCTCTGGAGTGTGACTCGGACCCGTGTGGAGTTCCTCCTGGGGCGTGGTGTTGGGGCGGGTTCGCCTTCGCCGTTCTGCACGTCGGTTCCAGTGTGCCCGGCGTCCTCCTTTGGACGGCTTCACGGTGGGGAGGACCCTTCCGCGTGGCGTGGTCTGGGCACCCTTGCTGACATCAGTGGGCCGTGCGTGTCGGCTTGTCTGACTCTGGACTCTGTCCCCGTCTGTCCCCGGGTCACACGGCGCCACCGTGTTTGATGACTGCGCTTCTAGCGAGTTCTGAAATCCAGTGGGGAACCTCCAGCTTTGTCCTGCTTTTCAAGCCTGTTCTGGCTGCTCAGGGCCACTAAGGGTCCCTCTGAGTTCTAGGGCGTGTCTTCTGTTTCTGCAGAAGGGCCCGGGGACTCTGCAGGGGTGCCCTGAGTTTGCAGGCTGCTCAGCACTGTGTTGCCGTCTTCACCTCGAGGCTCCGGTCCGCGGACGCGCTGTCTTCCGCTCCCCCGGCTCTCACCCGGGTCTCACCCGGGTCTCTGTTCTCAGGGTGCACGTCTCCCCGCCACCCCCCCCCCAGTTAAAGTTACTCCTGAGTATCTTTGTCTTTTTGATGTCAGTGCATGCACCAAATTGCTTTTTTTTTTTTATTTCTTTTTTTGGATTATCCATTGCAAGCGTACAGAAATCCAGCAGACTTTTGTGTGTTGAATCTGCATCCTGCAGTTTTGCTAAACTCATTTATCAGCTACAACAGTTTTTAATGGAATATTTAATGGTTTCTACATATAAAATCCAACCATCTGCAAACAGATTATTTTATTTCTTCCTTTCCATCAGGTTAGATTCCTTTCTTTTTTTTTCTTTTCTTTTTCTTTCTTTCCCTCCCGCCCTCCCTCCCTTCCTTCCTTCCTCCCTCCTTCTTTCCTTTCTCTTTCTTTCTCCCTTCCCCTTTCCCTCATCGCTCTGGCTGGAACTTCAGTAGTGTTTTGAACAGGAGTGGCGAGAAGAGGCACCTTGCCTTTTTACTGATCTTGAGGAAAAGCTTCCGGTCTATCGCCACTGGCTGGTTGGGTTGTGGCAGGAGTGGCCCGCGTGGCCTTGTCGTGGTGAGGACGCCCCCTTCTGACCGAGTTCGTGGAGGGCTCCGTCGTGAAAGTACGCTTTCACGAGTGTTGTCAGAGGCCTTTTCTGCGTGACCCCGGACGGCGGTGTGTTTTCCCTGGTGCTGCCGGTGGGCGCACCACGTGGATGGATTTCCGTGCGCGGGACCATCTCTACCTTCTGGGCAAAGCCCCCCTTGGTTGTGCTGCATGATCCTTTTAATATTTTCCTGCACTCGGTTTGCTGGTATTTTGTGGAGGGTTTCTGCGTCTCCCTCTGTAAGGGGGACCAGTCTTCAGTTTGTAGGGGGCTAGCCATCCCTGTGGCTCCCTCGTCTCGGTCTGAGTGGAGGCTTGTTTGCGTCTCAGGTGGAAGCTGTCTCCAATAAGTGGGAAGAGGACAGCAAAGCCCGGGGAGGGGGGCTGTCAGACTCCAGCCCCCGCGTGCTGATCGGCTGCGTGACCTCGCTGACCAAGGGCGCGGGCTACATCAACCAGACCACGCACTTCTCTCTGCAGAGTGTTTGCGAAGGTAGGCCGGTGGGTTTGCACGTCACAGTGGAAAGTGGGTTCTGCGGCCCTGGCCAAGTGGCTCAGTTGTTTGGAGCCTCGTCCTGTAACCATAGGGTTGCAGGTTCAATTCCCACTCGGGGCACGTGCCAGGGTTGCAGGTTTGATCCTCAGCCCAGGTGCGTGCGGGAGGCAGCCAGTGGATGTTTCTCTCCCTCCCTCCCTCTCTCTCTAAAAGCAAGGAGAAAATGTACTTGGGTGAGGATGACAAAATTAATGAAAGTGGGTTTTGTGGGTTTGTTGTTTGTATGGTTTAGACTCCCAGTGCTCACATGCGCCCCCGAGAGGCCGGGACCGGAGCAGCGTCTCAGGGTCGGGGGGAGGGGGGTGCTGCATGCGGGGCTCTCCTGTCGGGCAGATGCTCTGTCGCCCGTGCTCGTGCGTGGGGTGCAGTCCCTCGTTACCGGGTGACGCTTCTCTCGCGTCATCGCTGCCACCACGGGTCTGTACAGAGGTGCTGTCGTTTTTACAGTCCCACACCTGTTCTCAGGTGCGGCTTGGGGGTAACCTGGTAACTTCCCAAAAAAGACATCCGTGTTTAGTTGCATTTGTCTTAGCTGACCCAAGATTCTGCTTCCACGCCTGAAGAAGAAGCCTGTTGGCACCCTTCATCGAGCTCACCCCACAGCCGTCTCCGGGGGCCCGCTGTGCGTGCTGGGGGCCGCATGGCGCGGCTGTGGGGGCCCACGGGTGGCGAGAGCCGGCTCCTCCTCCGAGGGACACCCAGACCAGCCCCGTTCGGAACCGAGTGGAGGTTGACAGAGCTCCTTGGGAGGCGCTTTCCCAGCCGGCTTCCGGCCACGCGCCCTGCAGGCTGCCTGCTGGCGGAGCGGGAGCTCTCCCCATGGGGCTGCCGGGGCAGGAGGACATCGCTCAGCCCGCCCGGCAGCCGGCTCTGCTGCTGTTCACGGACACGAAAGCTGGGGCCCACCGTGATGGCTGACCTGGGGAGTCCCGAAAGTGGAACTGGCGGTGGCCGGCCAGGGTTCTGGGATCGCTGTCCCGTGGGACTCCCCAGGCCTGCGGTGGCTCGGCTCCAGAGGAGTCTCGAGGCCCAGTGACTGTGCCAACAGCAGCCACGCCCAGGCGGGGGCGTGGCTCACACCGTGGCACCGCTGGCAGGTGCCGAGGAGAAAGGTCCCCCGAGGACGGCCGCGGGAGCGCAGGCGGCGGCCCCCGCACACGCGGTCCTGTCGCGGGAAACATGCCCCCGCCCGGGGACAGCGGCACGGCTGCCGACACTGTGGCCGCAGAGCCTGGCGACCGCCTGGAACGTTCTCCGACCAGAAAACCGTGAGCAGGGTCATAATGGGCTCTGCAGCCGGTAGTGGGCGGTAGAGCTGGCGGCACGGCCTCACCTCCGGGCGGCGGCAGCGCGAGCGCAGCACGGACGGCACCTGCCAGGCTCAGGCTCGTTGGGGCAGGCAGGGCCCCCTGCTGGCCGGAGCCCCACAGTGCGGAAAGGGAGAGTGGGGCAGGCTTTTCGCTGCCTTCGGGGGAGTGAGGGCGCAGTTTCCTCCTGGTGTCTGGCTCCAGGGGGAGCTGCTCGGAGCCCTGGCTCCCGCCGGGGGCTTTGCAGACTGAGGCCCTTCAGAGAGGAGCCAGGTGGCATGCGGATCCGTCCTCCAGGAGCCTTTGGGTGACCTCAGTGAGGCCCAGCTCAGGCGGGTGGCAAGGGTGAGCACATGGGGTGTCGCCCGGGAGCCTGTCAACCTTGAACAGTGCGAAGGTCTCGGACGCTGAGGCCGGTGTTTGGGATCTTGACCCACAAACGATGCCTGTGGGAGTTCCTAGCAGCAGCAGCAGCAGCAGCAGCAGCAGCAGCAGCAGCAGGGGGCTCAGTGGTTACACGTGAGTCTCCAGTGGACCCCCCACCATCGTGGCCAAGGCGGCCTCCGTGGAATCGGGGGCCCAGCCTGCAGCCGCGTCCTTGTGCCCAGCGCGGGTCGTTGGAGGCTGCTCGCGCTCTGCCGTGCGGCTGCGCCGTGAATCACGGCACGTGTGGCAGCCTCCCTGGCCTCTGGGTGCCAGCAGCCCCCACCCCACCCTCTGACTGTGACAGCGGAGGGCGCCCGCGGATGCTGACACCTGGCCCTGGGGAGCAGCGTGGCCCTGGACGGGCAGGAACCACTGGCCCAGGTCAGAGCCCGAGGCCTGCCTGGAGGAGGCCTCGCTCCTCACCCTCCGTGCCCAGAGTGCGCGCTGGGTGGCCCTGTGGTGCCCGCCTGTCCTGAGCTCCCAGCCTGGCACACAAGTCTGATTACTTCTTTATTTGCTTTTTCTTTTCCTTTTTTTTGAATTGTAATATATTCATTATGCTGTTACGGTTGTCCCAATTCTTCCCTCTTTGCCTCCCCACCTAGCACCCCCACTCTCTCAGGCAGTGCCCCCGCCACTGACCACATCCACGGCGACGTGTACAAGGTCTGGGGCCGCTCTGTTTCCGATGCTGTGCCTTACGTCCCCGCGGCTGTTCTGAAACCACACGTTTGCACTCCTTCACCCCTCACTTCCCCACCCGTTCCTTGTGGCTGGCACCGAAACGCTCTCCGTGTCCGTGATTCTGTCTGTCCTTCTTCTTCGCTTAGTTCGCTTTTTAGACTCAGTTGTTGTTAGATGTGTGTTTATTGCTGCTTTATTGTTCGTAGCTCCGATCTTCTTTTTCTTAAACAAGTCCCTTCAACATTTCATGTGATAATGGCTTGGTGATGGTGAACTCCTTCAGTTTTTTCTCGTCTGGGAAGCACTCTATCTGCCCTTCCATTCTGCACGACAGCTGTGCTGGGTAGAGCAACCTGGGCTGTGGGTCCCTGCTTTTCATGACCTTGAACACTTCTTGCCAGTCCCTTCTAGCCTGCAGGTTTCTTTTGAGAAATGAGCTGATAGTCTTATGGGAACTCCTCTGTAGGTAACTACCTGCTTTTCTCTGGCTGCTTTTGAGATCCTCTTTTCATCTTTAATTGTGGGTGATTTAGTTACATGTCTTGGAGGGGGCCTCAGTATCCACCTTGTTTGGCACTCTCTGTGTTCCCTGGACTTGATGTCTGTTTCCTTCACCAAATGAGGGGAGTTTTCTTCCATTATTTTTTCAAATAGATTTACACTCTCTTGCTCTTTCCCTTCTCCTTCTGGCACCCCTACGATGCGAATGTTGGAACACTTGAAGTTGTCCCAGAGGCTGCTTACACTATCCTCGTCTTTTTTTGTTTTTGTTTTTTTCTTCCTTTTGTTCTACTTGGTTGTTTTTTGCTTCCTTATGTTCCACATTGTTGATTTGAATCTTGGCTTCATCCACTGTGCTGTTGTTTCCCCGTAAACTGTTCTTTATTTCAATTGGTGTGTCCTTCATTTCTGGGTCTTTCTTATGCTGTTGAGGTCTTCACTAAGTTCCTTGAGTGTCCTTATAACCAGTGTTTTGAGCTCTGCATCTGATAGATTGCTTATCTCCATTTTGTTTCTCTTTCTGGAGTTTTGACCTGTTCTGTCATTTGTGCCGTGTTTCTTTGTCTCCTCATTTTGGTGGCCTCCCTGTGTGTTTGTTTCTATTAAATAGGTGGAGCTGCTGTGACTCCGTGTCTTGGTAGTGCGGCCCAATGCAGTCGGTGTCCTGTGGGATCCAGCGGCACAGCCCCCCTGTCCCCCAACCTGGGCACTCGAGGTGCACCCTTTGTGTGGGCTGAGTGCACCCTCCTCTTGTGGTTGAGCCTTGGTTGCTTTGGCAGGTCAACGGGAGGGACTTACCCATGCCAGTCAGCTAGTAGGACTGGCTGTGACCACTGACCACCACCCTCCACCCTTCGTGGAGGATCAGCTGTGCGGGGGCAGGGTGGTGGTGCCTGACGTGGTCTGTAGCTGACCACTGGGTGCAAAGGCCTTGGGGGTTCCTGGGCGGTGCAGGCCAAGGTCAGCCCCCACCTGTGTTCTGCCAGGGGCCACCCTGCCTGAGCTGTAAAGCAATCTGAGATGGCTGCTGCTTGTGCCGGGCTGGGAGATTCCCAGGTGAGGCCGAGCTGTGGACCTAGGCCGGATGCTGCCAGTGCTGGGCCCGGGGCTCACCAAGGCCGGCTGCTGCTTGTCTGAGAGGATTCAGGAAGCTGTGAAGCCTGAGCCAAGACCAGCCATTCACATGGGAAAGCGTCCATTAACAGCTTGGGTGGGCCTGTTAGTTGGGTAGGACAGAGTCTCTGGGGATCTCAAGGTGGGGCAAACAGTGTCAGCCAGGTTGGGGGAGTCTCAGATGTGGCGCCTGCCTGCCAGCTCTGTGGGGGGAGGGCTCAGGAGAGGGACAGCAGCCTCTGCCGACTTCTCTGTCTGGGAGACAGCTGTCCCCCACCCCCAGCCATGATGTCAGCCCCTTCACGTCCTCCCTGGGTGCCCCGGGTGCCCTTGGAGCTGCTGCCCCGGTGCTGGGGCTCGGAGGAGGGAGCCTGAGGGCTGGGTCTGGGGTGCGTGCTCTCAGAGGACCTGCTCCGGGCTCCCCAGGCTTCCCCCGACTCAGTCCCCCCCGGTCACTGCGGCCAGAGGTTGTGGGGGCCGATCTCCCTGGCTCTGGAACCCTGGGCTGGGGGCCTGGTGTGGGGCGGGGGCTCCTCGCTCCCAGGATGTCCCTCCCGAACGTCCATCCCACCGCACACGGCTGTGGGACCAGCTTGTTCTGCGTCTGCGCCCCTCCTACCAGTCTGCGTGGGTGTGGTTCCTTTGATTCTGTGGTTGTCAGGCTTCCACTCAGCTTGGTTTCTGGCAGTCCTGAGTGATGGTCGTTCTGCATGTTAGTTGTAATTTTAATGTGGTTGTGCAAGAGCGGGATCGGGGTTTACCTGTGCCGCCATCTTGACCGAGAATCACTCCTCCTCATTTTCAAACTAAACTGGTTTATGCCCCTGCTTGTGAGAGGAAGAGGGAGTTCCACGGACCCTTCGTGAGGCCCTTCACCCTTCGCTCTTCTGCAGAGCCCGAGAGCCCAGAGCCACAGGTAGTCCAGGGCTCCTTCCCTGGGGTGTGGGCAGTCGCTCGACTCCAGGCCTGCCCCGTGTGGGCCACTTGGCCTTGACCTCTGGCTCATGGTTGGGGTTAGCCCCCAGCAGGCACCAGCTGGTGGGCGGGAGGGGATTGAGCGGGGGTTGCTGCTGCCCTGGGGCCCGGCTCCGAGGGGAGGAGGGCGGGTGTGGGGCTTCACTGAGATGACGTTGGTTTTCAAAACCTGTACATCGTCTTGTAAACCGATGTCACACGAACGGACCTTAAAAACAGTACTGATCAGAAACTGTTTCCAAAACTAATTCTTTCTAGGGGATTGAAAAGTAATACCTGGGCACGTTAAAACCGCCTACTGTTGATCATGCAGCCCCTATCTGTGGCACATGCTGACACACTTTAATCTCCCAGCATTCCTGGGGGCCTGCCACTGGCACGGAGCCGCACGGCGCACTCTGTGGAAGCTGCGGCTGCCCCACCCCTGGTGTGTGCCCAGGAGGCTGCAGCTGAAAGCCAGCTGCCACGGCTGGTAAACGGGTGCTGGGCGGAGCCCGTCTCGTGTGTCACACCGTGCCCTGGGCACAGTCCTGCTGCTGCGCAGCTGGCCTGGGGCAGCTGGTCTCTGGTGCCCCGCGCCCACCAGCCCTGCCCCCGTGGCCCCAGGAGGGACAGTCCCTGTCCAGGGGTCTGGCTCGTGTGTGCTCATCACCAGCTTCCTGGAGAAACAAACTCAGCGCCCAGTCACACCCTCTGGTTGTCGAGTGTGTTGCTGGCAGACGTGTTCACTGCAAAGTGACCTGAGGCGGCAGCCGCCCCGCTCCCCCCGCCCTCCCCTGTCTTCGTCAGGACAGCCGAGCCGTCGCCCAGGACGGCCTTGCACGTCACTGGCCTTCCCAGCTCCCCCACCCAGCCGGCCAGCGGGGCCCAGCGGGCCTGGCCCCCTGCAGGCCGGGGCGCGAGCCCCCGCACAGCCTCCTGGCATGCTCCGGGGCTGCGAGGCACGGCGGGCTCCCGGCCTGAGCTGCGTGTGCATGGCTGCCAGCCCTCACCTCCCCGAGTCCCCAGCACCCCGTGTCCCCAAGGTGGGAGGGGCACTCACACTGTCTGGGCAGAGCTGCAAACCCAGGGTGCCTGGGCTCAGGAAACTGCCCACCTTTGGGCCCCCACCCCTCCAAGTGGACGGTGGTGACAGGTCCGCCACCGAGCACACATGTTGCTCTGCTGACGACACTTGGGGATCCGTGATAAACACACAGGGAGTGTCTGCGCCCGACGGGCTCTGTGACCGTGCCCACCTGCCGCCTGGCCGAGGACCTGTGAGGCGGGTGGGGTGGGGCCGAGGGGAGGAGGCCGTGCAGCCGGGTGGGTCCAGAGGAGATGCCGGTGACAGGCGCGTCCCTGCCGGCAGAGCCTGCGCGTCCCCACCAGAGCGGGGGGGGCCCAGGCATCGTCGCCCCTTCCGAGGGGCCAGGCGAGGTCGGGCCAGACGCCGCGGTCGGGACAGACCCAGCCACGCTGCGGCCCTGCCTCCCCTCGCAGGTTTCGAGCCGTGCAAGGGAGACTGGGTGGAGGCCACCTACTGGATCCGGCCGGGCACGTGGAGCAGCGAGGCCGTGCTGGTGAAGCCGCTGCGGTACAAGCGTGTGGACAGGGTAGGCGCTGGCCCGCCCTCAACCTGCTCTCCCGGGCGCCCTGGGGTCACCGTGGGCAGGCTCAGTCGGGGCCACCGAAGACCCCGGCGTGGTGTCCTGGCTACGTCCTAAGTGGGGCACTTCGTGCCAAAGTCCTGACTGTTGGCAGCGCGGGCCGTGGGGGGTGGGCGTGCGGCTGGGGCCCCAGGGAGGGTGGCGGCGTATGGGGGCCCTGGCTCCAAGGTCCCCACGGCTGGCATCATCTTCGGGGCATCGCTTCCCCTCCAGGAGCAGGGTCCCCCTCCCCCGAGGTTCCCCGTCGCCGTCGTCTGCAGGGGGCCCGGGCGAGGGAAGGCCGCTGTCACTGGGCATTTGTTCTGGCCGGCCGGCGAGGCTGTCTGATCCCCTGCCCGCAGGTCTGCATTTCCAGCCTCTGGGGGAGGAACGGGGTGATCGACGACAGCATCTTCTTCACCCTGGACTCCGTGCGGCTCCCGGAGGGGTACGTGCCGCGCAGGCACGACCTGGTCAGCGCCGTGGTGGTGGAGAGCAGCCAGTCCTGCTACCTGTGGCGGGCCCTGTGCGTGACCCCGGTGGCCAGGCGGTAAGGGGGCCTGTGCGGGCCGGGCGGGCCGGGCGGGAAGGGCGACAGCGGCCCACGCGGCTGGGTGAGCGGCTGCCGTCCACGCCCTCGTGCCGCCGGGGCGGGGGCGGCGGCGGCGGTGGGAAGCAGGCGTCTCCCACCGGTGTCCGTGGTGATCGTGTCGAGGCCCCGTGCTGTCCCTGGTCTGCCCCGGGCGGTTTCCCTGTCTGGCGGGTTTGTGTCTTGTCCTTCCCCACACCAGCATTCATTGGCATTTGACTCCTCGTGCCTACATCTTTCCCACGGTGCCCCACGGGCCGCACCTCTGCCGGCAGGCTAGCACGGTGGCGGGCTCCCTGCCGCAGACCGCCCTCCTCCACCTGCCTCCCCTCGGTGGGCGGCTCGCTGCCTGGCGCCCAGTTACACGCGCGTGCAGTCCCCCCTCACGGGAGCTCAGGCTCATTTCCTGCCGCGTAATTGAGCCCCAGAGCCCGGGGATGCAGACCGGCTGCCCCTCAGCCTGACTCTCCTGGCCCACCCTGTCCAGCAGCAGCCTCAGGCTCGCTCTCGTTCAGACCGTCCCGGTCCTCCCCAGCCCTGACCTCCTGCCCCTCGGTGACCGGCTGACCTAGCTCTCAGAGGCGCAGGGCCCGCCAGGTGCGCACGCACCTGCTGCGCACACCGGGCGGGCGCTGCCCGCTGGCTCCTGGCTGTGGCCAGTCCCTGCCAGGGCAGCCTCCTCCGTGACTCCAGGCAGCGGAGTGAGTCAGGGCAGCCAGCCAGAGGGGGGTGCTGGTCATCGCTGGGCCAGGGGCTAACCCCAGGCCTGGCCCAGGGGGCTGCTCCCTCGTCGGCCTCAAACAGATGACCTCACAGGGCACGGGGAGGCCCCTGCAGTCTGAGCCAGGCTGTGAGCTAGCCCTGAACCCCTCACTCAGGTGTCCCCCCCATCCCGCCAGTGAGGGCTTGGGGCTGAGGGCCACCTGTGTGCCCCCGTCCTGGACACAGAAGTGGGCCTGGCACCGAGAGGGCCTCGCGCTCTCTGCGGAGTCACCAGGGTGTCGCTGCCCCTCTGGAGCCGACAGGATTGCCGTCTCCTCCTTCAGGACAACTGGCGTCTCGGGTCTGGGAGGGGAGGCCGGCGGGAGGGTGGTGGTGCTGCAGGGGGCAGCCTGCTTGGTGGCCGTGACGCCATCCGGGCCTCTCTGCAGGGACAGTGCCACCGCCGCTGAGGCCGAGGCCCCAGAAGAGGTCTGCGAGGCCCAGTTACTGAAAGACAAAGGCAACATCGAAGTGACGAGAGCGACCGACTTCGGCACGGTGAAGGAAGGTGGCAGCAAGAGCATGGTGCTCTGCATAGAGTGAGTCCGCGGGGCTGCGTCGTGGCTCCCGGCCGGGGCCCGCGTGCCCCAGTCCCTGGGGAGCCGTGCGTCACAAGGACGGCTGAGTGTGTGGGCGCCCGAGGCCTGCTGCTCGAGCCCCGCCCTCCGTGTGCAGGAACAAGGGGGACGCTCCCCAGCACCTGGTCAGCTGCAGGCTGGCCGGCTGGGACAGGGCCCGGCAGTTCCGGCTCCACACGCTGTGCAGGACCCAGCGCCGCCCGCCCGCGCCTGCGGGAGCCGACCCCGGGAAGGCGGAGGGCGGCGTCCACCCGGCAGACGGCGGCCAGGACACCCAGGCCCACCGGGCGCCAGAGAGCGGCGTGAGCCACGGCGGCGCCGTGCCCCCAGGTAGAGGGGGCTGGGCTCCTTCGACGCCGCGGGCTCTCGGGTTCCGGACCTGCAGGCGGCTGCAGACCGGGGACGGCTGCCCGCTGTCGGCTGGCCGTGGGCTTCTGCCTGGAGCTGGCCCTGGGCTGGGCCGGGCACGTGCGTCCCCGGTGCCGCCCCCGTCAGACATGACTCCCCGGGTCTGGTCTCGCCTCCAGGGGGCTGTGCCTGCGAAGCCGAGAGCGGGGAGAGAGAGCAGAGCGTCCCCCCGGAGCCGGCGGCCGAGCCAGCGCCCAGCGGGCTCATCCCCCCCGGGGGGAGGGCCCTGGTTGTGGTCGTCTGCGAGGCCAAGTACGTGGCAGCAGGGCCTGCGGGGGTCTGACCTGCTGGGTCCCCAGGGTGGCCCCTCCAGGTCTGATGGTACGGGCTGGACGTGTAGCTCTCTCGGTGGGACCCAGCTCGTAGCCAGAGCACTGGTGGAGACCGTGGCGGGCGGGAGTTCTACCACACGAGGCCCCACCCCCGCCCCCAAGCTTGACAGGGGCCCCCACCCCTCACCTGACCTGTGAGTCACGGGTGACCAGCAGGCCACCCTCAGCCCCTCCCCTCCTCGGCCTCCTCGCCTGTGTCCATGCTTCCACCGTGGCCTGCTGGTCACCTGTCAGCAGGACACTTGGGCAGCAGGCCTCCACCGGCACCTGGTAGTTTAATTGTGAGTCTCTTTAAAACGCGGGCTGGTGTGTCCCGGCCCTGACCGGGCCCGGCAGAGTCCGACTGCGGTGACACTTACGGCTCCTTCAGCCAGTGCCGTGTGAGGCGGCCACTCTGTGACCCCTGAGACACCGGGACAATGGGTGTGTGACTGGGGACGCAGGGTGTCCACGAAGCCCGTAGCAGGAGGTCCGGCGGGAAGCAGAGTGGCCGCCGGCGACTCTGGCTGCGGCGGCCGCTCTGACGGCAGCAGGAGTGCCGGACGGACGTGTGTGTCCATCTGCCGTGGGCTTGCGCGTCCCCGACACAAGTGTTCGGGTGTGTGACTTCGTCTTGGAAAAACGCCCGTCGCCCTCTGCCCTGTAAAAGGCGTGACTGAAGCGACGGGCCCTGCGGACGGAGAGGTCCGGCCCCCCTCGTGCGCGCAGTGGGGGGCCTTGCCAAGCCGCCCTGCCGATGGCGCAGACGGAGCCCGCTTGGTCCCCAGGACCGCCGGCCGCTGCAGGGAGCTGCTCCTGCTCTGCTTCTCCGGCTTCCTGATCGGGCGCGTCCTGGAGGTGAGCGTGGTGAGTGCAGAGGAGGCCCTGATCGCCACACGCGAGCCGTTCCTGTGGAAGAAGTCCAAAGGTCCCCAGGCGCCGGTGCCCACGCCCATGAAGTCCACCGTGGTCGTGACCACACAGAAAAGGTACCGCGGCGGGGCAGACGGCCGCGCAGCCCGGCCTGCGCTCGCAGTGTGGGAGGCAGTCGGGGAGGCGGGGTGTGTGCCTGGGGGGCCTTCCCACCCCCGCACTGGGGTCGGCGTGTTCGCACGAGGCCATGTCCAAGGGCCCTGGGGCGCAGCCCCCCGTGCGTGTGAGGACGCCTGCCCCTCCACCCAGGGGGCCTCCGGTGGCCCTCCCGGACGCTGACCCTTTCCCTCACTCCTGCCACCTCTGATGTGTCCGACGGCCCGGCCCGGCCCCCAAAACAGCCTGGGCCCCACACCGCCCCCCAAGGCACCAGTCGGTGAGGGTCAGCAAACGTGGCTGGCGTGGCCTGTGCGGGCTGTGGCAGCCCCCGAGTGCCACCTGTGTTTGAGGCCGCGGGGCCGGTCGGCTCCCTGGGGCCTGCTGGGATACGGCGTCTCTGGGTGGGGGCGGGGGGAGGGGGGCTGAGAATGACCTCGCCCTTTTCCAGTGCCGCGCGGCTGGGGGACGGGGGACCACCCGGCGTAACTGGGCGTTGTCTCGAGGGTGCTGCAGGGCAAAAACCTCTGAAAAGTTTTGGGCCAAAAATCTGGTGTGGGGGGACCCGACGGTATTTCGTGGCTTGTCCTGTGCAGTGTGGATATGCGCTCTCAACTGCGGTCACTGACAGGCTAGCTCGGGGCCACCCCAAACCCACGGGGACGCGACCACCTCCTTGTGCAGGACTGGAGGGTCCTGAGCCTCCGGGTGCCCCCTAGCAGGTCTTGACGAGCCGTCCCGGCCTTACGGACGGGCTGGCTGGAGGGTAGTCTGCAGGCAGAGAGTGAGCAGTCTGCTGGCCTTTGGGGCGGGACCGCCGTTGGAGCCCTGCACCAGGGAGCTGCGTGACCCGGGCCGGTCTCCTGACCTCCCTGAGCCTGGGTCACGTTCGGAGAGGGACGGGCCGCCCCCACGTGCCCACGAGGTCTGTGCAGCTGCCGGCACAGCGCGACCAGCAGTGAGGGGCACTGGCCACGGAAGGGCTGTGCCCTGGAGGGGACCCAGAACGCAGGGTGAGGGGTCCACGTGGCCTGCGGGGGGTCCCCAGGACCGCATCTCCATCTCAGGAGCCCCCGGCTGCGGTCGGTGGTCCACCAGGCAGCCCCCAGCAGCGCCTGGCCTGGCTGGAGCGTGGAGATGACCAGCACAGGGGTCTTATCCCTGGTCCGTCATTTCCGTTGGAGTGTTGACAGCCGTCACCATGCAGTTCAGAGTGTCCCTGAAACAGGACACTCCTGTCACCGGGTCAGTGACCCAGCGCCTGTCCTGGCTGGCACCCCAGCACCTACACCTGCGGCCCAGCCCCCTTGTGGTCGGCAGCCCCACACGTCCAGCCGTGTGGTCCCGTGTTCCCACTGAGGACGGGGTTTGCGGCTGCCCTGGGCTGTAAGCAGCCCGGTCTGTTCGCTCAGCTCTTCGAGGCCGGGGGGCAGAGGGAGCGTTTGGGCCCCGGACCTGCACGTGTGTGTGTGGGGGTGCTCTCTCCCCTTCCCTCGTTCACGTCTGCAATCACTGCTCTTCTGTCGCGTGCTGACTGACCCCCACTTCCCACGTGCACTTCCCCCGTGGACCACCACAGCCTCACTGCAGCCTGGGGGAAGGGGGCCCCGTTTCTCAGGAGGTGACAGCCCCCCAGGGGCTGCTGGCTCTGGGTCTCCTGGCGCGCCCCTGCCGAGATGCTGAGCGGAAGGAGCCCACGCGTGCGGCGGCCCCTGGGGGACAGGGAAGGAGGCACAGGCCGCGTCCGCTCAGCCTCGAGGGAGCAGGTCACAGTGGGCGTGCGGCGCCCGTCCTCACTCGGCGCTGGGCGCTCCCACATGGCGCCAGCCCCGCCCCTGCGCCCCCAGTGCTGGGACTCCTCCCCTCCCGGTTTCCCTCCCCTGGCCTCGTGGTGCCCTCTCCGACTGGCCACAGCAGTGGCGATGCACTTCCCGCTGGCGCCCCTCCCAGGCCGGGCGGAGCTCGGGGACACGGCCTCCCCAGAGAAGGGACGGCTGGGAGTGGGAGGGCCGCCAGGGCGGAGCTGCCACGACCTCGGGAGGCACCGCGGGCAGGCTCAGGCCCCGGGGAGCGCTCGGACAGCTGCGGGAGACCCACGGCCCCGGCCCCCAGGGGGTCTCGTGCACCAGGCCCCCTGCCCCTGCCCAGTGGGCGGGAGAGGGCCTGGGGAGGCCCGGCGGGAGGCGGGAGGAGTAACCGTGGGCGCCCCGCTGACGCCTCGTGGGGACTGATGGACTGGGGCCTCGCTCGGTAGGAAAGGGTGGGAGGTAGTGACCTGTCTTGTCCCAGATGCCCAGGTGGTTAGGAATCGCTTCCAACTGTGAATCTCTCTCTCAAGGAACCTGAGACGCCAGCTTCCGAGTTTCCTCCCCCAGTACCCCATCCCCGACCGGCTGAAGAAGTGCGTGGAGCAGAAAATCGACATCCTGACTTTCCAGCCGCTGCTCGCGGAGGTAGGGATGGGCCCCCGGTGTGGAGCGCGTGCGTCTCTGACAGCGCTGGGGGGGCCTCTCGGGCTCAGCCCTCAGCCTGGCTCCCGGCCCCGCCCGGCAAGCCCTGCCTCCCAGGGTCTGGGCCAGACGCCCGCGCTCCGTGCACCGCTGCTGGGGTTTGGTTGGGGTGCACCGTCCTGCTGCTGGTTTTTCATTTGTTGTCTTGTCCTCGTCTCGCCTCTTTTTTCCCCTATGGTGGCAGCGACCCCCGACTCGGCTGACAGGCCACCTTCCGTAGAGTGCGCGGTCACCCTACGCCCTCTGCCGCAGAGCGTGCGGCGTGGCCGGTTCACAGAGGACCGAGTGCAACCGCGAACAGCCCAGGTCTGGGGCACACGCCCCAGGCTCGTGGCGCCTTCCGCTTCCCTTTCCCGGCCTTTTTGCTGACGGTGGCGCAGGCGTGACTTGTGCGAGTGCTCTGGACCGCGCGCAGTCAGCCGCCTTCAGGGGCGTCTCAGAGGGCGGGGTCCCCGCTGGCCGCAGAGTCACCGGCCTCCTCTCTGGGTGCTCGCTGCTGTGGTGCCTGGAAGGGTGCGAGGACACTGGGCGCCCGCAGCCCCGCGGCTCCGAGGACACGCCCGTCCTGCTCCTCCGCCCCGAGGAGCCTCTTCCTGCTGCTTGGAGGGCGGCCCCTCCTCGGCCAGTGCGAGGGCTCTCGGCCCGCAGTGCGCCTCGGTGGGCCTTCCTCCCGTCTTCTCTGAGCTGCTTCGGCTCCGCGGGCTGGCTGCTCCCCTCCGACCTGGAGGCTCTTTGGCGAGTCCGTCCCCAAACACGCCCCCACCCCCGCCCCCACCCCCGGGGCTCGTCCTCCGCTCCTCCCCGTCTCGCTTGCGTTTGGACGTTTCTGCTCCTGCACCTTCAAGTTCGCTCATTTTCCCTTTTCCTTTTTTTTTTAAGAGTTGTCATAATTTTATTTTTTTTATTTTTAGAGGAGAAGGGAGGGACAGAAACGTCAGTGTGTGGTTGCCTCTTGAGCGCCCCCTACTGGGAACCTGGCCCACAGCCCAGGCCTGTGCCCTGACTGGGAATTGAACCGGTGACCCTTTGGTTCTCAGGCCAGCGCTCAGTCCACTGAGCCGCACCAGCCTGGGCCACGTTTGCTCGTTTTCCCTTCTGCACATGCTGCCCCACCCACTGCATGTTCTATGTCAGGTGGTGGTTTCTCTCTGCACGTTCGGTTCGGGTCTTTAACATGTTCCGTCTTCCCTCCGCTGCTTGAACGTGACCAACACGGTTACAGCAACAGCTTCGAGGCCCTGTCTCCCAAGTGGGTCACGGGCAGTTTCTGGTGCTGGGTTTCCTCCGCGTCACGGGCTCCAGTTCCGCCACCGTCCGTGCCAGGAGGCCTCGTGTGGCTGCCAGGCGTCCTGGAGCTCGCCTCGCCGCGCTCACTCCTGGGACACGGTTGGGCTCCTTGGGGGCAGTGGGACCCCCTGCGCTCTGCAGCTCTGTCGGGCGGGGGCAGAGGGGCCCGCGTCAGGGCGGCCGCCCTCCCGGCTCTGCCCAGGCCCTTGACGACACGCTCGGAGCTCGGGCTGCACCTTGCGCGACCTCTGGGAACTGTCCCCTGGAATCCAGTGGTTCTCCACAGAGGACAGTGTGCCCCGGGGGACACTTCTGGGGTGCCACGACTAGGGTGCTAGTGGCATCTGGTGGGTGGAGGCCAGGGATGTGCTAAATACCCTGTGACTCGCAGGACGCCCCCGCCCCCGCCCGCCACCCCCGCCCAGAGCGGGGCAGCCCGGTGGTGCTGACCCAGGCGGCAGAGCCCTCGCGGCCTGGTGAGGGCGCTCTCACACCCCGAGCGCTGGCGGGCAGCCCCCCTGTGCCGCGCTCTCTGCCCCTCGGCCTCCTGGGCCCCACAGGGCCACCGCCTCCCCACCCGGGCCACCCAGCTCCGGGGTCCTTTCCCTGTCGCAGGGTCTGCCCACCCCAGGTGGCCGTGGGCCCCGACCCGAGGACGGTTGTCTGGCCACAGCCCTCACCTCCCTGGGGCTGCGAGTCGGCGGCGGGGACCAGCCCCACCCTGAGCTGCTGCCGGCTTGCCTGGCAGCGCTTGAACATGACGAACTACAAGGAGAAGTTCTCGGCTCTGCTGTGGCTCGAGGAGATTCACGCGGAGATGGAGCTGAGAGAGTACAACATGAGCGGGGTCACCCTGAAGAGGAGCGGGGACCTGCTGGTGCTGGAGGTGCCGGGCCTGGCCGAGAGCCGGCCCTCTCTGTACGCAGGTGGGCGGGGCTGGGGGGCAGGTCTCGGTGGGCGGCGCTGGTCCCAGTCCCTCGTTCTCCTGGTCTGGGCCAGAAGGTCGCTCAGCACTCAGGCTGCCCCCAGCGTCTGTCCCCAGCGTCTGCCCCCGCCACGCGGACCTCCCTGTCTGTTATGGGGCCGGCCCCCTGCTGCACTGCCGTGGCTCACGCCCCGCCCTGTGCTTCCCCCAGGCGACAAGCTGGTCTTGAAAACGCAGGAGTACCACGGCCACGTCGTGGAGTATGTGGGCTACGTGGTGAAGGTGAGGGCTGCTGGGCGGGCGCTGGAGACGGGCCAGGCCTCAGGGCTGGGGTGAGGGTGCGTCTCTGGGAGTCGGGGGAGGGCAGGGGGGCCGCTCCTGAGGGTCGTCTGCGCCAAGGAGGCCGCCTCGTCGTCGCCGTGTGACTTGAGGCTCGCTCACTTGCGCCTTCCAGTACTTGGGACTCCACCCCGGTTCTGGGCGTTTCTGTGAGTGTCAGTGCCCGTGTGTGGCGTCCTCAGGGCCAGAGTCCGAGGCCAGCTGGGTTCTCCCCACCCGGGGACGCGCTCCCACGTCTCGGCCGTCTTGGTCCCTTCTCAGTCTGGGGAGACCGGGGCTCCTGCCGCGGGGTGGTCCCAGCCCCTGGACCCTGCCACGCAGCGCCCGGTGCCCCCAGCCTGGAGCCCGGCCGTGGGAGGGCCCCCCCAGGAGGGCCCCCCCCCACTGCACGCTGCCGCACGAGTGCCGTCCTCCCTGATGGTCTGAACCGCTGCCTGCGGGACCTCCCTGTGGCCGGAGGGTCCCCCTAGCCCCGGAACGGAGCTGGCCCCTGGCGTCTGGGAGGGGCGGCCTGGGACACCCGGGCACGGGGCCTGTGGGCCTGGGGTGGGCGGCCTCATCCTTTGTCCTTACACCACATGCCGCTCAGATCTGTGGGACGAGCGTGTCAGGACGTACCACAGACACACAAGACCGTCCCAAGGAACCGTGTGCGAGCGGCGGAAATCAGACCGTCTGCTTCTCCTTCAGATTCACGAAGAGGACGTGACCCTCAAGCTGAACCCGGAGTTCGAGCAAGCGTACAACTTCGAGCCCATGGACGTGGAGTTCACGTACAACAGGTGGGGCCTCCCCCGCGGCGGGGCCCGGACGCCGGCGGTGCGGGGGAGGACACCGTGGGGGTCCGTGCCAGGAGGTGGCGCGCTTGTCGGGGAAGTGCCCGTGGGGGGGGGGTCCGTGTTTCAGTCGCGTGCTTGTGGAGCTTGCAGAGCGCGGCGTCCTCAGACTAGTCCTTCATCGCTGTGCTTCTCGCAGATGTTTCCTCAGGGTGGGGCGCGTGGTCTTATCGTTTGTGATGCTGCCTTTTGAGGAGCAGTTCTTCAGTTGAACAGCTTTTCCTTTCACGAGTCACACTTTTGGTGACGTGCTTAAGAAATCCGCCTCGTGCAATATCACCAAGGCTTTCTTCCGTATTTTCTCCTAAAATTCTGCAGGTTTAAGTTTTACGTTTAGGGTTGCGACCTATTTTGAGTTAACTTTCGCAAATGCTGCGACGGCGGAGGGCTACTAACGGGGGGGGGGGGGTGCGTGGCTGCCCCGTCCGGGCACCAGTGGTTGGCGTCTCCCTCCCTCTGAGCGCAGATCCTCGCGGCTCTCTGGAAGCCCTGCAGCCGCGGGTCTGCCTGCCCCCGGCTCCTCGTCCGTCTGGGATCAGGTAGCTGAGGGCCCCCCAGGCCGGTTTGCGGCGCTGTGCGGCTGCTCCAGATCGCCGTCCTGGGTGGGCCGGCTCGGGAGCAGCCTGTGCCTCCCGAGGGCGGGCGGCCTGTCTGCAGGGGCGTGGCCGGGCCGCGTGGAGTCTCCCGGTCCCGGAGACGCCGGGGAACTGCCATCTCGAGGCCCAAGAGCCCCGTCCATCTGCCGCGGCCGCTCCCCACGCCTCCTGGTGTGTGTCCCATTCGGCTTGTCCTGACTCTCCAAGGAGTCCTTGCTGCTCCTGCGAACAGTGACTCTAACTGAAATGCTGGCTGCTCCAGCAGCTGACTCGTGTGTGGCGATCATGTGTTCTCCGCACTTGCCGAGTGAGGTGTTTCGGGAAGCGCTCTGCGGACCGCAGAGGACCCCGCGCGCGCCCGCCGGTGCTCGCGGGGATGCCACCTTCCCCTCTCTTCCCCGCGTGCGTCTGCTCTGCTCTGCCTCCTGCGAGGCCCGGGCCTGGGGAGCCGCGGGAGCCGAGGTGTCTGTTCGCGGTGGGGCAGCAGGGGCAGCCGAGGCCCCGTCGGGGGAGGAGCTGGAGCCCCGGTCTGCGGACAGCGTTAGGCACCGGTGGGCGTGGGGGGTTGTGCCCTCCGTGCCCTTCAAGACGCCGTGGGGATCTTGCTCCTTAGTCTAGCGAGACGGTCAGTCGCACGACTGGAACAAGCCCCCTTCCCATGGCGCGCCTGCCTGTCCCATGGTGCTGTGCCTGGTTTGCCAGAATTCTACTGACGTTCGCATCTGTGCTGTTGAGGGGTGTTGGTTGCAGCTTCCTGGACTGCCCTTTTCTGATCTGGGTACCCAGGCAACAACTCTGGCCTCGCCGTGAGTCGGACAGCGCCACCTCCTGTCCGTCTCCGGGGCAGTCTGTGGGGACGGGCCGGCTGGCCCGGGAGGCGCAGGGTCTGGGGTTTCCTCGGGGAAGCTCCCCGCCTCTCCCTGCAGTCTCTCCCGTGGGTGCCAGCCGCTCGGCCAGCAGTGTCCTGCAGGGGGCGCTCTGGGGTGCTGGTCAAAGGAGCCGTGTTCCTCCCCCTCCCCCTACCCACCCCCCGCCCCGTCTAATCCGCTGGCACGAGGTCCTTCCTGCTATTTCTTTATTCCTTTCCGTGTGGGGGGGGTCTGAGCTGGGTCCCCCTCGGGTCTGACACTGGCGTTTGGTCCTCCTCCTCCCCCCGTTAGTCTGGCTGGAGGCCGGTCTTCTCCGGCGCGTCCCTGCCGCGCCGACTTCTGCTCTTTTTTCTTCTTCTAGAGATCTCATTTATTTATCTTCAGAGAGAGGGGAAGGGAAGGAGAGAGAGGGAGAGAAACGTCAGTGCGGGGGTGCCTCTCATGCGCCCCCCACTGGGGACCTGGCCTGCAGCCCAGGCGTATGCCGTGACTGGGAATCGAACCAGTGAGCCGCACCGGCCGGGGCTGAGCTATGTCTTTTCAGCCTGTTGACGAGTGGAAGCACTTCAGCTGGCTAACAAACATCGTATCCAATCCTCCTCGTGTTCCCAGAATGAAAAGCTCGATTGTATTTCTATTTTAGGGAACCCTTCCTCTAGTGTGTCTCTGGCCGCTGGAGGGGAGGGGCTGGCTGCAGCCGGTGGGTTGCCCGGCTCTCTCGGCGCGGCCTCTGGCGTCTCCCCCTCGCACAGACGCGAGCAGTCCTCCCCAGGAGGGCCGGGCTGAGCCCGCTCCCTGCTCCTTCCGCATCGCTCCGTCTGCGTCAGGTGTCTGTCTGTCTGTCTCAGAGTGGGTCCTCGGAGCGCCGCCCCTCTCCGGCGGGTCTCATCTTGGAGTCGGGTGCGTCCCAGGCAGCGTGTGGACGACCTCGTCGGAGGGACAGGGCAGGGCTGCCCGGGCCTCAGGGTGTGGGCCACACACCCACTCCTCCAGCCCTGCACACGCCCCTCTCAGGACTGTGTGCTGTGAGGGGTCCCCACAGGCCCCTCCTCCCTGGGAGCCTCGCCCTGCACCCCGTTGTCTCCCAGGGGAGAGGGGCTGGGTGGTCCTCAGGTGCCCGGGCCTGAACTTGGCGGAAGTGTGGGTGTGGCCCGGGCTCAGCGACGCTGTGGCTCCGCCCTCTCTGGCCGTCCTCCCTCCCTCGTGCTCTGGGGTGTCGGTCACCCAGTCTCCTCGGAGGGGGCTTTATCTCTTCATTCCCACCCTTTCCCTTGTGTTAGAAAGTGCACCGGCAGGCCCCCACTGGCGCCCTGTGCCGAGCCCTCGTCACCAGACCGAGACCTGACCTACTTGTAGCGTCAGCCCCTCTGGGGAGGGAGCCCCCGGTCCGTCAGGGACCCCGGCAGTGCCATGCCCCCAGAGGAGGGGCCTCACCGTGCCAGCTTCCCCCGGGACGACCTCCCGCTCCCTCCCTCTGCCTGTGGCAGTGCCTTTCTGCGCAGACCCGACCCCCTGCCCGCCCACCGCACTGGACACTGCCCGGTGCGCGTCCCCTCTTGCTCAGGTGGGCTCCTGAGACCTTTCACGCCCCGCAGCGGTCCGTGCGCGGCCCTGACCCTTCGTGCGTGCCGGTCCCCGCCCGTCCCCTCCCTCTGCTAAAACAGGAATGTTCCGGGAGAGGAGGGGTCCCTGCTGTCCCGACGCGTGACGCCGGGCCTTCTCTCCCGGACGCCCGATGGCGACATGTGCTGCATGAAAAGGCCATGGTGCCCCCCTTCTGCCCGCCAGGCCCCGCTCCTGGGAGAGCCGGGGAGAGCCGGGGAGCGCTGGCTCTCGCGGGGCCTCTGCAAGTACCGTGCAGCGGCCGTGCTGGCCGGGACGTGGACCCGGATGTCCGTGGCCCGAGGTGGCCCGGCACGTCTGGACCTGAAGCCAGTCGCCCTGCTGTCTGCCTCCGCAGGACCACGAGCCGCCGGTGCCACTTCGCGCTCGAGCAGGTCGTCCACCTGGGGGTGAAAGGTACGCCGCGCGGGCGGGGAGGGCCGCGCCCGGGTTCTCAGACGCTCCGTGTGCGCGTCCCACGTGCTGAAGGTGGAGCCGCCGCACGCGGCTCGTCCCCTCCCCGCGGGCCCCTCGGTGCTGACGGTGCTGACGCGGAGACCAGCGCGGCACCCCCTGCACAGCCCGTGCAGGGCCGTGCCCGCTGGGCTGGGGGGTTGTGGGGGGGGCTGTGAGTGGTTCGGGGCGACGTGAGCGTTCAGGCTGCTTCTGTCCATCCTTTTAAAGGTTTTCAGTAACATCTGCCTGGTTCCCTCTTCCCCTGTTTTAAAGTGTTGTTTCCAGAAGAGGTCATCTTGCAGTCTCCCCAAGTGACAGGCGGTTGGAACCACGCCCAGGACCCCGGAGATGCCGGGCCACCCGCCCACCAGGTACGGCTGCGCGACGCACGTCTGGGACTCCGAGCAACGGGCACGGGGCTGGGGCGGGGGCGGGGGTCCCGGACACCCCGAGTCACAGTGAGAGCGAGACGGGGGTGCCTGCCAGAGGGAGTCCGGCGTGGTGCCTGTGCGTCCCGACGGGCCACCTGCCCGGCCGCTGTGCTGAGGATGGGTGCGGGGGGGGGCACACGCCCGTCACAGGGCCCGCATGCGTCGTCCCCGCGAGCGTCTGAGGGTGTTCCGGTTTTCACGCGTGCAGCCCGGTCGCCATGAGCAGTCACGTGGCGCCTGCTCTGTGCCAGGCACGGTCGGAGGCTCTGCATGTAGTCCCACACGCAGAACAGGAGTGGTCTTGTTTCACCTTCAACACAGGTGTTGAAGTTGTGTCTAGCACTTGGGAACCCTTCTGCCGTTCCCTAGCCCCTGTTCACAGATGCAGACGCCGCCCGGGGGCCTCCACCCACAGTACCTGCCGCGCTCGGCGTGTTGGCTGGACGCCGCAGGGCGTTGCCCTGGCCCTACCCCTACCCCATGGCTGTTCTGGGGGATGCGTCCCCATGGGCCGAGTCTTCACACTCTGAAGTGCAGAGCAGTGGGTGTCCGCGGACTGGCCGGGCTACGGGGGGACCCGGAGCCTCAGACACCAAACCCCTGGGACCGTGGGGCAGCGCCGCCCGAGGGAGGGAGCAAACGAGAGTGCCTGTGCTGGGCCCAGTCACAGCCCTCAGAGGGGCCCCAGGAGAGGTGGGCTGAGGTCACAGGGCAGCAAGCACTTCTGGGGTCCACAGAGCACCCCCCTCCTTGTTTTCCGCTAAGGACTCAGCAGTGCCGGCTCCTCACCCAGCTGGCGGGTCCTCAGCCTCCCGCACACAGGGCCGCGGGAGCAGCCGCCGCCCGGCCTGGCAGGGCCGCCATGCAGGAGCTGTGGGTCACCTGCAGCTCCGGTGCCTCTGCCGAGGGGGCTCCTGCTGGGCCCCCGGCCCTCTCGGGGGCTGGAGGTGCCCTCCCCTCTGCGGCTCTCCCTCGTGGGGGTTGGGGGGGTTCAGCAGGAGGCACACACACACCAAGTCAGAGAGAAAGCTGTTGTTTTGGAGTCCTTGTCACGCTTATGTTTATTTGTAAAAGATAGTTCAAACACAAACAGGCTTTTCGGGAGGAGTTCCGGCCAATATGGGAGCGTAGTATGGGAACCCTTCACTTCCTCACACAACCCGTCTAAAGTCGACAAACAACCAAAAACACCAGAAAATCAAACTGCATGGAACTCCAACAACCAAGGAATTAAAGAAAAAGTCAACCAGAACAACCAGACCGGTACGGTGGACCCCACAGGGCGGCGGACTCAGAAAAACCTCAGCCAGGCGGCTGGGGGCAGGGCTGACCGCCCGGCGGGGCAGAGCTGCTCGACGGGGACTGACTTCGGGGGAAACCGAGACTCGGCGCTGCCTGTGGGCTCGGCTGGGGCTGCCACAGCGACAGACACTTCCAGTCTGAGCGAGAGTCTGCTGGAGAGAGCCCAGCAGGTGGGCTGCACCTGTCCCTCTGCGGCCGCTCCCCCACCGGCGGCGCAGCAGAGAGGGTTGCCCCGCCCCGGTGCATGCCCAAGGCCCGCCCCTTACAGCTTAGCGGATGCGCTAAGACAGAGAAATGCAGTATGGTCCAAATGAAAGGACACGGCAGAACCTCGGAACTGAGCAATGAGGAGACAGCCAACCCATCTGATGGAGAATGTAAAGCCCTAGTAATGAAAATGCTCACAGAACTGATAGAGCTTGGTTGAAAAATGAAAGAACAAATGGAAGATACCCAAAATGAAATAAAGCAAATTATTCAGGGAACCAACAGTGACAAGAAGGAAAGCGGGATTCAAAGCAACAATTGGGAACAAAAGGAAGAAATAAACATCCAACTGGATCAGAACAAAGAAACAGGAATCCAGAAAAAATGCAGAGAGGCTGAGGACTCTCTGGGGCAACCTGGAACATCCCAACATCTGAATCACGGGGGTGCCAGAAGGAGAAGAGCAATAGCAAGAAGTTGAAAACATATTTGAATAATGGAGGAGATCTTCCCCAATCTGGCAAAGGAAACAGACTTCCAGGAAGTCCAGGAAGCTCAGAGAGTCCCAAAGAAGCTGGACCCAAGGAAACACATACCAAGGCACATCATCATTACATTAGCCAAGATTAAAGACAAGGAGAGAAACTTAGAGGCAGCAAGAGATAAGGAGACAGTTACCTACAAAGGAGTTTCCATCAGACTGTCAGCTGATTTCTCAAGAGAGACCTTGCAGGCAAGAAGGGGCTGGAAAGAAGTATTCCAAGTCATGAAAGGCAAGGACCTACATCCAAGATTACTCTATCCAGCAAAGCTCTCATTTAGAATGGAAGGGCGGATAAAGTGCTTCTCAGATAAGGTCAACTTCAAGGATTTCATCGTTACCAAGCCCTTATTATATGAAACATTAAAGGGACTTACCTAAGAAAAAGAAGATAAAAAATATGAACGATAAAGTGACAATAAGCTCGCAACTATTAACAAATGAACCTAAAAAACAAGAGAAAAACAATGAAAACAAAAACTAAGCGAACAACTAGAACAGGAACAGAATCACAGAAATGGAGATCACATGGAGGGTTATCAGTGGGGAGGGAGGACTGGGGGGAAAGGTACAGAGAAGCAGCAGCATAATTAGTAGACATAAAATAGACGGGGAGAGGTAACAAATGGTACAGGAAACAGGATTCAAAGAACTTACATGTACAATCCATGGACATGAACCAAGTGGGGGGAATGCTAGAGGGTTAGGGGAGTATGGTGGGGGGTGTAAAGGGGGGAAAATGGAGAAAACTGTAATAGCATAATCAGTAAAAAGTTCTTAAAAAAGGAAAAATACTTTTCGGTAGCTTCTCATCAGACACCTGTAGTTTCCTCGTGTCGGGCGAGGCGTGCGCCCCGTGACCCGCCGGGGGCCACCCAGCCGCCGGGGACAGCGCCCACGTTCTCTCTGTGAACCGGGCCTGTGTGAACACAGCTCGCTCTCACACTCTTTTTTGGGTGGTTGTTTCTAGAACAGGAAAGCCATGACGGACCAGCCAAAGCCCACCGCCAAGCCAGGGCCAGCGGGTGCCCAGGCCACGCTGGGGCCGGCGGCCTTCGCCGCGGGGATGAGCCGCCTGGGTGCGTGTGGTCCTGCCGGAGGGGCTGGGCAGCGGGTGACGGGGGCGGGCGGGCTGCACGTGCCGGCTCGGCTGGGGGCACTCAGGGCCGCGGTTGGGCAGGCAGGAAGGGGGAGGGCGGTGGGCGTCCCATGTCCGCTCCGTCCGGGGTGGCGCAGGCGTGGACAGAAGCGCCGTCACCGCCACCACAGGAGCGAACACGGGACGCCCACCGCCCTCGCTCCTCTGCTCCGACCAGGCGGCGAGGCGCGGGCCCCGGAGGCCAGGGAGGAGGAGTTCTTCAACCCGCTGCTCAACGAGAACCAGAGGCTGGCCGTGCGGAGGATCCTGAGCGGGGACTGCCGCCCCCTGCCCTACATCCTCTTCGGGCCTCCGGGCACCGGGAAGACGGTGACCATCATCGAGGCCGTGCTGCAGGTGACGGCAGGAGGCCACGCGGCTGGCGGGCGGCATGCACACGCACTCCACAGTGCGCGTGTCGGGGACCCGTGTGGCTTACGCCGCCGCAGCAGGAAGAGCTGGGAACCCCGGGTCCCTCGGGTGCAGCCGGTCGGCCGTGTGTTGCCGCTGGGCCTGTGCGGGTGCGGAAGCCTGTCCCAAGGGGAGGGGGGGGCGTTTGTCCTGGGGGGAGCGGGCCGGCTGGCCCACCGCGGGGCCCTGCAGAAGGGGGTCCCGGCACAGTGGCTGCCGTGTGGTCCGCAGACGACGTCCGCCGTCCCCGCCTGCGTCACGGCTGAGTGCGCGGACACGCGGTGCGCCTCGTGCGTCTGCGCCGCTCGGGCCTCGCGTCTGCGGCGCCCCAGCAGCCCTCCCGCGGGCGGGGGGTGGTTCGGGCCCTGGGGTGCGGAGCTCTCGCCCCGCCCTCAGGCCTGTGGGCGTCCCCGCCCCGAGCCCAGCCCACGGCTGACTGTCTCGCCTGCCCTGACCAAGGTGTACCACGCCCTGCCGGACAGCCGGATCCTGGTGTGTGCGCCCTCCAACAGCGCCGCCGACCTCGTGTGTCTGCGGCTGCACGAGAGCCAGCTGCTGCAGCCGGGCACCATGGTCCGTGTGAACGCCACCTGCCGGCTGGAGGAGGTGAGCGCCGCCGCAGCCGCCCGGCCGTCCCAGCCCCCGTGCCCGACCTGCTCCTGAGCAGCTGTCCTGGCCGGGGCGTCGCGGCTCCGCTCCCCGCGGCCGCCTCCTTGCCCACTCCCTGCCAGAGTCGCCCTCTCCGGCCCCGTTCTGCTGGCTCGGGTGCCTTGCTTGCAGGTTGGAGTCCTTTCAGCCAAAGTGACCGGGCCAAGGAGTGAGGGGCATTGCTCTGTGGGGGTCAGAGGGCGCTGCAAGGTCACTTGTTACGTTCAGAGCTCTGGAACCCACAGATGGGGGCTACGCTGGTGTGAAGAGATAAATATTCTTTGAAGACTTTGTTTGTTTGTTTTTAGAGAAAGAAAGAGAGGGAGAAAAACATCAGTGTGTGGTTGCCTCTTGAGCGCCCCCTACTGGGGACCTGGCCCACAACCCAGGCCTGTGCCCTGACTGGGAATGGAACTGGCGACCCTTTGGTCCGCAGGCCGGTGCTCAATCCACTGAGCCCCACCAGTTGGGCTGGAAAGAGATTTTGATTTAGGAAAACAATCTCAAATCATTGCTGAGCCATAACTAAGACGTAGAACAGAATTATCTTAGAACTCCTTCCAGCTTTGTGACTGTGTCCAGTTGAAAGACACGCAGTAGCCTGACAGCAGACTGCCCCCCAGACGGTGATCGAGGCCATCAAGGCGTACTGCAAGGACGGGGAGGACATCTGGAAGGCCTCCCGCTTCCGGGTCATCATCAGCACCTGCAGCAGCGCCGGGCTCTTCTACCAGATCGGGGTTCGGTGAGCACCCGGGCGGGCAGGGCGGCACCCCGGGGTGGGAGGGCGGTGGCAGAGGAGGCCCAGACAAGAGGCAGGACCGACCCGGTTGAGGGGGGGGGCGCAGGAGGGGCCGAGGAGGCCGCACGGGGGCGGGGCCGCAGCCGCAGGAAGCCCAGCGGCCGTGGGTGAGGACGGTGCTGCCCCACAGAAGGCCTCTGGGCCGAGGCGGGGTGGCCGGCCTTCCGGCGTCCCTGCCCCGCGCTGGAAGAAGCGCTGTTTCGTGCCACACGTGAGATGCATTGCGACATGGAATCACAGAAAACCTCCCTGTGTTTTAAGTAAATTTACGACTTCGTCCTGGGCCGCAGGACGTGGGACCCCCGTTCTGAAGCCCCCGTGTCGTGCTCAGAGGAAGGCACGTGAGGCCGGCCCCTGCAGCAGGCGCCGGACACGGCGGAAAACGAAAGCATGCTGCCCTCGTCCGCGTGGGACAGGCGGGGCCTGTGGGGGCCTCTGTGCAGGGGCAGCCCGAGACGCCCCAATTCAGGCTCCGCGTCTGAGCGGACTGACGGCCAGCGCTGCCCCCCGGGCTCCCAGGAGCCGGGACCCCACACTGGGGCCCCCGACTCATGGGCTGGGGGGCCTGGAGCCCCAGCTCGGACCAAGGTTGTCCTGGCAGCTGTGGCTCTGGGTGTCGTGCCCAGCGGCCAGTCTCCGTGGCTGCCCCCGGGGTGGAGAGCGTGAGTCCGAGGCGGCAGCGGGTGGAGGTGGCATCACCAGTGTGGGGGGGTCGTTCAGAGCCCCGCCGTGGCCAGCTCTGTCGCATTCTGCCTGCCGCGGTGGAAACCACGGCCCAGAGAGGGGATAGGATGCCCACGCCACCCAGCTGCTGGGCAGCGAGGCCGGGACTGCAGCCCAGGCCTGTGTCCGTGGCGGGCAGACGGGCGGGCAGGCAGTCCCAGCCGCACCGCACCGTGTGGTCCACTCACCTCTTTCCCTCCGAGTCGGGCACAGGGTCCGGTGGGGCCTCCCGGGCTGGCCCAGCCGGCCCCCAGGGACTCAGACAGCGGCGACCTCTGAGGTCTTTGGCTCCAGAGTCGGACACTTCACGCACGTGTTCGTGGACGAGGCCGGACAGGCCAGCGAGCCCGAGTGCCTCATCCCCCTGGGGCTGGTGTCGGACGTCGGTGGCCAGGTGAGGCGCCGGCCTGCCCGTCCCCCACCCCCACCCCCGCAGGGATGCAGCCTTTCGGGGGGGCCACGTCCCGGCCACCCGCACCCCTCCCGCACCGCGGCCGGTGCTGAGTGTGGCTGACCGGCGAGTGCCCGTCCTGTGTCACAGATCGTCCTCGCTGGGGACCCCATGCAGCTCGGGCCCGTCATCAAGTCCCGGCTGGCCATGGCCTACGGGCTGAACGTGTCCCTGCTGGAGAGACTGATGTCCCGGCCGGTGTACCTGAGGGACGAAGACGCCTTCGGTGCCTGCGGCGCCTACAACCCCTTGCTGGTGAGCTCGGCCCCCAGCTCCCACGGGGTGCGGGTCCCTGAGGGGACGGCTGAGGCGGGCCCAGTGTGTCCTGTGTTCCCAGCCGGCCCAGGGCCCCTGCCGTGCAGCACGGCTGAGCTTGGCCACCGAGCAGGAGACGACGTCAGGGGCAGGTCACCCCCCTGGACAGGAGGGAGGGCGTGGGAGGCGGGGCTCGGGGCCGGCTGTGCACTGCCGCCTCCTGACTTGGGAGAGGCGTGCCTGCCCCGTGTGCCCCTGAGCCTCAGGCCGGGCTCGGGGGGGGGCAGCATGGGCCCCCGGTGCCTGCCGGCCACACGGCCAGGCCTGGCTCCCTGTTTCCCTGACAGTCCCTCTTTCTGTTACAACGCGGCCTGTTCGGAAAGTGGCCTAAGGTGCCGAGGTCGCTTTCTCCTTGGGTGGGAGACGAGAGGCCTGGGGGGGGGTGCCTGGGTGGCGGGGTCTCGTCCTCTGTCCCCTCGCAGGGCCCGGGGTGCAGACTGCTGACCAGGGCCCGGCCCGCTGCCCCACCCCGCCCCCGCCCCGCAGGTGACGAAGCTGGTGAAGAACTACCGGTCACACGCCGCCCTGCTGGCCCTGCCCTCCCGGCTGTTCTACCACAAGGAGCTGGAGGTCTGCGCGGACCCCGAGGTGGCGGCCTCCCTGCGGGGCTGGGAGAAGCTGCCCAGGAAGGGCTTCCCCCTGGTCTTCCACGGCGTCAGGGTGAGCCGGGGCCCCACCGCGGCCGGGACGCCGGCTGCAAGCCGGGGGGGTGGGGGGTGCACCGCCTGGGCCAGTGGCCTCGGCGCTGGAGGGGCGCAGCGGGGCAGAGCGGCTGCGGCTCGTCCCCCCGTGGGAGCACTTGCGGGTGCTGTCAGAAACCCATGGCCAGGCTAGGCTGCTGTGGCTCAGTCGTCCCAGAAGCCCAGAGGTCCCTGGTTCGGCCCCCGTCAGGGAGCAGGAGGCTGCCAATCCGCGATTCTCGCCCTTCCCTCGTCTCTGGAGGGAAGGGAAGATAAACCTTTGGAGCAGTAAAACCCCGCAGCCAGACGGGTCCGTCTGGGTAAACGTGCGAGGACAAACCAGAGGACGCGGGACCCCCGAGTGTCTTTGGAACGGGCCCGTGGGGGGGTCTGCTGTTCAGCTCCTCCGCCCCTGACCGCAGCTGCGTCCACACGGTGCCCCCGCCCGCCGTGGGGGCCTGGGCGCGGTGTCCGGTCAGCGTTTCCCTCACCAGCACTCCCTCCTCGAGGGTCCGACGGCCTTGCCCCCCCCCCCCCATGCGGCCGCTGTGCCGTGGGGCGCGTGCCGCTGGCGGCTGCTCACCTCCCTCGGTGCTGGGCGCCCTGCGCTGCGTCAGGAGTCGGTTTAGACTCCACGCCGACACGCCCTGGCCGCGGGGCTCGGCGGTGGGGTGTCCTCCTGCCCCACGGAAGGTCGCAGGTTCCCTCCCCGGTCAGGGCACGTGCCCGGGTTGTGGGTTCGGTGCTCGTTGGGGCGCAGCCGACCGATGTTTCTCTCCCTCTCACCTTCCCTTCCCCTCCCTCCGAAGCCAGTAAACTGATCCCAGGTGAGGATCAAGTTCGTTAGAATAGCAAGTCCCACCTGGTGAGATACTAATGCTCCCCTTCCTCTTTCTCACTGTCTGGTATCTCTCTGTCCTCTCTCTTTTATTCTGTATCGTTTTACTTTGGATGCAGTTATTTTAAGCAGCTAGGGTTTTTTAACATTTATTTATTTTTAGAGAGAGGGAAAGGGAGGGAGAAAAAGAGGAAGACGAACATCAGTGTGTGGGTCTCTCTCTCATGCCCCCACCTGGGGACCTGGCCCACAACCCAGGCACGTGCCCTGACTGGGAATGGAACCAGGGACCCCTCGGTTCACAGGCCGGTGCTCAGGCCACTGAGCCACACCAGCCGGGGCAAAGCAGCTAGTTTTTCTGTTTGTTCCCATTTAAGAGTCTGTCTGTAATGAGCTCAGCCCCTCGGACCTCCAGGTTCCGCCTCCACCTTCATCTTCCGCTTCGTTGGCTGTCTCCTCCTGCCCCACGTCTGTTGTCTGCGTGGTTCCGCTGGAGGGTGTGCGCCGCTCCCTCCTCGGGGAGCCGCTGCCGCTCCGGGCTTCCGGCACGCCCGCCCCCACGGCTGTCTGGCCCCGTCCCGTCCCTCAGAGCCCGGGGCTGAGGCACCTCGAGAGCCCACCTCCCCGGGGCCAGCGCGCTCCCACCGCTCTGCCCGGGACACGCTCGCGGCTGCGGTGAGACGCCCACAGCGTGAGGCGGGCTGCATGGGCCCTTTCCGGTGCAGAGCTCAGCGGTCTGCCGTGGGTTTCAGAACCCCGCCCCCCCAAACCAACTGTCCCAGCACACCCTCCCCCAGCCCAGCCCCCGGCACCACCGGCCGCCTCTGTCTGCTCGGCTCTGACTCCCGCGGGTTAGGGTTAGGGTTAGGCCCCACAGTGCCTGCGCTCGGCGCCCGCACCACTGAGCACACCCGGTCTGCGGGTCCGGCTGCCTTCCTCTTCGGGGTGAGCAGTGCCCGCTGCATGGACAGGCTCCTGCCACTACGCGGTCGCTGTGGCGACGGACGCGGTCGCTGTGGTGACGGTCCCGGTCTGTGTGGGCCCCGCACGCAGGTCCTTTGGGCAAACACCCGGCAGGAAGCGCCGGGTCCCACGGTCTTCCTGCTCCAGCGTCCCGAGGGAGCCGCGAGGGAGCCGCACGCGGTCCGTTCTCCGCGGCTCCTGCGCCGTCTCACCCTCCCGTCAGCCCTGCACAGGGCGTGGCTCCCCCCCCCCCCCCACATCCTCACCAGCTGGGGGCTTCGGCACCGGTGACTGGAGCCGTCCTGGTGGTGTCAGCCGAGCCCCCAGGGCTGGGCTTGCGCCTCCCCGTCGCGCGGTCGAGCGGTGGGGCCCAGGATGGCGGCGGGCCCGCAGTTCGGACGCAGGGGGGCCACACGCTCACACGCCTGGGGGCGGCCCGGGCCCCCACCTGCCGCACTGGCCCCCCGCTGGCCTCTGCCTCCTCGGCCGTGCTCTCGGGCCCCCCCCTCGTGGCTCCCAGGCCTCTGTTCCTTCCCAGCGTGCACGCCCCCTGCTGTGTCCCTGTCCCGGCCCCGTAGGACAAGCCCCCGTCCTCGTCCTCGTAGCACTGGTGCAGCAGTGACCGTTCCCAGTCCCTGCTCTGCGCCCGTTCACGGCCCCGGACGGGCGTTTTGTGACCAGAGAGACCTGTGCCGACCTGCCTCTCTCCTGTCCCCGACGGCCGCAGGGCAGCGAGGCGCGAGAGGGGCGGAGCCCGTCCTGGTTCAACCCGGCCGAGGCCGTCCAGGTGCTGCGCTACTGCTGCCTCCTCGCCAGGAGCCTCTCCGGCCGGGTGTCCGCACAGGACATCGGCGTGATCACGCCCTACCGCAAGCAGGTGGGGCCCTGCTCCCGGGCGGTCCTCGGTGCGTCCTTGTCCCCAGGGGCCGGCAGGGCAGGGAAGCACAGACTGGGCCCCGTGGCGCCAGGTCCCTCACCCCCATCCCCAGCCTGTCCCTGGGCCGGCCGCACCCCCGCGTCCTGGGGCTGGGAGGCCCCCCGCCCGCACACTCCGCCCGAGGTCCGGTTCGGTTCTGCCCATGTTGGTGGAATTGAGAGGCGGCACCGCTCACTGGGTCGCCCTCCCGCACGTCCTGGAGAGTCGGGCTGTAAAGCTGCGTCGTCGTCCACGTTGTTATCTGCTTCGAAGGTGGAGAAGATCAAGATCCTTCTGAGAAACGTGGACCTGACGGACATCAAGGTCGGGTCGGTGGAGGAGTTCCAGGGACAGGAGCACTTGGTCATCATCATCTCCACCGTAGGTGGCCCCGCCCCTCGTGGGGCAGCGGCGTGTGGGGTCGCCTGCACGTTGGCGGGCCCGCGGCCCACGCTGGTAGAAAGGGCGCGGGCTCGGGGCCTGCAGGGAGGCGCCCTCACAGCCACCAGGGGGTCAGCCCACCGCAGGGAGGGGGCAGGACTGGGTGGAGACCCCCTGGGCGGGCGGGCAGGGATGCGGTGGGGGGCGGACAGCGGGCGGGCGGAGGTGCCACGTGGGCGAGGTCAGGGGCCAGCGGCCCCCAGGGAAGCCGAGTCCCCTCCCCGACCTCTGTCCTGCCCCCGTAAAGGGCCCTGCCCAGCAGTGCCACCCGCAGGCGAGGTGGAGCAGCCGGGCCCGCTGCTCAGGCTCCACCTCCCCCCAGTTTTTGTTTTTAAACTGGAAATGGGGCTCACCAATGTTTAATGTTTCTAAATGCTTTTCTATGTCGAGAGTTTCTGTCCACGACAAAAAATCTTGAAACGTCGTTTTTCTTCTCCTTTGTGTTTTTCAGGTACGATCGAATGAAGATGAATTTGAAGACGACAGATATTTTCTGGGTTTCCTGTCCAACTCCAAGAGATTCAATGTTGCCGTCACCCGACCCAAAGCCCTGCTGATCGTGCTGGGAAACCCTTACGTTCTAGTCAGAGTGAGCGTGCGCGGGGGGGGGCGGGGCCTGGGTGGGGAGGGGCGGGACCTGGGCCGCTTCACCCGCCCTGAGGCCCCGCCCCCTGCGTCCCCGCAGGACCCCTGCTTCGGCGCGCTGCTGGAGTACAGCATCACGAACGGCGTGTACACGGGCTGCGACCTGCCGCCCGAGCTGCGGTCCCTGCAGAAGTGAGCCCCCCGCCCGGCCGGCGTGGCTCAGGTGGAGCGCCGTCCTGTACACCAGGAGGTGGCGGTTTGGTCCCCAGTCCGGGCACACGAGGCCACCAGTCCGTGTTTCTCTCTCACATCAATGCTTCTCTCTCCCTGTCTCCTCCTCTCTCTCTAAAAGCATGGAAAAATTGTCCTCGGATGACGATGATGCATAAATAAACAAATACAGTGAACCTCCCGCCTCCCCTCCCGCCTGGGCCTCGGTCCTGCCCCGGGGCCAGGCTTTCGGGGCAGCGGTGGGGTTGGCCTGAGTCGCAGCCCCTGCCAGTCCCCTCTGGCCAAGACCTGGCCCCTTGTGCAGACCCTCAGGGGCCGTTCCTGGGGAAGCCTGGAAGTGCGTGCACGCGGGGTGTGTCCCCTGTGAACAGCACCTGGCTGGGGGGGCGTGCACCCCCCCCCCCCTGCTCAGTCAGTTTGTCTTAAACGCACATCTGGTCCTGCCCCCGAGGCAGCGAGTGGCCGCTGGGCAGTCTGTGGGAGGCAGGCTGAGCCTGGCCTGGGGGGCCCCAGACTCCACCGTCTACAGGCACACGAGGGGACACCGACCAGGGACAGTGAGGCTGGGGACCCTCAACCCGTCGCAGCTGCAGTGTCCTGGGGGCCTGGCCTGGGCGCTGCCCACTGTCCCCGGGGGGACAGGCCCCCCATCGCTTCCCTCCTGGGGCTGGGCCCCTCTCAGTACTCTGGGCCCTGAGGGCACGAGGAGGACCTGTCTGGCCCTGACGACGCTGTCCAAGGCCACGGGTGGGGGCGCCTGAGAGCCCCAGTGGGGCACCTGGCCATTTACCCCAGGCTGGGCCATGGGGCAGGAGAGGGGCAGGGGCACCAGCCCCGGGGTGGCGGTAGGAGGTCCAGGCCAAGGGGCCATCCACAGGGGTGGGCTCGTGCCTGGGCCTTCAGCAGGAGGCTCCACGGAAATGGCTGGTGTGAGGGTCCCGGCCTGGCCCCCTGCCCTGGCAGGTTTCCAGAAGCTTCTCCAGAGACACCCAATGTGTCTCCTAACCTGGCGTCTCTGTAACCCATTTCCTAGAAAAGCAGCCCCTCCCTAGAGAGGCAGCCCCCTTCCGTCCTCCAGAGCTGGGGTCCGTCCAGGGACTGGCCGGTGCCGCCCACCTGCCCACACCCTGGGCTGCGGCTCCAGACGAGCGTGCACCCGTGGGGGCCTCGTGGTCATTCTGGGCCCCAGGACGTCGTCTGGGGCGCTGCTGCTGCATCCGGTGTCAGCCCTCAGCCAGGCAGCGGGCTGGCCGAGAAGTCCGTTGCGTGAAATAAAAGACATTTTTCATTTTCACCAATAACTGCTGATTTGGTATCTGAGTATGTCGGCTCCCTCCCGCTCTTGGCTTCAGTGCGGAGAGGCCAGGGGTGCTGCTCCCCGGCGTCCAGTGCGTGAGACGGCCCCGTGGCAGGGGATTCCGTGGCCCAAGTGTCAGCAGCACCGAGAAACCTCGCAACCCACTTCCGACATTCGCTCAGTCACAGCACCTTCTCCCTACACCGCACACATCTTCTTGCTTTTCAGCTGCGTTTTTACTTTTCTTGAAATAATAAAGCATGATACACTGAAGATGTTGCATATTTTTTCCCATCTTCAATATTTGAAAGGCTGCACAAAAATCCACCCATTTTGGTAAGTTTTAAATGCACGCTGACAGGACAGCGGTCACATTACAATGTAACAGAATTGTTCGGAATGAAAAAGACAACTGAGCGCTACTAGAGCCATTGTCCCGGAAAACCCACGTGAACTCGGCCGACCCAGCAACGGGCAAACTGGGTGGAGAGCTGAGCAGGGCGGTGCACCCGGCTTGGAAAAGTGGGCCCTGGAGGGGCCCTCCTTCGCGGGGGTGTCACCTGGGGCTGGGCTGCGACGGTGCCAGCACACCCTTCCCGGTTTTCCCTCCTCGGTGACACGGGAGCTGGAGGAGCTCGCTCACCCGAGGGTGGGGGGGCGGTAAAGTGCAGCCACAGCCGTCGCCTGTTCTTCCAAAACCCGAGCGTCAAAAACCACGTGTCAGTGTGAGACACACCGCTCCCCCAGTGGGGCCCGTCCCCCAAAACCCGCTCCGGGACACGTCCATGCAGTCGGGGCCACCACAGCGCTCCAATGGCTGGTGTCACCCTGTTCTCAGTCCTTTCCCACGTGTCCTCTGGGGGAGGGGACCCAGGAGGCAGGGCTGGGCTCCGGGGTCCCCACGGGATCCGAGCCCCCGTGCAGGGTGTCGTCCAGGGCCTCCGCTCTGGCCCCCCTGGGCCCCTCCGAGTGAGGACGGCGTTCGAGGGGGCTGCCACGTGGTGGGGCCAGGCTGCAGCATTCGAAGTCCAGGCCTCAGCTCTGCCCGCCCCCCACCTCACCTGGTTTGGCTGCTTCCACCTGCCGGCGTTTCCTGCCCCGTGTGCACTTGGGTGCCTGTGCCGAGCACTCAGTGTGTCCCCAGGGCAGCCCCACACCTGCTGGGGCCAGGTCCGAGGTCAGGTCAAGGTCAACAGCGTTCCCCTACCAGAGCGACCACCCAAGATGCATCACAGAAAACGGTGTGTGGGAAGCAGCCTAACCGCCCCCCCCCCCATCTGTGAGACCTGCACAGGGGTCACCCGATGCTGTCACGGCAGAGAGAGGGGCGAGTGGGGGGGGTGCTGCCGTCAGGGTGGGCTCCCACAGCACAACCCACCTTCCTCGCTTACCAGACATGCGGGGCAACCTCCCCGTCCCGGCCACACGTGACGGAGCCCCTGCAGAGCACCTGTGGAAGAGGGAAGGTGACAGGTGCCAGGGCGCAGGGGAGGAGCAGGAGGGACGAGGCCCATGTTCAGAATCCGGCAAAGCCAGGGTCGTGCAGCCACAGAGGGACGGCCCTCCCGGAGGCGGCGAGGACCCTGCTGGCCCAGGAGAGGCTGAGTGTGTCCACGGCGCCTAGCTTTCTGAGAGCTCCAAGCGGCGTCCCTGCCCTGACAGAGGCCTGCAGACGGTGACCAGGTGACCCGGTGACCAGCGACCCAGCCCAGGGGCGAGGCAGCGTGGCGTCTGCCACGGCTGGGCCTGGTGCGGCGGGCTCCCGGACAGCAGGGTCCTCAGCGGAGGAGCGGAGGGGGGGCCACAGGGCCCGTCCGGGAGGGACGCTGGGATGCCCACTGCCTCGCCTCGCAAAGGAAATCCAACGCTGTGCACATTGAAAAGAAGGGGTTTGACTACATCGAAGTGAAGGATTTCTACTCACACCCGATGGATGCATCGGGCCGACACGGTGCTCGGAGGAGTGGGGACGGCTGACGGACAAAGGAAGGTCCGAGAGCCGGAGGGACAGCGTCTTGGGAGGGGCCGACGGCCGGAGCCTGGCACCCAACGCCCTGGGAGGCGGAGACCGGCACACGCCCGCCTCAGGGTGGGAGATGCCTGAGCGCCAGCCACGTGGACGGCGCAGCCTGCTGCGGGGACAGAACCCCCTCCGCACGGAGGGAGTGTGGCCTGGCCCCTCTGGAAAGCACCAAGGAAGACCCGAAGCCCCCCCACCGGGGGCTCCCGGGAGCCTTCCCGCTGTCTGTGCCAGGTTGGGGGTCTGGGCTGACAGCTGTTGAGACCAGAGGTCACCTCACTGCCTGGGAGCTTCGGGCGAGAAAACTGGGGGCAGCGGCGGGGCGCGTGACTGAGAAACACGCAGGCGTCTGAGACGCACGTGGGCCCTTAAGAACCCACCGGCACAGGTGCGGGACTGTGGCGCCTGCACAGGCCGCCCTCCCTCCCGGCCCTGGCCTCCACCCCCCCAGCCCCCACCCACCCCCGCTGGCTGACTCGCTCCTGCCCTGAGCGACCCGGGCTGCAAACGCCTGCGCTCAGCCGTCTGTCTGTCGGGTGAATTACTGAGTGCAGCTAAAACCCCAACCACACGATTTTTTTTTTTTTTTACAAAGCTGGCACGTGCATTTCCTACCACCGCGGCAAGGGGACCCGCGGGAGCCAACAGAAAAAAACGCGGAACCTCAGCGAGCCTTGCTGGCAGCTGCGCTGTGCTGAGACCTAAGTGTTGTCGCAATTGTTCCGCGGGCGACGGCGGGAATGGATGACATGGGGGGTCGCAATGGGAGGGTGAAGGGCGCAAAGGCGGCAGGGAGCCGCTGCCAGAAGCACCGGGACCCCAGCGCCCACCCCAGGGACTGGCTCGGCCGCGCGGCGGGAGTGACGCCTGGGGTGACAGCCGGAGGTCAGGACGGGAGAGCGGGCGGCCCCGCGGGCAGGTGATGTGGGGACGCTGGCGCGCGCGGTGGGCACCGCTGGGGGCGGAAAGACGCCCCGATCCGGGGAAGGGGTGCCCAGTTCCCCCTCCGTGTCCGCAGCACCCCCGACTTTGGGGGGGCCCGGCACCCACAGTGGCGGCCAGGCTTGGGGTAGCGAAGAGGCGACAGCGCAGGACGCAGGACGAGGAGCCCCGTCCTCGCCGGGCTGGGCGATCCGGGCCCGGGATGCGGCGGGTCGGGCCCCAGCCCTCCCCTCCCCCCGCCCCCGCCGGCGCCCCCGCCCCGGAGGGCAGCCCCGACCCAGCCTCGCCGGACGCCCGCGGTCCCGAGGGAGAGGAGGAACCGGTCCTCGTTCGTTTATCTTACGGAATTTAAACCTTTTCTGCAAAGTCATCGCCGGCGCCGCATTCTGCGTGGCGGGAGGGGGGTGGGGGGCGGAGCCAGGCCGCGAGTCGCCGCCGGTAAACAGCCCCCTCCCCGCGGCGGGAGCGGGGCCGCGGCCCCAGCCTGGGACACCGCCGCCCCCGCCGGAGGACACGCCAGGCGGGCCGGGCTGCAGCCCAGCGGGGGCGGCGGGGCCCGGCGGCCCGACCCCTGCCCGCAGGGGCAGCGGCGACGGCGGCGCGCCCCCCACCTCGCCGTCCGTCCCGCGCCCCCTGCGCCCCTCCCCACGCGCCCCTCCCCCGGCGCCCCGGTGATTCCCCCGGCGCCCCTCCCCCTGCCCGGCGCCCCCGCGCCCCCCGGCGCCCCCCGCGCCCCGCCCCTCGCCCGCCCCCCATGCACCACCTCCTGGAGCAGCCCGCGGACATGGCGACGGCGCTGCTGGCCGGCGAGAAGCTGCGCGAGCTCATCCTGCCCGGCGCGCAGGACGACAAGGCGGGCGCGCTGGCCGCGCTGCTGCTGCAGCTCAAGCTCGAGCTGCCGTTCGACCGCGTGGTCACCATCGGCACCGTCCTCGTCCCCATCCTGCTGGTCACCCTGGTCTTCACCAAGAACTTCGCAGGTGAGGCCGCCGGGAGGGGCGCGCGGGCGGAGGGGGGGGCGCGTCCGCAGGTGTCCGCGGGGGCCGGGCCGTGATGGCCGCGCCAGGGCTCTCCCAGCAGATCCTCGCCACCACCCACCCTTGTTTGTGTCGCCGGCCGCTCGGGCTGCTCCCCCACCCCCCCCGCCCGGCGCCTCTGCTCCATGTATCGTTTTTACCTTCCGTTTGCTCACCCGCAGCTCAGGGCGCACCCCACCCTGGGCCTGGACGTCCAAGCACAGATGAGACCGGGGTCTGGCGTGGGAAGGGAAGACCGGGAGGGGGAGTGGGCAGGGTCTGAGGAAGGAGGAGGGGCCAGGTGAGGACCAGAAAACGACGTTACAGGTGATGGATGAGGATAGCAGAGCCGGCTGCTGGGCGCGCGGGGCCTGATTGCACCGAGGTCCCCCGAGAAGCAGGCTGGTTCTGATTAGCCACAGGGTGAGGCCACCCCCTGCCCCAGGCCAGCGGCTGAAGCCCGGAAATGTCCCCCTAGAGTGGAGCTGGCGAGGGGTCTCAGGACCCGGGTGTCTGAAGGGGCCCCTCCCCAGCCCACCCACCATGTTTGAGGGCCCCCTGAGCCAGTGCAGGGCACCCGGGGACTCCTGGAGGAGGGAGGAGGGCCATGTGGCTCTGCCCCCCGAGTGACATTGGCACCGTTCTTGCACCCTGCATCGGTTCCCTCACAAAGGTCTCCCCTTTCAGGGGTCCCCGTGGGCAGAGGACACCCTACCTGAGGGCAGACACTGTCCAGGCTGCTTAACCCTCCCCCCCAGGCTGGGGGGCGAGCGCCAGTGCCCACACACTCCTGGGGCGGGGACATGCGCACAGTGGGTGAACAAATCGGTACAAACTCGGTGCTCAAACCGCAGAACTTGACTCCCTCCGCCGGGTCCGAGCTCCCAGGACCTCCAGGGCAGGGCCCCGCCTGCCTCCCCAGCCCCCGCCGCCGCCCCCCGCCCCCCCGCCGCCCCCCCCGTGCTCGGCGTCACGGAGGCCGCACCTCCCCGTTTCTGTCTTCTCCCGGGCACCTGCTCCGTGTGCGCCTGCATCCAAACTTCCCCCGACGACGCGTGAGCTCACCGGTCGCCAGATCGGGGACCACTCCGGGTGCCCTCGTCCTGCTTCCAAACGAGCTCATGTTCACGGATTCCGGGGGGTGGGACTTGGACATCTCTTGGGGGACGTGATTCTCCCCACCCCGGATGCACACAGGAGGGAGGGCAGGTCCAGGACCCGGTTGCCCTCAGCTGACCTCCTGGGACGAGGCCGGGAGTCGAGCTCAGCCAGGTGGGGCCTTGGCTCCCCTCCGCGTCCAGCTGGCCTGCGTGCATCCCGGCCCTGGCAGGCCCGCCCCTCGGCGCCCACGGAGATTCGTGTGCGCCCGCCTGGGCCTGCTGCCGGTGTGGGGAGGGGGCCCGGGGCTTCCAGAGCAGCGGCAGATGGGTGCTGGCACCCGCCCCCCGGCCCATGGGACCCAGGTCACAGAACGAACGGAGGGGGGTTGGCGGCGGTTCCTCAGGACCGCTCTGAGTCACTGTGCCGCTCTTGTCCCTGCCGCCCCCACGGTTTGGGAGAACAGGAGCTGCTTCTCTCGCTCACCTGGACTGCGGTCCAGGGAAGACCAGTGGCTCCGTCAGGGCCTGCCTGCCTGGCACTCGGGGGTCTCAGGTGCCTCAGGCAGAACTCAGACGGGCCCCACGGCCCCTTCCCCAGACACAAGGACGACAGGGGTGCAGGGAAAGGGGCCGCGCAGGGGGGAACCACAGGTGAGCTCCCGGGGCCGCCCTGCTGGCGTGTGGCGCCAGAACGGGAGGGTGGTGAGGTCAGAAGCGCTGGCCCTCGGGGGGGACCCCTTGGCCCTCCCCCCCTCCCCCCCTGGACAGGAACTGGTCCCGGGACCCCATCCCCACGGCACTGGCCAGCATCTGTCTGCGAGCGTCTGAGCCCACGGCCTGGGGCCAGCAGGCCGTCTGCTGCCCGAAGGACCCACAGCCCGCCCGCCGGGGGCCCAGCCTGAGCGGGGCCTCCTGTGCTCGCCCCACTGAACACACCCGGTGGGTGTCCTGGGGCAGGGAGGTCGACCTCTCTGCGTCCTGGCTCGCTCGTCAGGGACACGTGGGGCGCACGCACTGGCGCTGGGGGGGGGGGGGCGGTGAGGGGCCAGTCAGGCGCTGCTGGCCTCCTGGCCGGGGACCTGCCCGAACATCAGGGCCTTGCATCCCCAGCCTTGGGGGGGCAGACGGCGGAAGACCCCCACTGCTCTCGGCCAGGGCTGCCGTGACTCCCACCGCAGGGACCACTCATGGGTGGCGGAGGGGGTCAGACGGGTGTGTGACCACGGGTGGGGGAGAGAGTTGAAGGGTTACTGGGGTCCCTGGACGTTGTGCAGCCCGGGCAGGTGACCGACGTCTCCTGAAACAGCCCGGTGAGCAGGCCCCAGCCCAGCCCTCCACCTCCCTCTTCTGAAAGGACGGGGGGCAAGTGATCTGCCCCCCAAGGACTCAGAGCTGCAGGGCAGGCCTGTGAGAGAGGAGCCCCCACCCCCCGCGCCAGTTCTCAGGGTCTCCCTCGCCCTCTCGTGTGGCCCCGCACCCTGGGAGCGTGTCTGTTCGGGCCCCTGGGGGAGGCTCGGGGCGGGGGTCCTGGGGGCCGGGGGGAGGCCAGCCACCCCCACAGGCACAGCCTAGAGGCCGCCCTCGGGTCCCTCAGCTCGGGAGTCAGAACCGAGTGGTGTGGGGCGGAGACCCCGGGGCCAGCAGGGCCCCTTCCTTCCAGAGGCTCCTGGGAGAACCCACCTGGCCCTTCCCGCTCCCAGAGGCCCCCCCACCCCTGGGCTTCCGGTCCTTGCCCAGCCTCTGTCTCCTTCCCTACGCCTCCCCAACTGGAGCACCGACCCTCCGGCCTCCTCCTCACAAGGGCCCCCGTGACCACACGGGCCCCTCGATGACCCAGGCCCATTGCCCCCGCAAGAGCCCGAACCTGACCCGCCCGCAGTCTGTAGACAACCCGGCTGCAACTTCTGGGGAGCGGCTGCAGCACCCCGTGCGGGGCCTGCAAGGGCTGTGGGGTCCGGGAAGGGTCCGGACCTCCCCTGGGGTGAGGGGCTGAGAGGCAGAGGTGGGGGCCGTGAGCCAGGCCTGGGGTGGCCGGGTGGGGTCCCGCTGGCCCAAAGAGCAGCCTCCTTGGAGCCGGGCACTGGGAGGGGCAGCAGCCGGCAGGGCACCCCAAGGCAGCGTGGAGCGAGTCAGCTTCCCCTGGGGACGGGCGCGGGCGGTGGGGTGCAGGCTGGGAGCCCGACGTGGGGGGTGGGGCTGGGGGCCGGGAGCACTCAGAACCCCGGGGGCAGGTGTGCGCTCGGAAGCAGGGGCAGGGTGCTCCTCCCCGGAGCTGCACCTCCGGCGTCCGGCTCTCCTCCGACAGGGCTTCTCGGGGTGCTGCCCCTGGCCCTGGGCGCGCAGCAGTGGGGTTTCCAGGGATCCCTGGGGCTCTGAGGACCCGTGGGCCACGGTGTCCCCTCTCAGGGGACAGTCAGGGGCACCGGGGGCAGTGCAAGGGCAGGGGGCTGGTCCAGCGGTGCCACTGGATGAGGGACCCTGGCTGAGGAGTGTGGCCTGACCCACTCTTCTCGGGACTTGGTTTCCCCTGCGTACACGCCAACACCTTGCGGTAGATTGGTCCTGCAGGTGCAGGGGGCACCGCGGTGTCCCTCCTCACCTGTGGGGCAGCCGGCTGCCGAGTGTAGGGGGTGCCCAGGGTGCGACCCCCCCACAGCTGGGACATGGGGCTGGGGAAGCCACCAGGCTTGGGGCGGGCGTCGCTGTGTGGGAGGGGCCGGGGGCGAGCGGCGGGGGCGGGGTCTGGCGCCCCAGCCCGCGTCTCCTCTCTGCCCCCAGAGGAGCCCATTTACTGCTACACCCCGCACAACTTCACCCGCGACCAGGCGCTGTACGCCCGCGGCTACTGCTGGACGGAGCTGCGGGACGCGCTGCCCGGCGTGGACGCCAGCCTGTGGCCGTCGCTGTTTGAGCACAAGCTGCTGCCCTACTCGCTGCTGGCCTTCGCGGCCATCATGTACGTGCCCGCGCTGGGCTGGGAGTTCCTGGCCTCCACCCGCCTCACCTCCGAGCTCAACTTCTTGCTGCAGGAGATCGACAACTGCTACCACCGGGCGGCCGAGGGCCGCGCGCCCAAGATCGAGAAGCAGATCCAGTCCAAGGGGCCCGGCATCACGGAGCGCGAGCGGCGCGAGATCATCGAGAACGCGGAGAAGGAGAAGAGCCCCGAGCAGAACCTGTTCGAGAAGTACTTGGAGCGCCGCGGGCGCAGCAACTTCCTTGCCAAGCTGTACCTGGCGCGGCACCTGCTCATCCTGCTGCTCAGCGTGGCGCCCATCTCCTACCTGTGCACCTACTACGCCACCCAGAAGCAGAACGAGTTCACCTGCGCGCTGGGCGCGTCCCCGGACGGGCCCGCGGGCGGCGGGGGCTGGGCGGTGCGCGTGAGCTGCAAGCTGCCGTCCGTGCAGCTGCAGCGCATCGTGGCGGGCGTGGACATCGTGCTCCTCTGCTCCATGAACCTCATCATCCTCGTCAACCTCATCCACCTCTTCATCTTCCGCAAGAGCAACTTCATCTTCGACAAGCTGCACAAGGTGGGCATCAAGACGCGCAGGCAGTGGCGCGGCTCCCAGTTCTGCGACATCAACATCCTGGCCATGTTCTGCAACGAGAACCGTGACCACATCAAGTCGCTCAACCGGCTGGACTTCATCACCAACGAGAGCGACCTCATGTACGACAACGTGGTGCGGCAGCTGCTGGCGGCGCTGGCGCAGTCCAACCACGACGCCACGCCCACCGTGCGCAGCGCCGGCGTCCAGACGCTCGACCCCAGCGCCGACCCCGCGGAGCCCGACGGCGCCGCCGAGCCGCCCGTGGTCAAGCGGCCCCGCAAGAAGATGAAGTGGATCCCCACCAGCAACCCGCTGCCCCAGCCCTTCAAGGAGCAGCTGGCCATCATGCGCGTGGAGAACAGCAAGGCCGACAAGCCCAAGCCCGTGCGCCGCAAGACCGCCACCGACACGCTCATCGCGCCGCTGCTGGATGCGGGCGCGCGCGGGGCGCCCCACGACAAGGGCGGGGGCGACGCCGGCCCCGCCACCGACAAGAAGCACGCACGCCACTTCTCCCTGGACGTGCACCCGTACATCCTGGGTTCCAAGAAGGCCAAGCCCGAGGCCGTTCCCGCCGCCCTGCCCGCCTCCCGCAGCCAGGAAGGGGTCTTCCTGTCCCAGGCGGAGGAGCGGGGGCTGGGCCTGCCCGCCCCACCCACCAAAGGTAGGAGGAGGGGCGGACCCTGCAGCGAGGTTCCAGGACAGGGGGCACCGCCCACCGCCTTCCCCAGACTGGGCACCTGGGAACCCTGTGAAAGGGGTTAGGGAGTCAGCCTGCTGGGGGCAGGGGGTGGGGGGCGGCGAGGGGAGCAACCGGTTGCAGGCGGCTGGGTGCTGGGCTGCGTGCGGGCAGGGCCTAGAGCCGGGGGAGGCGGACAGGTCGAGGCCTGGCCCCGAGGGCTGGAGGGGACGTGGGGGAAAGGTTGCCTGGGCCCTTGAGAATGTGCTGGAAATCTGGTGCAGCGGGTCTGGCCCAGCCCCTGCCTGCCCGGCGAGGCTGAGAGAGGGATGACGGATCCCTCCCAGGACGCTTCAGAGCCACCGGCCCCAGCTGGTCCTCGGTGGGGACCGGGAGGGGCGGCGGAGGCGGACAGACGGCCCGCGGGGCTGTGACGCGCCTGTGTCCTTGGCTTCGGCAGACGCTTCGCTCCCTGAGAAGGACACCCTGTACCCAGCAGAGCCCGCCCGGACCGCGCTTCCCGCCGGGGGCCCCTTCCGCGTCTGCACGCCCCCTGCCGTCCCCGCCGCGGCGCCGCTGTCGCCGGCCGGCCTGGGCAAGGCCGACTCCCTCACCATCCTGAGCCGCAACGCCACGCACCCGCTGCTGCACATCAGCACCCTGTACGAGGCCCGGGAGGAGGAGGACGGGCCCCCGCGGGCGTCCCCGGAGGTGGGGAACCTCATCACCATCCCCCCGCCCCAGCAGATCCTCATCGCCACCTTCGACGAGCCGAGGACAGTAGTGAGTACAGTGGAGTTCTGAGGGGACAGGGCTGCCCGCCCCCACAGGCCCCTCTGCATGGCTGGGGCGCGCCACCGGCCCCGGCCCCGGCCCCACGTGGACACGGCCTCGTTTCCACCCGGCGCTGCCCGCCCCGGCCTCCCGTCCGCATGCCTCAGGGCTCCGCACCCGTCCCTCCTGCCCCGCACGGCACTCCCAGGGTGCCGGCTGGGCCAGGGGCTGGCTGTGACCCCCGGAGCCGCCCCTCCCCCCTGCATCAGGCGCTCGGCTGTGAGATGAAGAGTTTATTTTTGTAGTCAGTTTGGTCTTGGGCCCGGGATGCCGGCCATGAGGGGATGGTCTGGTGGGGGGACAGCTGGGCTCCCAGGTGTGGAAGGAAGCTGGGGACAGTGGCACCGCAGGCGTGGGCACCCCGAAGGGGCCGTGCTCAGGGCTCGCCCTGTCAGGGACCTGGAGCCCTGGGTCAGAGGTCGACATGCACTTTCTCCTTGTACCCGACTACCTGTACTTCACCATGGTTACTGTAACTAGCGAGCATCTTTACTGTCAGGAGACTTAGGGTGCATTTAACACAAAGGGTGTGTGTGCGTGTGTGTGTATGAGAGTGAGTGTCGGGGAGGGCGCCTGTGTGCAAGTGGATGTGTGCGAGTGTGCAAGTGGGCACCAGCATGTAAGCAGGTGTGTGTGAGCAGGCCCAGGGGAGCGAGCACGTGTGAGACCGGCCGTGGGCGCCGGCGTGTGAGCGAGGAGAGGAGTCTAACGCAATAACCACGTCCCCCACTGGCCTCGGCCCCCCGGCCCGGGGCCCACTCGGTTCTCCGTGGGAGCCCAGGGCCGGCGCGGCAGGCCTGTCCCTATTACCTCAGCCACGGCGACAACGGGACAGTACTAACAAGGTAGCACCGAGCATATCAATAAATGCTATTCTGATACTGCCTGCGTCCCGCATGGTCCATGCTGCAGGGGGCTGTGCTCCAGCCCAAGTCTCCTGTGTCCCGGCACCTCCTCCCAACTGCATGCCCACCCCTGACCTGTCCCAGGCCGTGGGAGGCACCCCTCTGCCCTCCAGGACGCCCTGGGGTCTGCTGCTGCTGGCCCACAGCAGCGCTGAAGCATGTGGCCGTCACTCATGCTGGGCACGTCACGGCCTCTGCCGACGGATGCGTGCACCCTGGGCCACGGGCATCGGGCGAGTCCTCCGGGGCTTGTAGGCTCAGCAGAGACAAGACACGTGCCCCCAGGAAGCAGTCCCCTCTGTAAGATGTGTGGGGACGGGACTATCGGCTGCACTTGGCTGAACAGGCTTCCGGGCGGAGGCACCTTGATACGGCGTGGAGGTGCTGCTGACGTGCTGGGGGGATCCGGGTGCTGGGGGGATCCAGGACAGGGGTCTTCACCACCAAGCCCAGGACTCAGGTGGGCATAAAGCTGAGCTTCCGGGTGCACCATGGAGACACACGCCCTGCAGGCCATGGCAGGTGACCCTCGGGGTCTGAGTGGACACTCCGAGCAGGCAGTCACTGGGGCGCAGCGGGGCCAGAGACCCACCGGGGTGAGAGCAGACGGGTGCAGGCCTCGGAGGCAGGGAGGGCTTCGCCGAGGGCGCTGCCCACACAGGCCTGCCTGCCTGCCTCCCCGGGCAGCCCCTCGGCACCCGCCCCCAGCAGCCCTCGGTGGGCGGGCGGACGGACCCAGGAGTCGGACGGTGGATCCTGCAGGGGCTGTACCCACCGTGTGTTTGAAATGTGGGTTTTACCGTTCGGGTGGGCCAGGCCACAGAGCAGGGGACACCGGGCCATTGAAACAACAGTTGACTCACACAGTGCCCAAGAGGGGGCCACATGGGCGGCAGGTGTGGGTGGGTCAGGAGGCAGAGGGAGCCTTAGCTGGGGCTTCCTGGGGAGGAGTGGGCTGGGGGCAGCAGGCTGGGGACCGGCCGTGTGAACGATGTCGGGGCTCAGGCAGAGGGGCTGCCCCTGGTGGTCGGGTCCCTGGCCCGGGTGCCGAGGGCAGGTGCAGGGTGGCCCCAAGGAGAGACATGCCCCTTGAAGCAAATGCAGTGACCCTGGTGTGAGCTGGTCTTGTGGAGTCAATGTGCCGCAGGAGCAAACATTTCACTGCAAGGGTGTTGGGGGGTGCTGCCTCGCCCCCGCCTGTGCAGGGGGGTGTCTGTGGGCTCCAGGGTCCCTTGACACCCTCCTGCTCACTCCTCTTGGCCCCTGGCAGGGTGAGTGGAGGCTGCTGTCCCTCTCTCGGAAGAGGAGAGGCTTGGGGGAAGCCACGCAGCCTCTCCTGCAGCCAGGCCCGGCACGGGCGAGCCTCTCAGTTGGCACTTGGTCAGGTGCCCCAGAGCCCCCCAGGGCACGGCCCCAAGTGAAACACCACTCCTCTCCTGTGTGGAGGCAGCCAGCGTGGCCGGGAGGGCAGAAGTGATCTGTGCTAGTAACGACTAGAACCAGACAGAAGGCGGGGACTGGAGGCCTGTGACCCAGGAGAGCAGAGACTGCCCTGAGGGCAGCCAGGCCCCTTGGGGACTAGGAAGCTGGACTGGAGAGGTGGTGGCAGCCTGGCAGACAGCCCAGCCTGCTGGCCTGGAAGGATTATGTCCCCCGTCAGCCAGAGCACAGGGGACCACCCGCAGACTCGGACGTGGGAACCTGTGACCCCTCTATGGTACCTGGGGCTGTCTTCCTGGAACCAGAAGGGAAATCCAGCATCCAGCCCTGACTGCTGGTGGGCTGGACCATCCCTTCCCTCCCAGGGCGGGCAGGTGGTCCTCTAGCTCCAGGCTGAGGGGAGGACAACCTGATGGTACAGTCGTGCCAGGGACCCCAGAATGGCTTGTCCTAGGGTCCCTTTCCCTCCTTTTCTAAAGGGAGCCCCTTGCACTGGCCGGCAACCCTGCAGGACACAGCAGCTTTCTGCAGTGCCCAGGGTCCTGGCCCAAGGCTGGCACAAATCCGAATCAGAGGGCGCCTGGGCTGCGGGCAGTGTCCAGGTGGTGGGCACGCGCTTCAGGGGAGCTGGCTGGAGGGCGAGGCCGCAGGTGAGGTGCACGGGCGCGGCCCGGAGGAAGATATCAGCAGGCCCACCACCGTCAAGGCGCTGGGTCCCCGTGCCTGGGACGGCCCCTTGAGGCGGGGGATCGGGGCCGAGCAGGAGTCGGGCAAGTGGACGGGCCTCCGGTCGTCCCCCTCGCCCGCTCGCCCCCGCGCTCCGAGGCCCTGGACGCTACCCGCTCGGCCCAAAGAGGACAAGTGTCCAGCGTTATGGGGTAGCCACGCCAGCTCGGGCGCTGCGGAGAGAGGAGGTCCAGGGACCGTCCGCTGGCAGCGAACCGAGGGCTCCAGACCGCCAGGTCCAGCCGTCCTGAGGCCCCACCGAGAGTTGGGGTCCCGGGACCCCCGCCGCGGCGCCGGGGGAAGGCCGGGGCGCATTCGGGGCGCCCCTCCCCGCGCAGCCGGCCGCGCGTCCCGAGGGCTGGCCCCGCCCACGGGGCGCGCTGCGGAGCTCGAGCTCTCCGCTCCTCGCATCCTCCCCGGGGTCGTCCCGTTCGTTCTGCACCACTGGACGCAAAGCCACCGTGTGGACACCATGCGAACATCATCCCCATTTTACAGACTGGGGACTGTCATCAGAGAACTTAATGGCGCTTCGCAAGGCCTTCCGGCTCGGGCGGCGGGCCGGGGACTCGAAGTTGTGTCACCAGAGCCGCTGCCTGCGTCCTAGGACCGCAGGGTCCCGAGCGAAGCGGCGCTTTCTCTCGCACGGCCCTCTGGGAATTGTAGTCTTCGTACGTTCGCGCGCCGCCCTCTGGGAAATGTAGTCCGTAAGTGCGTCGCTCCGGCGAGCGGGCGGCGAGCGGAACTGCGCTTCCCGGCATGCCGCGCGCTCCGGGCCCGGCCGCCGGCCTGTCCGGCCGCCCCGCCCCGCGGCCCCGGCCCGCCCCGTCCGGTGGGGCGACTAGCCGCATGGAGACCGGCTGAGGAGCGCCTCCCGTCTCGGTACGTCGCGCGGGCCTGGGGCGGGGGTGGAGCGGGCGCGGCGGCGAGGGTCGCCAGGGCCCGGGAGGCGCAGCTCGGGAGGGGGCGGGGTCCTCGCGCGGCGGGGACAGCGTCTCGCGGGGACCCGGGCCGTCCCGGCGGCGGCTTCGAGCGCAGGGAGAGCAAAGCGGTGCTGCCATATGGCGGGGGAGCCCGAGGACCCGGTGGCCGTCGGGGCTCGCCTCGTCTCTGGGGAGCAGCCTGGTCGACATGTAACTTACGGGCCACAAAGTTCGCGTCTGCGTCTGCGTCTGCGTCCTGGTGCAAAAGGGCCCGAGAGAGGGAGTCGGGGCTGCCGGGGCAAACGCACGTCACAGCCTCGGGGATCTCGCGGGGGAGCCCTCGGCTGGCTTAGGGGGTCGGGACAAGCTCTTTCGGGACTGGGTTGGTGCGGGGGGACCCTCCCGGAGAAATAGGCCCCGGGCCCACTGCGCTCGTGGGGTTCCCAATGGTTTTTGCGGCAGCTGCCCCCCCCCCCTTGCAAACGTGATCGGCAGGGAGCCCTGACCCTGGGGTCCCCGGTCAGCCTTGCGGGACGGCCGCAGTGCTGCGCGTCTGAGGCTGCCGGGCAAAACTGCCAGGGGAGGGCCGGGCCGGCGTCCCCAGTGCCCTGCAGTGGTGGTCAGTGTGGGCACCAGCCCTGGACAGGTTCCTGGAGGGCCGGCCCAGGTGTGCTGGACAAGGAGCCGTTGGGGCCTCCAGCTCCGGCTGGAGCTGGCGTGTGTCTTTCGCAGCGACCGACCGCGAAGGTGGCCGCGCCCCCCTGAAGCCGGGCCCGCGGGGCCGGGTCTTCTCCAGGGGCCCAGGCTCCACAAGGGGGGGCAGAGGGCAGGGCCTCAGGGCACCCTGCTGTCTCCCAGCCAGTCGGTCCTTCCGCTGGTCTGTCCAGTCTGGGACCCTCGGCTTTCTGAGCCGGCCCGGAGAGTCGATCGGGAGACAAGTTTTTCTGGAAACTGCGTTCGGTGCTGGTCAGTCCCTGGGAAGCCAGGCCGGCGCCCGGGAGGCGGTTTCGGGGCGAGGGGAAGAGCACCGGCGTCTCGGTCGTCCTGGGGCCACAGCAGAGCCCCACAGCTCCGGAGGCTGGGGGGCCGAGACCCCGGTGTCGGCTGCCTTTGTGGCCAGGGAGGACCTTCCTGGCGGTGGACAGCTGGCCGTTTCCCACTGTGTCCTCAGTCGGCTGGCTCTCGGGGGCCTCCCCTCGTGGGCACCGATCCCCTGGGGGGCACCGATCCCCTGGGGGGCACCCCTCCTGACTTCATCTGAGCCGACACCTGCCAGGGACCCCACCTGCCGGAACCGTCACGTGGGGGCCAGGCTCCCACGTGTGCTGACAGGAATGTGCGGGATGGAATTCAGCCCCTCACAGAGGGGCTCAGGGGAGGGGACAGCTGCCTGGGCCGGACAGGTGGGAGCCTGTGGCCCGCCGGCCCTGCAGCGAGCGGCCTGATGTCCTGGGGCTCTGCCCCGTCCCCGGGTCACGTCGTCCCACCCAGGACAACTGAGTGTGTCCCTCTGCCGTGTCCCAGGGCTACGCGCCCCGGGGAGGGGGGGCCTGAGGGAAGCGGGGCCCCTCCTGCCGCTGGAGTCCGCGCCTGCAGCGGTGACCTCGCCGAGACGGGTCCTCCGGGCTGTCGGGAGTTCCCACGGAGTCGGAGCTTGTTTTCCCGGAAGCACGTGGGCGACCCCGCTGCTGTCCTCTGTGGGGGTTACCCCTTCCAGAACCAGGCTCGGGGCTGGCCGTCTGCCGACGAGGTTCGACCCAGCGGAGGGGTGCCCAGAGGGTCCCGAGTTCGTGGGCCGACATGGCGTCTCAGTGGGCCCTGCAGCCGGGGGCGGCCCCAGGATGTGTGGACAGGTGGGACAGCCGGGTGGCTGCTCCAAGCGCCCGGGCCCTGGAGGCCGGAGCTGAGCCTGAGCGAGCACACACGTCCCGCCCTGCCCAGGGCCACGCAGTGCCGGGCGGGGGCTGCCCGAGTCCTGGCTGACCCCGTGGCCGTCGCCTGCAGCCTGGTGCTGGCAGGTGGCAGAGCAGCCGGCCCGTGTGCCTGATGGACTGGCTGCCAGGGGCCTTGCTCAGGGAGCCCCTTCTGACAGCCGTGCCCAGCACCCGCCCACCTGGGCTGCGCCCCGTGGACAGGAGTGAAGACCAGGTGCGGCAGGATTGTCCTCCCGCCGCGTGCTGGGCCCCGCAGGCTGCCTGGAGTTCTGCCACGGGCCAGGCCTGGGCTCTGGACCCTGGATCTAGGAGGGGCACCTTGATGCCCCCTTGCGGGCGTCGGCCAGGGTGTGCTGGCCGCTGCAGCGCGCAGTGGTGAGAGGAACTGCGGGGGCCCTCAGCCCAAGGCTTCGAGGCAGGAAACGGGGAGGGACGCAGAGGCTCCTGGCCCGGCGGCGGGGGCGGGAGATGAGGGTTGGGCCCCTCCGCTCCCTCCAGGCTCCCTCCAGGCTCCCTCCAGGCGGCTGGGACAGGCTCGGGGCCCCGCCGTGTCATTCGGAGATACACAGGAGGGAGCAGGGAGGGGTGGAGGGGTACTGCTCCCCTGAGTCACGTCCTGTGTGGGCATCCCCAGGCCCCCCCCCCCGCCCCCGAGGGCAAGGGGCCAGGCAGAGTTAGAAGGTGATGTTCGGGCATGCTGGCGTCAGAGAGAGGTGCCGCTCAGGATCAGCCTCGGTGCTGACAGGGCCTCGGAGGCCTCCCTGCCTGCCCCTGCCCCTGCCCCTGGGGAGCGGCTGCAGGGTGCGTAAGGGGACCCAGGTCCTGGTGCTGCAGCTGGGTGGCCCGGCCACCACCGTGCTTAAAGCCTGCCCGGCCCCCACGGGCTTCCGAGGGCGGGTCTGGCCGAGGGTGGGTGAGGGCGCAGCCCCGGGGCCCCCGAGGGTGTGGGAGAGCAGACCGAGGCAGCGGGTGGCCTCCTGCCTGGTGGTGCCGGCAGTGCCTTTCTGAACCTGCTTTCGTCCTCGGCCGCCTTGTGGCTGCTCGGAGTCAGGCCTGCCGCCCCCCCAGCGCAGCAGGGTGAGGGTGGTCCCGCCCCACCGCACCTCGGCGGCTGGGGAGCCTGGGCGGGGACACCCCGCCCCGCTGCGCACAGGCCCCGCTTCCTGTCTCTGTTCCGGCGGCGCCCGCGAGGGGAGGGCTCTGCCCTGGCGAGCCGGGTGGAGGCACTGGGAGGGGCGGGCCCAGGTGAGCCACGGCCCTGGGCCAGGGGCCCCGGGCGTTCCCGCCAGAGGGACCCCCAGCGGGAGGCCGAGCCAGACTCTGCTCCGCCGGCTCCCCTTGCTGTTCCACCCGCTGCAGCTGCAGGCGGCAGAACGGAAGCTCCCAGGGGCCCTGAGCTGCCAGGTCGCGGCGGGCCGGGCACAGAGCCTGGGGTGTCGCGCTGGTTCTGTCCCTGGTTTTTCCTCTGAATCGTGAAAGCTCTGGAAAGCACAGCGCTGGCGAGCCTGCAGTCAGCCCTGGGCACTCCTGCAGCCGGGGGCTCCCCGCACTGTCCCCCAGGGGCGGCCGCAGAAGCACGTCCCAGAGGTCAGAAGGCAGGTCCGACGGGCTCCGGACCAGACCACGGCATCGCACCACTGAAGTGGAAGGGAGCAGCCCCGCCTGCGGCGGTCCAGGCCCTGCGGGTTCTGCGGGGGGCTCTCACTTCAGTTCAGCGTTCCCCACGAGCCCTTTCCACTTCTGCGTGCCGGCCGGCGGGGCCCTGGCTCCTTCAGGCCTGGGCCAGGGAGGGGCAGGGCGGCGATGGGACAGCCACGCGGCCAGAAGCATGTGCCGCTCCCGCGGCCCTCACACCAGGGTCCCCGGGGAAGGGCCAGCGTCCAGGGAGCCGCACCCCGACACACGCGCCTGGCCCAGGGGCCCCGACAGCCCGCCGTCCGCGGCCGCCCTGTGGTCTGGGCCTGTTTCCCCCGTCCCACCAGGCCCGCGTCTCGGGGGGACCTCGCAAGGGGCTGGCGCACTGCCAGGGTCTGGTCGGGGTTTCGAGGGCTCTTCACGTTCGCCCACCCCCCGGCCAGACGGCGAGCCTGGGCTCCGCGCGTCCCGGCCCCCGCACGCCCCCCGAGTCTGTCCCGGCACCGTGTGCGTGTGGTGACGGCGTGGCGTCCGGTCACTCGCACTCAGTGTGGACGGCAGCTCCGTCCCCAGGCCCCGGGACGGCCCCCGGAGGGGGGTGGCCAGCCCTGGTGGGACCAGCAGACGCATGTCTCCTGCTGGTGTCTCTCCTGGCGGGGAGCTCTGGGGACTGGGTTTCAGTCCAAAGTCGGGAAGGGGCCCCGTCCGCCCGGCTGTCGTCTCCCGCTCCGGCTGGACGGGCAGGGGGGTGGCGAGCCGGGGCTGCAGGGCTGGCCCCGGGGACTCTGGTGGCTGGGGCTCCTTGGAGATGGGCCTGTGGTCGCCGGGGCTCCGGGCGAGGACACACCTGTGTCTCCTCAGGCTTCACTGGTCGCGCCGGAGCCTCCAGGCAGCCATGGAGGAGGGGGAGGAGCAGCCGCCACAGGAGGTGAGAGGCCTGGAGGGCGTGGTGGGGGGCAGTGGGGGGGGGGCCGGGGCCTGCTCCCTGACCAGCCTCAGGCTCCGGCCAGGCCAGCTTCTCGGTGGGGGCCCAGAACGTGCCCCCCAGTGAGGCCCTGGGTTGTTCTGGGCGCCCCCGTGTGTGGAAGAGCCTCCTGGGGCCTTGCTGGGCAGGCGGGTGGCCCCAAGAGTGACTGTCATGCAGAGACTCCCGTCCCAGGGGGTGGGTGGCCGGGGCCCAGGAGTGCACGGGCGGCACAGGGGGAGGGCAGACATGGAGCTCGGGCGGCCCCGGGGAGGCGGCGGGCACCCCACCCGAACCCACCCCTGCCCCCTGCAGGCCAGCGCGGAGCCCGCTGCGACCCCAGGAGCTTCGGAGGTGGTGCCCAGGGTGCTTCCCGGAGAATCCCAGAACCTGTGTTTGTGTCCCCAAGAACACTCAGTGCTGGGCAGCAGGGGTGGACAGCTCCCAAGTTGGTGGTGACGGGCCCGGCCACCCTGGGGCGTTGGGGGGGGCCCTGAGCCCAGTGGGTGAGCAGAGCTGAGGCCGGCTCCCCGGCGGGCAGCCGTCCTGGGCGCGCCCCCGGGGGGTTCTGCTCTGAGCAGGGCCGCCAGCCCCGAGGGACCCCCGCGGATGCCCGCCCCCCCCCCCCAGTCCTGTGTGCGTCCGGGCTGCCCGGCGCGGCGCCGCCCAAGCTGGGCCTCGTGTCCTTGCAGCTGACGTGGACGCTTTCAACCTGCTCCTGGAGATGAAGCTGAAGCGGCGGCGAGAACGGCCCCGCCTGCCCCGCACGGTGACCGAGCTGGTGGCCGAGGACGGCAGCCGCGTGTACGTGGTGGGCACGGCCCACTTCAGCGACGACAGCAAGAAGGACGTTGTCAAGGTGACAGTGGCCTGAGCCCCACAGGACCGGCTCCCCCGGGTGCCCCCCCTCCCCCCCGGGGCAGCCGGGCCTGTTCCGGAAGGAACTCGCTCCTGGCAGTGGCTTGAAGAGCTGAGTTGTCACCACGGTCGGGGGGCCTCACTGGGGCCGCGGGGGGCCGCGCCCCGGGGCCGGGGGCGCGGGGCGGGGCCCAGGGTGACGGCTGTCCTTGCAGACCATCCGGGCGGTGCAGCCCGACGTGGTGGTGGTGGAGCTCTGCCAGTACCGCGTGTCCATGCTGAAGATGGACGAGCGCGCGCTGCTGCGGGAGGCCCGGGAGATCAGCCTGGAGAAGCTGCAGCAGGCTGTGCGGCAGGTGCGAGCCCCGGGCACCGCCCGGTCGTCCGCCGCGCTGCCGACCCCAGGGGGTGGACGGGTCACGTCCCCCGCTCTGCCCGCCCTGGGGCTCCGTCTGCTGCGCATCCTTCCCTGCCGCCTGTGGGGGGGGCGGGGGGAGCTCTCGTTCACCAGGTGTCAGGCAGAGGAGGACGTGGGGGCCCCGGGGCCCTGGGGATGGCAGTGGTCTCGGTGCCGTCTGGCCCACCCGCCAGCCCGAAGCAGTGGCCACAGTGCGTCCCCCGCACGTGGGCCCCCAGCGCACGGTGCGCGCCCACTGCGCTGACGGTGGGTGGAGGGGCCGGCTCTGGGCTGGAGCGGACAGGAGCAGACAGAGACGTCCAGGGCAGAGGCCGGGCAGCCATCCCCGTGGCGGCCTTCTGGTGGGCCTGCCCTGGGAAGGCTCTCCAAGTGGCCCAGAGGGGCCTCGGGGTGTCTGTGGGGGGTGTGGGCCCCTTGCCCGGATCCCGGCTCGCAGCTGGCTGACCCGGGCCGTCTGTCCGCAGAACGGGCTCATGTCCGGGCTGATGCAGATGCTGCTGCTGAAGGTGTCGGCCCACATCACCGAGCAGCTGGGCATGGCCCCCGGCGGCGAGTTCAGGGAGGCCTTCAAGGAGGTGAGCCTGGGCTCGCCCGCGGTGTGGGGGCATGGGGCTTGGGGGCCGCCCCGGGGCCTGTGGCCTCCCCGCCAACCCCGACCTCCGTGGCAGGCCAGCAAGGTGCCCTTCTGCAAGTTCCACCTGGGGGACCGGCCCATCCCCGTCACTTTCAAGAGGGCCATCGCGGCGCTCTCCCTCTGGCAGAAGGTCAAGCTGGCCTGGGGCCTGTGCTTCCTGTCCGACCCTATCAGGTAGGGCCCCCTCAGCCTCCGGCCCGCGGGCCAACGGGTGGCTGCAGGGCTCCGGCCCGGGCGTGGCCAGACTGCGCCGGGAGGCCTGGCCCCATCCCCTTGGCTGAGCCTCCAGCGGGGCCTCCCAGCCCCTCCCCGCACGGCAGCCCGAACCACGGGGTCTCCGCCCCAGGGCGGTGGGGGGGAGCCCCAGCCCCGCTGGCGCCCGTCCCCACGGGGCTGCAGCCGCCCTCCCGCCCCCAGCAAGGACGACGTGGAGCGCTGCAAGCAGAAGGACCTGCTGGAGCAGATGATGGCGGAGATGATCGGCGAGTTCCCCGACCTGCACCGCACCATCGTCTCCGAGCGCGACGTCTACCTGACCTACATGCTGCGGCAGGCCGCCCGGCGCCTCGAGCTGCCGCGCTCCTCCGACGGTGGGGGCGGCGGCCCGTGGGCGGGCCGGGGGGGCCTCGGGGGCCCGGCGCTGACGAGCTGGTGCTGACGGGTTGCTCCCCCCGCAGCTGAGCCCAGGAAGTGCGTCCCCTCTGTGGTGGTGGGCGTCGTGGGCATGGGCCACGTCCCCGGCATCGAGAAGAACTGGACCACCGACCTCAACATCCACGAGATCATGACGTGAGTGCCGCCCGCCCCGAGCGCTGAGCTAGGCTGGGACGTGGGGACGGTGTGGGGGACGTGGCAGGGCCTGGGCCGGGGCTGGGGCCCACGTTTCCTGAACCAGACCCCGCCTGCCCTCCCTCCCCCAGCGTCCCCCCGCCGTCCATCTCCGGCAGAGTGTCCCGGCTGGCCGTGAAAGTTGCCTTCCTGGGCCTGCTGGGCTACGGCCTGTACTGGATGGGGCGCCGCACCGCCAGCCTGGTCCTGTCCCTGCCTGCCGCCCAGTACTGCCTGCAGAGGGTGTCCTCAGCCCAGCCCAGCAAATAGGAAGGACCAGGGGCGCCACCGCGGCCGAGGGGCCGCACCAGCTGAAGGGTGCAGGCCGGCCCCCCGAGGAGCTCCTGGATGCCACCCCCATGGGGTCCAGCCCAGCCTCACCTGCCCTCCCGACCCACCCAAATAAAGAATTATTTAACTGCTCTGAGCTCAGGCTTCCCAGAGCCCTCCCCCCGGGGCCGTTCATGGGGTTTGTGGGCGTCAGGGCGAGGGTCAGGGGAGGGGCTGAGGTGCACGCTGCCCCCTGGGCTGCCTGGCGGCGGGCCGAGGTGGGTCACTGCCGGCCAGCCCCTCCCTCACTGTGCCTTCGCGCCGGGCGCCCACGGCGGGAGCGGGCCTCTGGGTTCTGCCGCAGCGTTGGGAAGGCGTGGCCGACCTCGGTGGCCCTGATGCGCACCAGCACCGCTCTGCCTGCAGAGATTGTGTGTTTCGGGCTTTTTTAAAATTCTGAAATTTTTCTACTCAGGAAATTTTAACTTAAAAAACTGAAGCAAACGTCAGGAAACACTAGCCTTATGTCTGGCGTGGACAGAGAAGGTCTCGGCCCTGAGGGGGCAAGTGTGGAGTGGGGTCGGCCTTGGCCGTGGGCCCAGACACGGCCCCTCCAGCTGCCCCTCCGTCTGCCCCCTGCCCAGGGACACCAGGGGCGGGGGCCTGCCTCCTGCACACCTGCTGGGGGGCCCTCCTGCACGCCCACCCCAGGGTGGCAGAGACAGGCTCAAGGTCGGCCGGCCCCGCATGGCGCTGCTGGCACCTCCGCCAGCACTGGTGCCTGTGGTCACTGGGTCCTGGCTGTCTCTCTGTGCCACAGTCCGTGCAGCCAGCTGGGCCACGGTCGCTTGTGCTGACCCAGTGTCCGTCCAGATCTGGCGACGCCCTGGCCACAAGCTGGGCGTGGGCGCCTTATGCCGGACTGCGTCCTCCCTGTCACTCACGCTGGTGTACATGTTCCCTGGAAATGAATAAAAGCTAGTTTTTGAAGCTCGTTATGTGAAGTGTGTGCAAGTGGGATGGGGGTGTCCTCGGTGGGCTGGGGGGCAGGATGCCAGGGCACTGCCTTGAGTTCGGAGAGGCGTCACGCCAGCACCCGAGAGGGCGCAGGGACCCTGGCACCAGCACAGATCGCAGGCCAGTGAGGGTGCGGCCAAGGGGAGGTGCTCTGGGAGGACACTCCTGCCCTGGTCCGTGCCCACCCTGGCAGCTGGGGGCGGGGGGCGGGGGGGCGGGGCAGGGTCCAGTGCCTTGAGCAGAAACAGAAAGCTCATCAGGGCCCGGCCACTCCCACCTGCCGAGAAAGACCACAGTGAGCACAGGGTGGCTCGGGCGTCTGCAGGCAGGTATGGAGGGAGCTTGGCTGGTGGGGTGGGCCCTTCCCCTGGGACGCCTGCCCTGTCCTGGGCCTCGCTGCTCTCTGCTGCGGCCCTGGTGCAGCACCAAAGTCCAGGAAGAGGGGCCAGCAGGCCAGGGAGTCTCACTAACCCAGGGTGGGCTGGGGGTCTCAAGCCTCCCAAGATGGGGTCTTCTCCCATAAGTCCAGGTGGTGTGGCTGGAACACAGAGGTCCAGTGCGTGTTGGGCAGCCTCTGAGCTCTGACCCCTCACCTGCAGGTCTGCACCCTGCAGGCCTCTTAGTTCCCATGAGACCTGCCTCGGGGAAGGACAGACATGGACAAGGTCCTGCTCTAGGCAGGTGTTGGGAGGGGCTGGCTGGGCTCGGGGCAGCACCCAAACACTGCCCAGCCAGGAGGAAGGGAGGGAAGTCCAGGCTGACCCTCCAGGCACCACAGGTGAGGTCCCTGCTGGACATGCTGGGGAGACGTGGTGTCCGGGGCTGAGGGGGTGGTGGCTCCCTGTCTGCCGGGAACCGGGTTGTGTGGGCTGCTGGGTTACCATGACAGCCTGTGGGGGCTCTGGTCCAGTCACCCTGAGAGCACTGCCCCTTCCCAGGCCCTGACCCCTCCTGGCCCTCATCCGCCACTGGAAGGAACCACTCTCAGATCTGGACCAACCGCGGGGCTCCCAGTGGGGCTCCGCCCTGAGGCTCTTCCGGGCCAGAACGGCCCTCACCGCCCCTCGGCCAGATCTGGGGAAACGCTGCCCCTCCGGTCCCGGTGCACGGCGCTGCAGACTACAACCAGGGCCCGACCCTCGGCATCACCCTCCTCTGGCGCTCAGCCTGGACTGCCAGGCGTCGCCCGGGTGGCACTTCCAGGGACCTGCCAGCTGTTACGCCGGACAGGCATTCTGGACGGCCGGGTCCCCTCTGCCCAGCCCAGCCCCCGGCCGCAGCCCTGCGGACCTGGGCGCGCGCGCGCGCGAGGTCCGGGAGGCAGGACCCGAGGCAAACCCTTCCGGCACGGCCGCGGTGCCAAATCGCAGAAGCGGGCTAAGGGACGACATAACCAATCAGAATCCAGCTTTGGTGGGCGCGTCCCGCGCAGGCGCAGCGACGGACACCGCCCCTCCGGCTATTGGGCCGGGAGGCACGTGGGGTGGGGCTTCCTGTCGGGGCCGGGAGGTTTCCGCCGAAGCGGCGCCGCTTATGGCCTCGCTCAAAGCCGCGATCGGGGAGTCTCTCGCGGCTGCCCGCACCCTGTCGCCGCTTCTCGGCTGCCGCCCGCCACCCGCGCTCTGCTCCACCTCGGCCGCCGCCCACGGCGCCGCCATGGAGCCGGCGCCCCGTTGGCTGGCGGGGCTGCGCTTCGACAACCGTGCACTGCGCGCACTGCCGGTGGAGACGCCTCCACCGGACCCTGAGGGCGCAGCGACCGTGCCGCGGCTGGTGCCCGGGGCCTGCTTCAGCCGCGTGCGGCCCGCGCCCCTGCGGCAGCCGCGCCTCGTGGCGCTGTCGGAGCCCGCGCTGGCGCTGCTGGGCCTGGGCGCGCCGCCCGCCGACGCCGCCGCCCGCGAGGCGCGCGAGGCCGAGGCCGCGCTGTTCTTCAGCGGCAACGCCCTGCTGCCGGGCGCCGAGCCGGCCGCGCACTGCTACTGCGGCCACCAGTTCGGCCAGTTCGCCGGGCAGCTCGGGGACGGCGCCGCCATGTATCTGGGCGAGGTGTGCACGGAGGCCGGCGAGCGCTGGGAGCTGCAGCTCAAGGGCGCCGGCCCCACGCCCTTCTCCAGGTGGGCGCCTCTCCAGGTGTACGTGGGGGACGGACACGTGCTCAGAGTTATCCCCCCCCCCCCGCGTTGGGGTGAGATGTCACTCCGGAAAGTTCGAGCTAGGGACGGAGGACTTGTGGGTGGTGGCGTCCTGGCGAAGGGAGCAGCTGGAGGGGAGGTTCAGGCCTGAAGGCAGGCGCTGGGCCGGGCTCCTGCCCCGGCTGGCCTCAGCCCCGCGGAGCGGCTGATCCCCGCAGCACGGGCAGCGCCCACGCTGTTCTCGCAGGCCGTCCGAGGACTTGAGCGCGGAGCGTACTGCCCACGGGGAGCGCGGGGGAGCCGGGGTGACCTGACAGGCAAACTCCGGACAGGCCTCGCTGGCCCTGCTCCGCAGGCTGGGGCCCCAGCGCCCCCAGCCTCTTGCTGCGCCCAGGCCCAGCCCCTTCCCAGCAGAGGATACCGGCAGCAGGTGCACCCCAGGCGCCTCCACTCCACCTTCGTTTCCCACCCGGTGAGATGGAAGTTGTGCTCCTTGTCTTCCCACAGAATTCCGTTCTATTCTTGGAGGACTGTCTAAGGTGTTGCAGACGCCTTACCGCGTGGGAGTGTCCTGGGCCAGGCCTGGCTCTGGAGCGCAAAGATCCAACTCGTTTGTTTGGGTGTTTGTTTGCTAGAGGGGGCTCCCGGAGGTCAGAGCGTCCAGCCCCCCGATCTTACAAGGAGGGTGGAGAACGTGACTCTTGGAGGCCAGCCGTTCCCGGGCTGCGACCACTTTCCTTTTTCAAGTTAAAAAAGCAATAGTGTTTCCAGTCCAGCAAATCTCCAGTTCGTTTGGACAAGTAGAAAGTGGAACAAAATGACAAGCCGACCCTCCTAGCTCTGTCAGAGAATGCGCAGGGCACAGCTCTACCCCCAGGTCGCAGAGAGTGATGGGCAGAAACGGAGAATCACAACTTTCCAGAGTAGGGTGGCCCTCCCAGGACCCTTGCTCTGTAAGTGATGGAGGCTCGGTGTGGACAGCTCACTTAAAAACTCCAGGGGGGCCGGTCGTGAGGGGGCGCCACAGCTCTGTGAGTTTTCCCTCCTGGAGTTCTGTTCGGGAATAACCCCTGCGTTTCGGGAAGGGGCGGGGAACTGCTGGGAAGTCACGGCACTGTGTCTGACCGTGCTTGTGTGTGTACACTTACGTGTGCCTGTGCCAGAGTGAAACTGGCGACATAAGGGATGGGAGGGGGCAGCTGGGACTATTTTCTTGTTACAAGGCAGTCACACTACCCGGAAGTGGTATAGTGTTATTTCAAAGCGGACTCGGATTAGTGGTGTGTATTACAAAATCTAGGGCAACCACCTTAAGTAAGTAGAAACGTGTATAACTATATGTGTATGACTGATACGGTAGGAGAGAACTGATGAAAAGAGAGAAGAACGGAATCACAAAATGCTCAGTTAAGACCAGAAAAGGAGTGGAAGACAAAAACAAAACAAAAGGCGACAAACAGGAAATAACCACAGATGTGGTGGAATTTAATGCACGTATGTCGATGTCACTGTGAATGTCAGTGGTCTAAATGCCACAATTAACACACGAGAGGTTGTCAGAGTAGATAAAAAATTAGGACCCAATACATGTTGTCTGTAAGAAACCCGCTTTAAATATGAAGACATTGAGGGTTAAAAGTAACTCCACCACGCTAATCAGAAGAAAAGCTGGGGCAGCTGAATGAACTCCAGACAGAAGACGCCAGAGCTTGGGGGGCGGGGGGGGGCAGTGCTCCGGGGAGACGTCATGGTCTCTGATGTGTGCGCCCGCCCCTGACAGCGGAGCGCTGGCCTACCTGGGCCAGACACAGTGGAGCTGCGAGGAGAAACACATGCATCCAATATCATGTCGGGACTGCAAAACCCGTCTGTCGGAAAGGGTCAGGTTCAGCAGCCAGAAGACCAGTGAAGGTAACTGAATGCAGCAGCACCGCCAGCCAGCCACGTGGCCGACGTCTCCGGACCCCTCCCCCCAGCAGCAGCAGCAGCAGCGCAGGCCTTCTCAAGCCCACTGAACACGCCGCCCAGGCCGAGCGTCCTGGGCCCCGAGCTCCCCTGGACAGATGGGGACGGGCAGGAGGCAAACCGAGTCTGCGCTCAGACACAGTGGGAGCAAACTAGGAATCCGTGAGAGAAGGGGAAGAAGCCGGGAGATCCCAAAGTACTTTGAGATTAGGACACACATACCTGGTCAAAGAGGAAATCTCAAGAGAGATTCTTAAATATTTTGAACGAAATGGAAACAACTTAAAATTTGTGGGAAATACATAGCATTGAATGCAAATGTTGGTAAGGAAGAAAGATCTAAAACTGATTATCTAGTCTTTCACCTTAGGGAATTAGAAAAAGCAAATCAAACCCAAAGTAAGCAGAAGAAAAAAAATAAAAATTAGAGCAGAAATTGAAATAGGAAATAGAGAAAATCAACTAGACCAGAAGCTGATTTTTTAAAAAGGTTTTATTTATATTTTAGAAGTGACGGGAGAGAGACAGAGAAATATCATTGTGTTGGCTCACAACCCAGGCAGGTGCCCTGACTGGGGATCGAACCAGCACCTTTCCAGTTCACAGGCCGGCGCTCAGTCCAGTGAACCACACCAGCCGGGGTCAAAAGCCGACTCTTTGAGCGGAGGAGTGGAATCGGTCCTCCTCCAGCCAGGCTCACCGAGAAAAGCGGAGGACACCAACCACCAGTGACTGCAGTGGGAGGAGGGTGTCCCTGTGGACCCCAGGACGCCGAGAGGACGGGGCAGGAGTGTTCCGGGCCCCACTGTGCCCACCCACGCAGGGGTGACGACAGGATGCAGCGGACCACGTCCCTGAGAGGCGCGACTTGCCAGGACTCTCGCGGGACAAGGGAGACCACGGCACAGGCCTACGGCTGTCTGAGCCGACGGTTAACAAACAGCCTTCCGGAGCAGAGAGCGCCCGGTCCAGGGGGGGCCCCGGTGAGCCCCCCAGGCACTCCAGAAGGGGCGGTGCCGGTTCTGCTCAATCCCTCCCCGAGTCTGGGGGCAGAGGGGAGGCTTCTGGCTCGTCCTGGGAGGCTAGTGTTACCCAGCGACACCAAACCCGGACCGAGAAACACGGAACACGGCAGAGCAGCATCACACATGAACACGGACGCAGAATCTTCAACGGAGTTTCAGTAAAGACCAGGTCCCGCCCTGTGTGAGGGGAGCTGTGCCCCACGGCCACGCGGGGTTTGCCTCAGGGACGCCAGCCGCTTCGGCGGTCAGATGCCGGTCACGTGACCCGCCCCGTCACCGGGCCGTAGGAAGAAAACACACACAATCATCGCAACAGAGGCAGAGAAAGCGTTTGACAAGATTCAACACTAGGGCTGGAGGGAAATGCCCTCAACTTGATAAAGAACTTCTACGAAAACCTGCAGCTTACAACCACTCAGGCTGTAACTCCTCGGCATTACCCTGGAAGGCCCAGTTAAAGCAATAAGATAAAAAAGGAACTCAACCCTGGCTGGTGCGGCTCAGTGGGTTGAGTGCCCACCTGCAAATCGAAGGGTCACCAGTTCGATTCCCCGTCAGGGCACAGGCCTGGGTTGCGGGCCAGGTCCCCAGTAGGGGGCGTGAGAAGGGCAACTCACAATGATGCTTCTCTCTTCATCCCTTCCCCTCTCTAAAAATAAATAATTTCTAAAAGGAAGTAGTGTGTGTGTGTGTGTGTTTTAAAGAAAAGACGAGGAGGACACTAGCTCTGACGACTGAGTGAGAGCAGCCGTCTGCAGGGCCCCGCACACGGTGCGACTCCGCTCTGGCCTCTGGGGAGGGCAGACCCTGTGGAGACTGGAAGACCGGGGGCCGCAGGGCAGGGCGAGTGGTCGGCTCCCGGGACGTCCGGGCAGCGAGGCTCCGTGTGACGGTCGCTGGTGGGGGCAGCGCGTCCTCCCTCACGTCTGCCCAGCCCCGCAGAGTGCAGGGCGGCCGTGGCGCCTCTGGGCTGCGGGCTCGCCCGTCCCGGGGGGCCACCTGGTAGGCACGTCGGCGGCGGGGAGGCTGCGAGTGTGGGGGCGCAGGGCGGGTGTGGGAGCTCTCTGTGCCTCCACCCGGTTTTCCCGAGACCCTGACGCTGCTCTGGGAAGCGGCCTGTCAGAAGTAACAGAGGCTTCGCGTAAAACACCTTGAGGTCGCAGCGGGCTGTCCCAGGTGGCCTGAGGTCGCCCCGCCCCCACTGCAGGGCGTGCTGCCGTGCGTGCGTCCCTGGGTGGCGGTGGCGAGCGTTTCTGTGAAAGGGACGCGTGAAGACAGCCGCAGGTGCACAGGCGCGTGTGTGGGGGCGAGGGGGCCAGCGGCTGGGCCCCGTGTCCTCGGCCTCCAGCCTCGGGCTGGGGCTGGCCCTGCGGCCGCAGACCCGGGCCGGCGCTGGGGCCGGCCCGCACCTGCTGTCCCATAGGAAGGGCTCTGGGTGGTGACGTGGCCGCTGCCCGGGACGCTGGCGTGCTTTCTCTCCCGGCCCCCACGCCTCCGTGCGGAGCAGCACCCGCCAAGCCGTGCGGTGACCCCCATGTGTGCTTCCAGACAGGCCGACGGCCGCAAGGTGCTGCGGTCCAGCATCCGGGAGTTCCTGTGCAGCGAGGCCATGTTCCACCTGGGGGTGCCCAGCACGCGGGCGGGCGCCTGCGTCACGTCCGAGTCCACGGTCGTGCGCGACGTGTTCTACGACGGCAACCCCAAGCCGGAGCCGTGCGCGGTCGTGCTGCGGATAGCCCCCACCTTCCTCAGGTACTGGGGCTCCCGCGGGCCTGTGCCCACGTGTGCGATCCCCCCACCCCCTCCGTCGCAGGAGCCGTGCTTAGGCAGCTCAGGCACACGCTCGGGGCCGGCCCTGGCCAGTCCCTCGAACAGTGGAGCCAGGACGGCCCGGGCAGGAGACGCTCTGACCCACCGGTGGGACGTCCCAGCAGCAGGCACCTGGCGGTCCCTGGGTCAGAGGCCTTGTCCTGCGTGGGGACAGCCGAGCCCAGCCCGCCCACCGCCCTGGCGCGGGGCCCTGTTGCCGCTGGGAGAGCTGGCGGTGGCGGCTGCAGCGCCCAGAAGCTCCAGCGAGGGGTGCGGGGCCTCGGGCCGTCAGAGGCCGGGCTGTCCAGGCCGGGCTGTGGGGAGGCGGTGGACAGCGCTGTGGACGTGGGGTCCGTGACAGGAGCCACGTGAAGCCCACCAGGGAAGTGGCCTCGCGTGGCCATCCCGAGAAAGGGGCTGTTCCCGCCGGGTGCGCCTGCGGCCTGCCCACCTGCCCACGGACCCGACTCCTTTCTGGCCCCGCCCCTGACGTGATGCCGCCGGGTCGCGTGGCATCCAACCCAGAGCTGTCAGAGGGCCGCAGGGCCTCACTGACCCTGGACATGCATGTCGTAGCAGCCAAGGTGGCCCAGGCCGGTCTCTAGTGTTCCCTCGGGTCACCTGGGGATGGCAGGAGCCAGGGCAGGGGCCGGGCCCAGGAGAGGTCCCCCCACAGTGGCACCACTGGCATCTCGGCCCATCGCCCTGCGCTGGGGGGCCGGCCTGGGCCTGGTCGGGGGCCGGGCAGCATCCCTGGCCTCCACCCCCCGGCTGCTGGTGGTGGCCCATCAGGACAACCAAACACGTCTCCAGACAGCCCTTCCTGCCCCCGGGGACAAAGTGCCTGTGGTGGAGAACTGGGTGGTGTCCTGCTGGTCACTGCGCTGCCGGACGCAGAGGGACAGACCCGCCCTAGGTGTGGGCGGACGAGCCCAGAGCCCTTCCTGTCGGGTGGGGTCGGGGGCAGGGACAGCTGGGGCCTTTGGGGGTGCGTGGGACCTGGCGGAGCCCGAGGTGGGAGACAGTGGGCACCCGGAGCTGGTTCTGCGTGGATCAGGGCGTCCGCTCCTCCCACTGCTGGCCACGCATCCAGCAGCCGGACTTCTCCCCCTTCCTTGTCTCCCGGGGGACGGGGGGGTGGCGCACACGGCTAACCTGTTGAAAACCTGGCCCCCCCCCCCCAGGTTCGGGTCCTTTGAGATCTTCAAGCCCGAGGACGAGGACACGGGGCGCGCAGGCCCCAGCGTGGGGAGGAACGACATCCGAGTGCAGATGCTGGACTACGCCATCGGCACGTTCTACCCTGAGATCCAGGCCGCTCACGCCGGCGACCCCGTGCAGAGGAACGCCGCCTTCTTCCGCGAGGTGGGCGCCGGAGGCCGGCCCGCCCTGCCCTGCTTGTCCCCGAGCCCCTGCTGCTGCACTCCTCCCCTTCTGTCTTGCTGGGACGGTGCCAGGGTGCCAGGCCGGGGCGCCATGTGGTCCGGCGGCTGCGCCGTCTCCGTCGGTGAAGCTCGGGGCGGGGGTTGCTGCCCGTGCCTGGACTGTCCCTGCCTCACGCGAGGTGAGGCACCTGCAGGCCGGTGTCTGGGCAGTGGGCAGTGGGCTGCGGCCTGTGGGGCCCCTGCTCTCCCTGTGGCCGGCACGTCCTCGGGGCTGTGTGGGGCGCCGGGCGGTGGGCCCGGGGGGCAGAGCACAACCAGGGCCGCGGTGGGCAGGTCTCGCCCGCCAGCGAGGTGACGTTCTTGCTTCCACGTGTCGTCCTGCTGGGCGTGAACCGTGGGAACGCTGGGTTCCGGGGCGTCCCGGGTGGAAGCCGGGTCAGCGAGCACGTGCAGCAGGTGGGTGGCGTGGGCGGTGCCCGGAGCCCTCGCACGCCGCTCGTCCAGAGTGTGCTCCCGGGTGCCCTCAGGCGTGCCCCCGCCCGGCCCAGCGCTGGTCGCCGTGGCGGGGTCTGGGACGGGACCCCTCGAAGGGGCACAGCTCTCCAGGGAGGGAAACGGCGGGCGGGGGGCGGGGGGGGAGCTGCAGGCAGCAACCAGGCCCGTCCCGCCCCAGGTGACGCGGCGCACGGCCCGGCTGGTGGCCGAGTGGCAGTGTGTCGGCTTCTGCCACGGCGTGCTCAACACGGACAACATGAGCATCGTGGGGCTCACCATCGACTACGGGCCCTTCGGCTTCCTGGACAGGTGGGCGCGCACCCCCACGGCGCCCACGGCCTGGGAGCGGGGAGGGCCTGCAGGCTCACGTGGCTGCCCCCGGGAGCTCCTGGTTGGTGTTCCCGGTGTGGAGTCCCCCGAAGGGCCTCACGCCGAGAAAAGCACTTTAACGGGTGCCCCCCCTCCCCCCCGGTGGGCGAGGAATGGACGAGAGGCAAGGACAGAGGCCGGGGGTGCGCAGAAAAGGGCGGCACCGGCAAGGGGCGGGGCCAAGGCGCGTGCTTCCTGCTCCCACGGTGCAAGCGGCAGGGCTGGTGGCCGGCAGTGGGCGGGGGAGTGGGGGAGCCACAGGGCCCTCGAGCTGAGCCTGCAGGGCCCGGGCCCCGGGGCAGCACGCGGGAGCCGTGGCCGCACGAGCCCTCTGGGCACCCACCCACAGCCCCCTCGACAGGCCCCCGTGGGCGGCGCCTTCCCCCCGTGTGGCAGGTACGACCCCGACCACGTGTGCAACGCCTCGGACAGCGCCGGGCGCTACGCCTACAGCGAGCAGCCCGAGGTGTGCAAGTGGAACCTGCAGAAGCTGGCCGAGGCCCTGCAGCCCGAGCTGCCCCTGGAGGCGGGCGAGGCCATCCTGGCCGAGGAGTTCGACGCCGAGTTCCGCAGGCACCACCTGCACAAGATGCGCCGGAAGCTGGGGCTCGTGCAGGCCGAGCGGGAGGAGGACGCGGCCCTGGCGGCCAAGCTCCTGGAGACCATGCAGCTGACCGGTGAGTGGGGCCGCGCCTGCGCTGGGGCGAGGCGCACCTGGCGTGAGGTGTGCCCTTCGGACCCCTCTTCGTGCACGGCGCAGGGGCACCGTGCGTGTTACTCACACCGCAGTGCGGCCGCTGCTGCCACCATCCATCCAGAACCTTCCATCGCCCCCAACTGAGACTCAGACCCAGTAAACACTCCACGTGACCCTCCGGCACCCACCTTCCTGCCCGCGTCCCTGTGAACTTGACCCCTCTGGGCCCTCACCGCGGTGCAGTCCTGCGTGTCCGGCTGATGTCACCAAGCGTCACGTCCGCCAGGCCTGTGAAGGCCAAGTGACACTGCCTGCCCTGACGGGCCTGCTGTGCTCAGCCCCCGCCCGCCACCCATGGGTGCGGTGGGGCCGCCGCTCCCTCAGCCCCTGTGGAGTCGGACGTGCAGACGCCCGCGTGCGCCTCCAGCCCTCCGGGCCGCTCGCCGACGGGTGGGGCCTCGGGCCGCGTCGACTCACCCGGTGCTCTGGCTGGCGCTCTGGCTGGCGCGGAGGGGAGGCATGCTGTCCTCTACCCCCCCCCCCCCCACGGCCTCACTCTGGGCCTCTCGCGCCCTCGCGGGCCCTTCGCCGGGTTCCGGGTCTCCTCCCATTTCCAGCTTGTTTGTCCCCTTCCGCACCGTGGAGCTGACGCGGTCTCACTCCTTCACCCGTGGCTCCTGTTAACCCACTTAAGCTGCTGGGATGAGTGGCCACAGCCGGGGCCTCAGGGGACGGGCATGGACCTCGGTCCTGGAGGCCGGGGGTCCGAGACCGGGGGCCAGCACGGGGGGCCTGGTGACGCCTCTTCCTCGTTCACAGACAGCCGGTCCCGTGCGGGGCCCTCACAGGGCAGGGCAGGGCAGGACAGGGTGGATCTCTGTGTCTCTTCCTTTTTTATTTTAATATACTTTATGGATTGTGCTGTTACAGTTGTCCCATTTCCCCCCTTCACTCCCCTCCACCCTGCACCCCCTCCCACCCACATCTCCCCCCTTTAGTTCATGTCCGTGGGTCATACATATCAGTTCTTGGGCTTCTACATTTCCTACACTATTCTTGCCCTCCCCCTGTCTATTTTCTACCTACCATCTATGCTGCTTATTCTCTGTACCTGTTCCCTCTCTCTCCCCCTCCCCGCTGATAACCCTCCATGTGATCTCCATTTCTGTGATCCTGTTCCTGATCTAGTTGCTTGGTTTGCTTTTGTTTTTGTTTTAGGTTTAGTTGTTAATAATTGTGAGTTTGCTGTCATTTAATTGTTCATATTTTTTATCTTCTTTTTCTTAGATAAGTCCCTTTAACATTTCCTATAATAAAGGCTTGGTGATGAACTCCTTTAGTTTGACCTTATCTGAGAAGCACTTTATCTGCCCTTCCATGCTAAATGAAAGCTTTGCTGGATAGAGCAATCTTGGATGTAGGTCCTTGCCTTTCATGACCTGGAATACTTCTTTCCAGCCCCTTCTTGCCTGTAAGGTCTCTTTTGAGAAATCAGCTGACAGTCTGCTGGGAACTCCTTGGTAGGTAACTGTCTCCTTTTCTCCTGCTGCCTCTAAGACTGTTTCCTTATCTTTAATCTTGGCTAATGTAATTATGATGTGCTTTGGTGTATGCTTCCTTGGGTCCAACTTTTTGGGGACTCTCTGAGCTTCCTGGACTTCCTGGAAGTCTATTTCCTTTGCCAGATTGGGGAAGTTCTCCTTTATTATTTGTTCCAATAACTTTTCCACTTGTTTCTCTTCCTCTTCTCCCTCTGGCACCCCTGTGATTCAGATGTTGGAATGTTTAAAGATGTCCTGGAGGTTCCCAAGCCTCTCCTCATTTTTAAAAATTGTTTCTTCATTCTTTTCTAGTTGGATGTTTCTTTCTTCCTTCTGGTCCACACTGTTGACTTGAGTCCTAGTTTCCTTCCCATCACTGTTGGTTCCCTGTGCATTTTCCTTTATTTCACTTTTCATAGCCTTCATTTTTTCATCTAATTTGCAACCAAATTCAACCAATTCTGTGAGCATACTGATCACCAGTGTTTTGAACTGTGCATCTGATAGGCTGGCTGTTTGTCGCTTAGTTGTATTTTTTTCTGGAGCTTTAATCTGCTCTTTGATTTGGGCCTTTTTGTCTTGACGCACCTGTTACATGGTGAGGGGCAGAGCCTTAAGTGTTCACCAGGGCGGGCAATGCACATCTCCGCATTGTGATGCTGTACGTGGGGGCGGGATCCGAGAGGGAACAATGCCGCTTGCTCCGCTCTCTGCTGGATTCCAGTCCCTTCCCCCACTTCCCCACAAGCACACTGGGCCCTTCTGGTGCTGATTCCCGGGTGGGTGGGCTTGTGTACGTTCCAGGACCCTGTGGGTCTCCCCATCAGACTCTCCTGTGCGGCTGGGAGTTTGTACAGCTGCCTCAACCCCCACAGGTGTTTCCAATCAGTGGCTTGCGGCTTTATTTCCCTCACTGGGGCCCTGGATTCAGCGGCCCATCCCGCTTCCCAGGTGTTTCTCCTGGTTTCTCTGCGCACAAACGTGGGACCGCCCAGTCTGCCATCCGCTGCCTCGCAGGGTCCGCCTGCTGCTGCCTTGCCGGCCGGCTGGCGCCGTGCAAACCCCGCTCCACAACCCACCACCTCCCCGGGTCCTCCAGCCACCGCCTTGCTGTGAGTCCGCTCTGCCCGGCTGCCCGTCTCCACCCCTCCCGCTGGTCTGGGTGAGTGTGTCTTCTTTAACGCCTTGGTTGTCGGACTTCCATGCAGTTCGGTTTTCTGGCAGTTCTGGTTGTTTTTTGTTTTTAAATCGTTCTCCTTTCGGCTGTGCGAGGAGGCACAGTGTTGTCCTCTCGGCTGTGCGAGGAGGCGCAGTGTTGTCCTTTCGGCTGTGCGAGGAGGCACAGTGTTGTCCTTTCGGTTGTGCGAGGAGGCACAGTGTGCCTACCTACGCCTCCATCTTGGCTGTGTCCCTTCTTGCACGGACACGAGTCCCTCTGAGGCCCCACCCTCACGGCCTGCCGGCCTCCCTAAGGCTGGCCTCCTGACCCCGTCCCCTTGGGGAGGGAGGCCCCGTGCACGGACACGGGGAACACAAATGTGCAGCCCACGGGACGGCCCCGTGGGGTCCTGGGACAGCCCTGGCCCCTTCTGACGCGCTGGCTGTGGTCTGCAGCGTCCTGCGGGGGACTTCGCCCCCGTGCTCCTCGGGCTCGCCGGCCCGCAGTCTTCTCCCCCTGCAGCGTCCGCTGGCTCTGGGACCAGGGCCCGGCTGGTCTCGGAGGGAGGGAGGGAGGGAGGGAGGGAGGGCGGGCTCCCGGTGTTTTAGGCGAGTTTGGGAGGCGTCGTGTCAGTCCTGCCGTGAGTGTTTGACGGAACTCCCCGGAGAAGCTGCAGGTCCCGGCTGTTCCGGCTCGGGGCACTGGGCCAGCGAGTCTGCGTCCTTACTGGGCAGGGACTACCCAGATTTCCTTTTCTCGCGTCGGTCTGATGTGCTTGTTGGCAGGACTTTGTCCGTTTCACCTGTTACCTGATTTACTGGCGGGTAACCTTTCATTGTGCGCTCAGTCTCCTACTTCCGTGTGGTCAACAAGGTCCACACTTGGGTTTCTGACTTGGGCTGTCTTCTCCTCTCGCCGGTGTATCTGAGTTCGTCAACTTGGCTGACCTTTCTAAGGAACCGACTTTGTCTCACTGACCCTTCTGTGTTTCGTCTCTCTGCTCTGATCATTCTTTCCTTCCGTTCTGCTGACTTTGGTCGTGCTTGGTTTTCCTCCTCCTCTAGTTACATTGGGTTTGGCCTTGAGGTTTTTCTAACCGACACGAGACGTGCAGCACGTTCACCTCAGCGACCTCCGTGGATCGCATCTCACCACAGTGGCCACTGGCTCTGAGCTGAGACCCGCCCTTTCCGCGGCGGCGTCTGCAGCCCCGGGGCTGTGCGCAGTGGCGTGCACCTTGCTTGAGTGTTGGATGATCTCCTTTAGAAGCTCTTTGTTGGGCCCGTTGGTCACGTGGATGTTCACACGGTTTGTGATTGCTAGTTCCACCGCCCCGTGGCTGGAGAGGACACCCGTCCTTGAGGGGAGCGGAGCTCGTCCGTGGCCTCACGTGGCCGTCAGGGAGCCTGTGCCTTCAGGCCCGGTGTCACGGTCCAGATGGCCTGCCGGTCAGGCTCCCTGTGCCCCTGCTCTGTCCGGACGCCACACCCGCTCGCTTGTGTTTGGACCCTCCCCCGGGGGAGGGCGTGTTTGCGGGCGTGGGGGGGCGGGCAGAGAGACACCGACGCGGCGCTGGCCCACTCCCCGACGGGGCGGGCCAGTGAGCTCACAGCCTTCTGGTGTTCAGGACGGTGCTCCGGCCACGGCCCCTGGCCAGGGCATCACACCCACCCACGGGTGAAAGTGGGCCGTGCCTGTTGCTTCTCCCTCCGGTCTGGGGATGTTCGCCTTGCGGGTCCCGGAGCTCCGCTCGGGGTGTGCGTCCACAGACATTGGACTCGAATGCTCTTCCTCGTCTCCTCCACGCTGCTCCACGTAAAGCCCGTTCTGCCCGACGCTGGAGCCTCCGAGCTCTTCCAGGTCGTCTGCACGGGCCATCCCCCATCCCTGCACCCCCATCCCTGCACTCGCACCTTCCCGGGGCCCAGAGGACCACTTCCAAGTCCATCCCGCCAGTCTCCGCTTTCTGGTTGGAGTCCAGCTCCCCGCCAGAGCGATGACTGACCGGGAGGCACACGGCCGTCTCGCCATCCCACTCTGCGGCGGCTCGCCCCTCGTCTCCTCCATGACCGCGCTCATGCTCAGCTCGTTTTTCGGTGGCAGCAGCATGTGGTCTCCCCCTCGCTTCCCTGTGCACTTTTCTGCTGTTTCCTTAGGGGACGTGGTGACCGTCCTAACCAGTCAGGCTGAGGCTCACGGACACTGCGGCTCGAGGGCCCGGGCCGCCCTGCTGCACCCCCTTTACAGAGCAGGGGACCGGGGCTGGAGGCCTTGCCGTGCCCAGGGTGGTGCCTGAGCTGGGTGGCGGGTGGGTGGGGGCCAGGGAACAGGCCAGAGGAGACCCCGGCGCTGGCGCAGAGTGGAGTTCCCACCGCGGTGGCAGGACAGGGGCGGGCCGGCCTGTGAGGACACGGAGCTACAGGAGGGACACGCGGGACCCGGGACCTGGCCCCCAGCGCAGCTGTGTGTTCCAGGTGCCGACTTCACGAACACCTTCCGCCTGCTGAGCTCCTGCCCCATGGGGCCGGAGCCCGTGGACTTGGCCGAGTTCCTGACCGCACTGACGGAGCAGTGTGCCTCCCTGGAGGAGCTGAGGCTCGCCTTCCGACCCCAGATGGACCCCCGGTGGGTGCTCGAGTCTCGCTTCCTTGGAATTTGCGTCCGGAAAGGGGGAAGCCTTGAGAATGGGGGAGGGGTGCACACTTGCAGGCCCAGTTGGCCACCCGGCTCCCCGGAGCAGTGGAGGGTCAGAGGAAGGGACCACAGTGCTGACCGGGGGCGGGGGGGGGGCCAGGTGACACGGGCTGGGGCACAGACGTCTCTGCCCTGGGGAGGCTTCCCAGACCTGCTCTCAGGTCTGCCCAGGGAGAGCCTGGGGGCACTCAGGTCTCCACCAGGCCATGCTTTCTGCACAGCCTCCCAGGTCCCTGGGGCGCAGCCCGCACTCTGGACAAGACACAGGAGATAGCGCTGGATTTTGACAAACAAGCCAACAGACTGAGATCAGGGGGCCTTTAGTGCAGCAGTGGGGGGAGTGGGCCGGGAGCTCCAAGCACACAGGGAGAACCGGCCAGCAGGCCCTGTCCTCGGCGGCAGTGACCTCCCAGGTCGGTGCTGCGTGGGACAGAGGTGGGTGCCAAGCAGAGGTGGTCCCGTACCCTCCCCCACCCCCCAGAGGTCTGCACCTAGTCGGTCACTGGCATCCACTCTGTGGCTGCTGCACACGGCGGGCAGCTGGTAGGTGCCTTTGCATCTGCCAGGCCTGCACGCCCCCTCTGGTCCAGCTGCAGGCAGCGGGTTAGCAGGGCAGCTGAGGTCATTTCCTCCTCCTCCGGGACAGCCTTCCTCGAGGTGTCCAGCGGTCGCAGGCCACGGCCCACAGCCAGGGGTGGGGACGCTGCAGCCTCCTGGACTCGCTCGTACCCCGCCCCCAGGCAGCTGTCCATGATGCTGATGCTGGCGCAGTCGAACCCGCAGCTCTTCGCGCTCATGGGCACGCGGGCCGGCATCACCAGGGAGCTGGAGCGGGTGGAGCAGCAGTCGCGGCTGCAGCAGCTGAGCCCGGCCGAGCTGCTGAGCAGGAACAGGAGCCACTGGGCCGACTGGCTCCGGGAGTACAGGTGAGGCTGGCCTGCCGCCGCGGCGGCGAGGCGCTCCCCTCCCCCGGCACGGTCTCCAGGGGCCAGATGGGGGGGGCGGGGGTGCTGCAGCTGCTGCAAAGGTGGGTGTGGGTGTCATTCTAGAGCCAGACTGGAGAAGGACAGGGATGCTGCCGGTGACGCCGACGCCTGGCAGGCCGAGCACGTGCGTGTCATGCACGCCAACAACCCCAGATACGTCCTGCGGAACTACATCGCGCAGAACGCCATCGAAGCTGCCGAGAACGGCGACTTTTCAGAGGCAAGGCCACGCCCACCCCTCTATCCCTGGGTCCCGTGGCAGAGGGGGACCATGGGGGGAGGGGCGCCCCAACGACCTCCCCCTTGCTCCTCTCCAGGTGCGGCGGGTGCTGAAGCTGCTGGAGGCCCCGTACCAGAGGGAGGGGGAGGCCGCCGAGGTGCCCGAGGTGCCCGAGGCCGCCGAGCCCGAGGGAGCCGGCGGGGCGGCGGAGAGGCGGCGCTCCTACAGCAGCAAGCCCCCGCTCTGGGCGGCGGAGCTCTGCGTCACATGATCCTCGTAACCGCCTTGGGGACCTCCACCCGGGGAGGCCCCCAAGGCCCCAAGTCCTGCTGAGCCCACGAGGCAGGCCCAGCCGGGGGGCGGGGCAGCCCCCCCGCGCCCGTCTCTCCATGACGGCAGGGACGTCCAGTCGGCACCCGATCCGTCCCTGTCCGACCCGGACTCGGCACCTGGCGCGGGCCCGCGCCCGCACCTGCCCCAGGAGGAGCCGCGCTGTGCCAGGAGCGCTCTGCGGGGCGCCGGGCCCTAAATAAAACAGTGGCTTCCACGGCCCCTCTCCGCGTGGTCACTCGACCCCGGCCTGGCATGGGGCCCGCCCAGGAGGGGCGCCTTCGAGGGGCGCGTACCTGGGCGCTGCGGAGCGGGCCTCAGGCGTCCTGGTAGTAGTGATTGAAGTTGATGCGCAGGAGGAAGTCCTCCAGGTGTGGCTGGTAGCCCCGGTTCACCAGCTTGGTCACCACTGCGGGGGGGCGGCACGTGGCTAGGCCAGGCCCCTGCGGGCCCTGCCCTCCAGCCCCAAGCCCACCCGGCAATGGGGACGCTCACCTTTGAAGAGGAAGTGGGAGTAGTACTTGAAGGTGCTGTAGGACTGCTGCATGAGGGCGAAGTTGGGGTGCTCGGCGCCCCGGGGGCCACCGGCGGGGCGCCAGGGCTGGGAGATGAGCTGGCTGCGGAACTTGAGCACCAGGCTGAAGACGCTATGGATGACGTTCATGACCGGCGCCGCCTTCTCCGTCAGCAGGCCCCTGGGGAGCGAGGGGCGGTGCCGCAGGTGGGTGGCCCGGCCTCGGGCCGACGTCGGTGCCCTCCGCACCCGACGCGCACGCGCACGCACCTGAAGACGGCCTTGTGCAGGTATTCGGCATGGGCACGCTGGATCTCCTCGAGGTCGCCCACCGCGGCCAGCCTGGCCCGGAACTCGCACCAGGTGACGTGCAGGATCTGGTTGGCGATGTAGCCCTGGATGACCTTCACGAAGTGCTGCATCTCGTGCTTGAACAGCTGCAGCTGGCGGAACTGCACGGAGCCGGCCGCAGGGCTCACCAGGGCTGTGCAGGGGGTGGGGGTGAGCTGTGGGCGCCAGCTGCCACCGGAGGCTGCGGGGCGCAGGCTCACGCAGGCCTCACCTGTGCGCTTGAGGTGGAAGCAGACGTCCTTGAGCGTCCACATCATGAGCTTCAGCTGCAGCAGGAAGGAGAAGATCCCGCTGTACCTGCTCAGGCAGCTCTCGGTGATGACGATGTTGAGGGGCCAGTCCACCTGCGAGAAGGCGGCTCAGTGGACCTGCAGGGACGCCCGGCCCAGCCCGGCCCGCCCCTGCTGCAAGCTCTGCTGACCTTGTACCTGAGCTCCAGGCAGCTCAGCACGTCCGGGGCATTGGGGACAAAGGCCTCAGGCAAGAACTTGAGGGCGAAGGAGAGGTTGGCGGCCAGCGGGGAGTCGCCGTGCAGGCTGTACTGCAGCGCCCTGCGCAGCACCGTGTTCAGCACCAGCGGGTTCAGCAGCTCCCCGGGTGTCTGCCCTGCTCCCAGCTGCGGAGAGCCGCAGGCGCAGGGTCGGTGGCGGTCCGACACCCCGCGCCTGTCCCCGCAGCCCCACGGCCAGCCCCCGGGCTCACCTTCTCAAACAGCAGGTCGCTCAGGGACTGCGCGAACTCGCCATCCTCCATCAGCAGGAAGTGCCGCAGCGCCTCGAAGTGGGCCTCCAGCTGCAGCTCCACGAAGAAGTAGTCCACGGCGGCCTTGTTCACCAAGGCGACGCTGAGGGGCGGGGCCAGCACAGGGCGGGGCCAATCAGAGGTAGGGCGTGGGCACTCACTGGGCCTCCGGGGGCGGGGCCAGGCCAATCAGAGGTAGGGCGCGGGCACTCACTGGGCCTCCGGGGGCGGGGCCAGGCCAATCAGAGGTAGGGCGCGGGCACTCACTGGGCCTCCGGGGGCGGGGCCAGGCCAATCAGAGGTAGGGCGCGGGCACTCACTGGGCCTCCGGGGGCGGGGCTGGGGCGGGGCCAGGCCAATCAGAGGTAGGGCGCGGGCATTCACTGGGCCTCCGGGGGCGGGCCCAGGCCAATCAGAGGTAGGGCGCGGGCACTCACTGGGCCTCCGGGGGCGGGCCCAGGCCAATCAGAGGTAGGGCGCGGGCACTCACTGGGCCGCCAGCGGCGCGGTGACCGAGTGCTTCATGAGTACCGGCAGCGGCAGCAGCTCGCTCAGCTGCACGGCAGTCTCGTCCATGGCGTCATCCGCGTCCGACGGGCCTCGGGTGTCCTCGGGGAGGGCAAAGGCCCGGGGGAGCCCGTGGTGCAGGAGGCGTGCGACAGGAGGCTCTGCTGCGGGGAGAACGCAGCCCGCTGTCCACCCCAGGACTCGCCGCCGGGGGCTCGCCCGCCCGCCCCCGCCCACCCCCGCCCACCCCCGCCCACCCCCACCTGCCGCTCACACATGGCCTCGTAGCTGTCCGGGTACTGCTCCAGGCGGTACTGCCTCGCCAGGCCTGCCAGGTAGGCCTGCTCCTGGCCCAGACGCCTGGCCGCCACTGCCTCCTCCGTCTCCTCGCCGGGGTCTGGGCTGCTCGGGGCGGCGGCACTTTCCTAAGACGACCAGCCTTGAGACAGCTGCCCCTTCCTCTCGTCCGAGGGGTGGGGAGGGGTGGGGAGGGATGGCGCGGCCGTCCCAGCACACGCCCCCGCCTCCGCCCGACCGCATCCACCGACCTGTGGGCTCGGAGGCCGACCCGGAGAGCAGTCCTCGGTGTCCCCGCTTCTCCCTGCGCCTGAGGGACAGGGGCGGGTCGGAAGGGGCGTCAGGGCCCAGGGCCTGCTGTGGGGTCGCACCTCCCCGTCCCCAGCCCCACCCCCACAGACACCACCAGTGCCAGCCCCGAGGCCCCACTGACCTGGCTCACCGGGGACGCCGTCCTCCGGAGCAGCAGGCGCAGCAAGTGCAGAGGGCGGGGCCTGGGCGCCGCTTTCTTCCGAGGGGACGGAGCCCGCTGCCTCCAGAGCGCAGCCGTCGGAGGGCGGTCCTGGCAGCAGCTTCGACTCGCCCTCCCAGGCCGGGCTCTGTGCTCGCGGGCTGAGGCTCGCCTGGGACTCGTGGTCCCGGGGCCTCCACAGAGGCCTGGGCATGTCAGGCTGGGCTTCCCCTGGGAGCACCCCCAGTATCACCTGGGACTGAGACACATGGCCGTGGGCATTCCACCGTGGCCGGGAGGGGGCCACGTCCCACACGTTCTCCCCCACCCTGATGCTGGCGTCAGACACGTGGCCGTGGATGTTCCACCGTGGCCGGGAGGGGGCCACGTCCCACACGCTCTCCCCCACCCTGATGCTGGCGTCAGACACGTGGCCGTGGGCATTCCACCGTGGCCGGGAGGGGGCCACGTCCCACACGTTCTCCCCCACCCTGATGCTGGCGTCAGACACGTGGCCGTGGGCGTTCCACCGTGGCCGGGAGGGGGCTATTCCAGAAGCAGAATCCCCTGTGAGAATACCACCCTCTGGCACGTGCCCAAGGGGCCGCCCCGCAGCTGGGCTGCTCCCCTCCTGGGGGCGGCTGCTCCTGGGCAAGTGTGGATAAGGCAGAGCCACCTGCCCATCTGTGACACAGGTGTCCAGCTGTGTGTCGATGTTCCGCCACAGCTGCAGCTCCTCACAGCCGAAGCTGCCTCCTGGAGTCTGGAGGGACCCAGGGGAGGCTGAGGGGACCACGGTCGGCCTCAGGACGGTTCTGAAATCGTATTCCTGTGGCGTGGAGCACCCTGTGTCCGTCACTGCGGAGGAAGCCGAGGCAGGCAGGTCCGAGCCGATGGTCTGCAGTGCCTCCTCCAGGACAGAGGCCTCCTCAGTGTCCACAGGCTGCCCCACACCCTGGCCCGTGGGCAGGAAATCCTGGATGCTGAGGCCTGCAGAGAACAGTCGTGGGCCCTCCACCTGCCCCGGCTGCGACCCGGCTCCCAGCTCTGAGCCGCAGGCCTGCGCGGCTGGAGGCTCCAGGGGCTGTGGCCTCGGCGTGCTCGGGCCCTCCCGGGCAGCCACGTGCTGCTCTGCACACCCAGAATCACAGCTGCCACCTCCGCCGGGGTGCTCGGGACCTGGAGACGAGGCCTGAGACACAGTGCACACCGGTGCCTCTGGTCACCTAGCTGTCCCCGAGCTCAGTGCTGCAGCCACACCAACACCCGCACACTGGGGGCCGCGGGGATGCAGGGCAGGCACCCACTGCGCTCCCCAGGCGGCACCAGCCTCAGCGCCCAACTCAGCTGCCCGCTACACGCCCTGGGTCCTGCCCCGGCCGCTCACCCGGCAGCGTGCACTCGGCAGGGCCGTCGGTGGCTCCGGGGGCTTTCCCTCCGACACGGCTTTCAGCAGGGCCTGCAATTCAATTAGCGGGATGGGAGGCAGCAGCTGTGTGGGGGAGGGGCGGGCCCGACACTCAACCCAGACCACCTGGCCCAGAGCCTCCGCGCCCACCAGCCACAGCTGCCGCAGCAGCGAGACACGGCGAGGTCTGCGCAGCACCCTGCTCTCGGCCCACGCAGCACGCACAGCCCCTTCCCGGCCACGTCTCCGAGCAGCTGAGGAGAGCCACCCCCCGCCCCAGAAGGGCGCACAGGTCTCCGTGAAGTTGCAGGGGACCCTGAGTCCCCCAGCCCAGGGAAGAGCCGCCCCAGCACACACCTGAATGCTCTCCTGCTCGTCTCGGAGGAAGCGAGCCCGCGCACCCGCCAGCCTGTGCCTCTGGATCTTCCACAGAGCCCTCTGCTCCCGACGGGCCGCCTCGGCAGACAGCTTGCTGTAGTGGTCGACCAGCGCCTGCCTGAAGCCATGCCCAGAGAGTGCAGTCACCAGTCACCCCACAGCACACCGTCCAGCTGTCTCCCCACGGGGGTGGCTCTCTACGACAGAGGCCCCCGTGGGTGGTCTGCACAGCCTGGCACCTTCCCCAGGCCACCAGCCGGCCCCTCCACACCTGCACAGCTCCTGCAGGGGACCCAGCAGGCTGGTCATTCCGCCCACCGGGCAGCACCCACCCAGGGCTTGCTGAGTGAACGCCAGGTGAGTCCCTGCGCAGCCTGAGGCTTAGGGCCCTCGGCAGCAAGGCCTCCCTTTCTCAGCTGCACAGAAAGAATAGCACCTACCACACACACACACCCACAGCACACACCACACAGACGTGTGCCACACACACATGCAGACGTGTGTGCCCAGACACAGGCATGTGTGCACATCGCTCTGGCTCCAGGCCACAGCTCTGCAAACAGGATGAGGTCAGA